GCTGCGCAGAAAGGGAAAACTGTGCAGCGCCTCTCCAGCAAAGCAAAGCCTGGAGAGCAAGAGGGATCGGTGTGCACTGACCCCTCTCGCTCTGGGGGCTTCAGGGGGCTTCAGCGAAAGCAACGCGAAGCCTCCGGAGCCCAGGGGAAGCTCTCCCTCTGCGCTTCGGAGGCTTAGCGTTGCTATCGCTGAAGCCAAGGAGCCTGCATTCGCTCCATAGGAAGCACACACATTTCCCCTTCATTTTTGGAGGGGGAAAAGGGTGTCCTATAGAGCGGAAAATACGGTAATTTTAGGCCCTTGATTCACTTTGCTTTCATTTCATGCTGAATTCTTTTATTACGCTTATTCATCTCTGGAAGGCAGAATAAGAGAAGTCCGCTTACCTTCAATGGTCAGGCGGCGCAGCCTGGCTAAGTCCACGTCCGCAATCTGGCACTCTGCAGGGGAGAATTGCAGCCTGCCTGCAGATCGGCCAGTTGTAGGCAGACTTAGGTGTAAGCATCCCACAGGAACTGTCCAACTGGCCAATAGATGTCGCTTGGCCCTGCTCCTGGATATAAACTGGGGCCTGCCTAGGCCTCCTCCCCAGTTTGTTGTCAGATCACTTGTTCACTTTTTTGTACATAATCATCTAAAGATGCTACAAGGTGCAAGGGGAGTGGGAGTTAATCGTTGGCCATATTGGCTGGAATTGGGAGACCAGCAACATCTGGAGACCCAAGGTTGGGGAAAGATGCATCATCCCAGCATTGTGCTTGGTTGCAGCTAGGGGGAGAAACTGTTTGCAGGCAGCCCCCTTCCTATGAAGGAAGCCTGTGTGGTGTAGTGGTTAAGAGTGGTAGACTCGTAATCTGGTGAACCGGGTTCGCTTCCCCGCTCCTCCACATGCAGCTGCTGGGTGACCTTGAGCTAGTCACACTTCTCTGAAGTCTCTCAGCCCCACTCACCTCACAGAGTGTTTGTTGTGGGGGAGGAAGGGAAAGGAGAATGTTAGCCGCTTTGAGACTCCTTTGGGTAGTGATAAAGTGGGATATCAAATCCAAACAACTCCTCCTCCTTGTCTTCTTCTTCTTCTTCTATGGAGTCACTTCCCTTTAGAACCCTTCCAAACACTGCTACTGATGATATTTTAGGGTTTGATAAAAAAATATTTATTCACTTTTCTGGGATTTAATGCCAGGAATTAATTAGTGGTGGCCCTGGGGATATCAGTTGAATTTTACATATATATTCCTGAGATTTTATTTTATCATTTTAACTTGTACACTGCCTTGAGACAGACTGTAATAGGCAGTATAAAGGTAAAGGGACCCCTGACCATTAGGTCCAGTCGTGACCGACTCTGGGGTTGCGGCGCTCATCTCGCTTTACTGGCCGAGGGAGCCGGCGTACAGCTTGCGGGTCATGTGGCCAGCATGACTAAGCCACTTCTGGTGAACCAGAGCAGTGCACGGAAACGCCGTTTACCTTCCCGCCGGAGTGGTACCTATTTATCTGTTTATACTTTGTGCTTTCGAACTGCTAGGTTGGCAGGAGCAGGGACCGAGCAACGGGAACTCACTCCATCGCGGGGATTCAAACCACCAACCTTCTGATCGGCAAGCCCTAGGCTCTGTGGTTTAACCCATAGTGCCACCCTTAATAGGCAGTATAAACTTTTATAAATAAATAAAACATGTTCTCCCGATTACCCCCATCAGAATTATTTTTGTTTTGGAATCAGCTTGTCTGAAAAGCAGGACAGAAATTCAAGAAATATACAGCAACCCAACCAACTGTAAATGCTGATGTAAGACGGGAGCATTTGGTAAGCTTCTGGGCTTTATCCCTTTCTGCGAAAACTGATGATTACACAGTATAGATCACTTGGCTTGCATATGTTAAGGTGCAGTGCCAACCTTTTTACATTTGCAGCCTTTTTTGCTTCCTTGACACAAGGCCGCTTGCTGCACTTGGTAGGTTTTTATTTCTTCTCAGTGTCCTGTGCTGCAGCAACTTCCCAAAACCAGAAAGATGTTTGCACATTTTTATTATTTTTTGCGTTAAATGAAGGGATTCTCATGCATTCCCAGGTTTTGATTCAGTATAAGGACAAAAGTAGATGAAACACTAAATATGTCTTCATCAGGCACGAGGGGGACACTATTTTCATTAGAATTGCAGCACACTTAACCCTTTCCTCCTATACTGCGATCCCAACTAAAAGCACCCCCACATACACACAGAGCTGCTGGTAGCCTAAAAACAATTAATGTAACTTTAGGAATGGGGGCTTAAATTTGCTTGCTTTCCAATTCCTTTCTCATTTCTTTTGTGCCATACCTTTTAGATTGTAAATCTGCAGCCAGGAACTGCTTTTGTTGTTTGATCTCCTAACAGAGCGTAACAGGTTTAAGGCACCTTTTGTTGTTGTTTAGTCGTGTGATCGGTGATCAGCCTTCTTTATGGTCCAGCTTTCACTTCCATACATCACTTCCATTAAGGCACCTACTTTATTATAAATGCTAACCTTTACATAGTTATAAAGGACTAGAAATTTGTTTTATAAAGATGGAAGTTGAGGTTTTCAGGTGCTACTCCTCCCAAAGCTCCTAGGAATCACATCGCATACACCACCCTAGCTAGGAGGAGTTACACCAGTCAACACCCTCCTTATGACCAATAATCCTTGGGACTATGAGGACTCACATTTGTGAATGTAGGGACATTAATGACTTTTACCAATTGCGGCTGGTTTGACAGCTGTGGCCATTCCTGGACCGGGAAAGCCTTGCCACAGTAGATCATGCATTGGTCATTTCAAAACTAGATTACTGCAATGCACTCTATGTGGGGCTTCCCTCACACTTGATCCGGAAGCTGCAGTTAGTGCAGAATGCTGCAGCACAATTGCTGACAAGGGTAAGGCCTTGCCAACATAGAACATCTGTGCTCAGAGATCTGTACTGCTTGCTGATTTGCTATTGGGCCAAGTTCAAGGTGTTACTATTAGTATATAAGCCCTTAACAAGCTGGGACCAGTTTACCTATGAGATCGCCTTGACCTACACGTAGCTACTTGGCCACTTTTATTGGCGGAACTGGCACTCCTACAAGTGCCACATAATACCCGTTGTGCATTTGTAAGAATTCGATTGTTTCGTGTGGCAGCACCTGCACTTTGGAACTCCCCTGCCTCTTGAGATCAAACAGGTGTCTTCACTGCAGCCTTTTAGGCACCTGATAAAAAAGTTTCCTGTGCAGACAAGCCGACCCACATGCTTAGAAAGTTGAGCTGTTTGTTTGTATTTTAACTTTTGTATATTTCAACAAAGGTCCGTATAGTTAAAGCTATGGTTTTCCCAGTAGTGATGTATGGAAGTGAGAGCTGGACCATAAAGAAGGCTGATCGCCGAAGAATTGATACTTTTGAATTATGGTGCTGGAGGAGACTCTTCAGAGTCCCATGGACTGCAAGAAGATCAAACCTCTCCATTCTTAAGGAAATCAGCCCTGAGTGCTCACTGGAAGGACAGATCCTGAAGCTGAGGCTCCAATACTTTGGCCACCTCATTAGAAGAGAAGACTCCCTGGAAAAGACCTGATGTTGGGAAAGGTTGAGGGCACAAGGAGAAGGGGACGACAGAGGACGAGATGGTTGGACAGTGTTCTCGAAGCTACCAGCATGAGTTTGACTAAACTGCGGGAGGCAGTGGAAGACAGAAGTGCCTGGTGTGCTCTGGTCCATGGCATCACGAAGAGTCGGACACGACTAAATGACTAAACAACAACAACAACAATATTTCAAAGTAGGGTTGTAAATTTCCCCCAGTTTTACTGTTTTATCTTTTGTAAACCGATCTGAGTTTTCGTTCACAACCAAGTGGTATATAAATTTTATGAAAAAATAAATATGTAGGATCTATCCAGAAGGGCTGGCGCATTTGCCATTTGCTGACCTCGCATCTCCACTTCTGCACCCCAGTATAGAGCAGCAACACAGACAACCATCTGCTACTGCTGGAGCCAGCCCTGGCAATCTGACACAGTTCAGGTGGCCTGGGGTTGGGAGTGGTGCATTAGGTTAGGGACAATAAGAATCATCTTGCTTGAGCAGACTGAGATCCATCCAACTCACTCATTTCCAACTATGGCTAGCCATCGGATGTCTCTGGAAAGCTCCTAAGCACAACATGAAGAATAAAACACCTGGCAATTTGATTATTATTTATAGATGCATCTACCCTCCATGAATTTAACCCAAGGATTTATCAGCCTCGATGGGAGAACCAACGTTTTCCAAAAGTTGTTCCAGCTCTCCACACCAGTCATCGTTTTTATAACCCCGCAGTTCCCATCAGGACCAGCTGGAACAGCCAAAAATGAGGGCTAATGGGAGCGGAATTCCAAAATATCTGAAGGCCCCCAGGTTGGGGAATAGTGCTCTATCTAGCTCAAAGAGCAGTATGGTGTAGTGGATGAGTGTCATCTAGGGCCTAGGAGACCAGCGTTCAAATCTCCACTCAGCCAAGAAGATTACTGGGTGACCAGTCACTGCCTCTCAGCCTAACCTACCTTTCAGGGTTGTTGCGGGGATTAAACGAGGAAGAGGAAAACTATGTACACTTCCTTGAGCTGCCCGATGGAAAGGTGGAATATAACTCTAATAAATGAATATATAAATAGCAGGGAAGCTTGAAGTTCCTAAATGCTCATAGCCTTAAAGGGAATTTGCCTACTTAAGAAAATTGCACAATTAGCGTGAGCTGTCACATAATGTCATCAGCTTCCACGATGGTGAAAGCTGCCTCGTGGGAGACTTTGTATAAAAGAGCTATCACATTACCATAAAAGCTGCACACCAGCCCTAAGCATGGGATTCTCAACTGAAATGGTGATATTGCACACATAAATGAAGAAGTCTTTTGAGTCATCCTCTCACAAATGATACACAAATCGGGGGGAAATGAGTTTTGGTGGGTGGCAAGGTGAGGGGTAGAAAACATTCACCACAAAAAACCAAGGAAAAACTTATAATTTATTCAATTAAGATGACCAGAGTGCCCACCTAAATTTACCTGAGAACATCCACTGATTGTAATTACTTATTCTCATGTCTATAGCAACCCGTTACAAATCAAACTCAATTATTTGAATTAAAGCTCTTAAGTCTAAAGAATTCAGAGGTTCTTCAGCATGCATAATAACCTTGTATTGAGTCTTGTGCGTGGGCGACCTTTGAAGCTGTCTTGCTCTCACTGGCAGAACTACACCATCTTTTACCTTGCTTCCCTTATAATAAAGTTGATGCTTCACTTTAAAACACACCTAAGGGTGCTGTGTGAGTGAAAATGGAACAGGAAGGTTGCAGCAAATAAGGCAGAGTGTAGTTATGTATGCTGTAACATCCCATATAACGAAGTTTGAATGCCAGACCGCAAAATACAGATGCGCAACACACAAATGTTATCTAGATGACTTTTCCTGACAAGAGAGAGAACAAGAAACAAACATTGCACCCCACGTGCCAATAGCACAATAACATGGTACTGCTGCAACAGTTATGAATCAGTCACTGAGTATCCTGGCTCTGTTATGCATAAATGGCAATCACTACAGTTGTAGTATAGTGTAACAAGATTACAGACAGGAATAGCTACTGCCATATATTCTTTAGCACATAAAGGGTAGATTTATACCCAACTTCCATGGCTACCATTTCCTTCTGCCTGAATCTCACACCACTTGAGATAACCTTCTAAATTCGCTGACCGTAGGCAGTGCTACAATGCTAGGGGCCAACCCAGAAGTGGAAGGAATGCTAGCTGACTCTGACGATAACTCTAGACTTCAGAATTTCATTTTGGTGTTACTGCCATAATATGGAATCCAATACCCAGAAAGCAGCAATGCATAATAACATATTAAAATCAGCTCACAGGAGAAATGATCCCCCTTTCAAGGCATTACAGCAGTGGTAGTCAATATGGCATCCTCCAGATGTTGTTGTACAACTCCCATGTCCCTGACCGTTGTCTATGCTGGCTGTGGCTGATGGGAGTTGAGAGTCCAACAGTCTCTGCACATCATGTTGGCTTCTCCTGAACTCTAAAACAGAACGCAAGGCACCATCACAGGGGAACCCATAAAGCTTCCATCTGTAAGAGGTCTGATCAGTCAAAAAAAAAGCAAAGCCTATTGTAATATGGGTGAATTAAAAATGAAATCCGTTTTCCGTTAAATCGTTTTTGCTCACTTGCAAAATGGCGCTCGTAAGGTAGAGAATAACCTGTTATCACTGAATAACCTGCGTTATACAGAAAGGAAAACTCCCTAACCAATGAACTGGTTTCTTAGGTGAAAATAAAGCCACGCTCCAATATTTATCATTCACAAGGAAATGCGAATGTGTAAACATAAAAAGGAAAGTGCAAGACCCACTGAAATGAATGGGAGCTGCACAACAGCACCAATGGCGCACTTGAACACCTCCCATTCATTTAAATGGAATTAATGCATCACAGGAATGCATCACTTAACATTTTGGTTATTCCCCCCCGCCCCCATTAATTGTACTGCAGGTTGCATGACATGGCCCTGATATAAATGCTGAACATCCTAAGTTGGGAAGAATCTTCCTTAAGCTATTTTCGGTCATCTTCTTCGAGTAAATTGCACTTTTCCATACCGGAGGCCACTTCTTCATTCAGTGCTGGGAGACCTTTTTCATCGTTCTTTCCTTTGCTTAGAGCCTTCAAGCACTTATCAAGTCTTTTCAAGAACACGTCAACATCTTCTTTCGTCATTCCAATGGCTGAAGCAGCATTGAGGTAGGCACAGTGGTATTTGTTTGTATGGGCCATGAAGCCTTTGAAAGTGTAACCACTCACCGTTTGCTGAGACCCAAGGGGAACGACCCTGAAAGGGGAGGGGGAAAGGAAAAAAAGTTACATACAGAAACACACCCAGAATAAAACACAGAACAACCTAACTTGTTGAACTTTTCAGGGGTAATTATGGTGACTTAAAGGAAAGAGCCAGACATCCTGAGCCAGACATCCTGGAGAGTGAAGTCAAATGGGCTTTAGAAAGCACTGCTAATAACAAGGCCAGTGGAAGTGATGATATTCCAGCTCAACTATTTAAAATTTTAAAAGATGATGCTGTTAAGGTGCTACACTCAATATGCCAGCAAATTTGGAAAACTCAGCAGTGGCCAGAGGATTGGAGAAGATCAGTCTACATCCCAATTCCAAAGAAGGGCAGTGCCAAAGAATGCTCCAACTACCGCACAATTGCACTCATTTCACATGCTAGCAAGGTTATGCTTCAAATTCTACAAGGCAGGCTTAAGCAGTATGCGGACCAAGAACTCCCAGAAGTGCAAGCTGGATTTCGAAGGGGCAGAGGAACCAGAGACCAAATTGCAAACATGCGCAGGATTATGGAGAAAGCTAGAGAGTTCCAGAAAGACATCTACTTCTGCTTCATTGACTACGCAAAAGCCTTTGACTGTGTCGACCACAGCAAACTATGGCAAGTTCTTAAAGAAATGGGAGTGCCTGATCACCTCATCTGTCTCCTAAGAAATCTCTATGTGGGACAAGAAGCTACAGTTAGAACTGGATATGGAACAACTGATTGGTTCAAAATTGGGAAAGGAGTATGACAAGGCTGTATATTGTCTCCCTGCTTATTTAACTTACCGTATTTTTCGCCCTATAGGACGCACTTTTCCCCCTCCAAAAATGAAGGGGAAATGTGTGTGCGTCCTATGGGGCGAATGCAGGCTTTCGCTGAAGCCTGGAGAGCGAGATGGGTCGGTGCGCACCGACCCCTCTCGCTCTCCAGGCTTCAGGAAGCTCTGCGCAAACCTTGGGAGACCAGCGTGACTTTGCGCCGGGCTCCCAAAGGTTGCGCAGAGCTGCCTGCATTCCGAAGCCTGGGGCGCGCTAAAGAGCGCGCCTGGGCTTCGCACAGCTCTCCACAAGCCTGGGGAGACCGGCGCGGCTCCCTAGGCTTGCAGATAGCAGGCTGTTCTTGGGGCTGGGGTCGGGGAAAGCTTGGGCTTCCCCCACGCCAGCCCCGTGCCTGGGGGGAAAATAATTTTTTTTTCTTTATTCCCCCCCCCAAAAAAAAACTAGGTGCGTCCTATGGGGTGGTGCGCCCTATGGGGTGAAAAATACGGGTATATGCAGAATTCATCATGCGAAAGGCTGGGCTTGATGAATCCCAAGCTGGAATTAAGATTGCCGGAAGAAATATCAACAACCTCAGATATGCAGATGACACAACCTTGATGGCAGAAAGTGAGGAGGAATTAAAGAACCTGTTAATGAGGGAGAAAGGGCTCCATGATCATTGCAGATGGTGACAGCAGCCACGAAATGAAAAGACGCCTGCTTCTTGGGAGAAAAGCCAGGTCAAACCTAGATAGCACCTTAAAAAGCAGAGACATCACCTTGCCAACAAAGGTCCGTATAGTTAAAGCTATGGTTTTCCCAGTAGTGATGTATGGAAGTGAGAGCTGGACCGTAAAGAAGGCTGATCGCCGAAGAATTGATGCTTTTGAATTATGGTGCTGGAGGAGACTCTTGAGAGTCCCATGGACTGCAAGAAGATCAAACCTATCCATTCTGAAGGAAATCAGCCCTGAGTGCTCTCTGGAAGGACAGATCCTGAAGCTGAGGCTCCAATACTTGGGCCACCTCATGAGAATAGAAGACTCCCTGGAAAAGACCCTGATGCTGGGAAAGATGGAGGGCACAAGGAGAAGGGGACGACAGAGGACAAGATGGTTGGACAGTGTTCTCGAAACTACTAGCATGAGATTGACCAAACTGCGGGAGGCAGTGGAAGACAGGAGTGCCTGGCGTGCTCTGGTCCATGGGGTCATGAAGAGTCGGACACGACTAAACAACAACAAAAGGAAAGCAAACCTACTAAAGGCCCAATCCAGACTCTCAACCACCAATGCTGGCAGTCATTGGGCTGTGAGACCAACTTGGGATCCAGCTGATCCAGGGCCAGCTCAGCCCTGCCCTTGGAATGCCACACTTTGCGACTTTCTGCAGGCAGGATACTACCAACGCCCCACATAAGGGAGGTTTGGATTCCAGCTGCCCTCACCTGGGAGTGAGTGCCACTGACATCAGTGGGATTTGCTTCAGAGTAAACATGCACAGAACCAAGTTGCACGCAAGCTCTGTCTTGCCAACCTCTGCATATCTTTTGGGTCAGTTTTGAGACTGGCTCCAACTGAAGTGAGACTTGCTCCCAGAAAGTTTGCTTCAATGCGTCTTTGAATCGGAGGCGTTGACGGAAGTACTTACCTTGCGCCAGACACTTGTCTGGTGAAAAGCATAGATCCAAGCTGCGTGACAGCTGTCCCACTTTGTTTATCTAGCTCTCTGAGTGACATAGCTGAAAATACAAGTTAACGAGGTTACTGTAAAAAGGTAAAGGGAACCCTGACTATTAGGTCCAGTCGTGGCCGACTCTGGGGTTGCGGCGCTCATCTCGCTTTATTGGCCAAGGGAGCAGCCATACAGCTTCCAGGTCATGTGGCCATCATGACTAAGCCGCTTCTGGCAAACCAGAGCAGCGCACGGAAATGCTGTTTACCTTCCCGCCGGAGTGGTACCTATTTATCTACTTGCACTTTGACGTGCTTTCAAACTGCTAGGTTGGCAGGAGCAGGGACCAAGCAACTGGAGCTCACCCCGTCGCAGGGATTCAAACTGCTGACCTTCTGATCAGCAAGTCCTAGGCTCTGTGGTTTAACCCACAGCGCCACCCGCGTCCCTAAGGTTACTGTAATTTATAATAATTCCTTTCTACAGCAAACACTAGTAGAAAGTTTTGGGAAAGTGGTGTGTGTGTATGTGTGTGTGTGTGTGTGTGTGTGAGAGAGAGAGAGAGAGAGAGAGAGAGAGAGGGATGCCTAAGTGTCCCATTCATATGGGGGGGGGGGGGAATCAGCCTATTTATTTATTTCCAACATTTCTATACAGTGGTACCTCGGGTTAAGAACTTAATTCGTTCTGGAGGTCCGTTCTTAACCTGAAACTGTTCTTAACCTGAGGTACCACTTTAGCTAATGGGGCCTCCCACTGCGCCGCTGCTGCACTATTTCTGTTCTCATCCTGAAGCAAAGTTCTTAACCTGAAGTACTATTTCTGGGTTAGCAGAGTCTGTAACCTGAAGTGTCTGTAACCACTGTAATTCCCATTAACAACAACAACAAAACCTTCCCTGGCCAGTTCAGAAGTGAAAGTGACAAACCACATTTGCCACGATATAATCACCCTCTGCTTTTATTACACCGCAGATTTCTTCTCTGCAGATGCAACTATCCCACAATACTCTAATTACCTAAGGAGATGGGGTTGTGAGGTGTTTCCAGCAGCCTCTCGTTGTAAGCTTCCGCTAATTTCTTCACATTCTCCGAAAGGTAGGAAAACATTTCCTAGGGGGAGAGAAGGGGGATCAACTGCTTTTAGTTCTTTTTTTGGCTATTCTTCACGGGAAATTTGTGTCTTCACGTTTGCCACCAAGTATTTCCTACTTAATATTTAGATTAATCCGTTAAAACAAAAGCAGCAGCAAGCAGGTTTGAGGTCAACAAAGACCAGGAGCTGCTGGCTAATCAAACAGCACTGAGGAAACCAACAGCAGTGTCTTCCTGCATCTTTTTACAGGAATTATTATTATTTTTAGTTTTTAATATTTAATGCTGTATTGTTTTTAACACTCGATTGGAAGCCCCCCAGAGTGGCTGGGGAAACTCAGCCAGATGGGCGGGGTATAAATAATAAATTATTAAATTATTATTATTTTATAGGGACCAGCTGGAAGGATGTAACCAAAGACCAGGGAAACTTAGTTGGTCCCAGATAAAGCTTGTATCCCAAAGTAGGTGCTCCCCCCCCCCGGGAAATCTGTGTTTTACCACTGAATCGGAGCAAACAGCAGAAAACCCAATTGCTGTTTGCTCTGATTTAGCAGCAAAACACGGATTTTCCTGGGGAAAGCACCAGGATAAGAAAAGAAAAGGGGAAAAAAATAGGACACAGACCTGTGCTTAGAAACACAGCACAAAAGGAAGTCTGGATGAGTCCGGAGTTCAAATCAAATTACCGTATTTTTCGCCCTATAGGGCGCACCGGCCCATAGGGTGCACCTAGTTTTTTTGGGGGGGAATAAAGAAAAAAAAATTATTCTCCCCCCAGGCGCGGGGCTGGGGCGGAGGAAGCCCAAGCTTCCCCCGACCCAGCCCCCAGAACAGGCTGCTATCCGCAAGCCTTGGGAGCCCAGCGGGAAGTCGCACCGGGCTCCCAAGGCTTGCGGATATCTGCCCGAAGCCCGGGGCACACTCCACAGCGCTCCCCGGGTTTCGGGCTGCAGGCTGCTGTCCGCAAGCCTTGGGAGCCCGGTGGGAACTCCCGCGGGCTCCCAAGGCTTGCGGATAGCTTCCTGAAGCCTGGAGACCAGAGGGGTCGGTGCGCACCACCCCCTCTTGCTCTCCAGGCTTCAGCGAAAGCCTGCATTCGCCCCATAGGACGCACACACATTTCCCCTTCATTTCTGGAGGGGAAAAAGTGCGTCCTATAGGGCGAAAAATATGGTAATTTCTCAGTCAGTGTAGTGGCATGAAAAATTTTGGAGGCAGGGCAGGGATTAGACCAGCCTCCTCTCGCAGATCCAACATTATGAGGACTGAAGAGCAACCCATGTCCCACTCCTCACAAAAGCCAAGGAACAATATATACGCCATGGATAGTGGATTTGGCAGAAATCTTCACCCCTTGGCTAATCCCCCAAGCAAGACTACCACAAGGAAGCCCAAACAAAGCAGCTTTCAGAGCTAAGCTTTTAGGAGCTTTTTGCAGCAGTAAAACCAGCTAATTTAAAACCAGGACGTTAACACTATTAATTAATTGTGGCTGGCTGACTGAAGTGACATGGTGAAACAAGGGGGAACGAAACAGTAAACACCCGTGATTTATTAAATGATCTGCCTTTCAGAATTATTTTTTCCCCTATTTTAATACGCGTCTAGATCTTACAAGCAGCTAACTAAGCAGTTTACCATACAATAAATTAGTAGTGCCATATATTCGGCAATACTTTTTGTGAGGCCAAATCCATATCTAACCTCTATTAGAAAATCTGGCTACTCTGTGAGGAATTTACGAGGACTCCAAACACAAGTTTTACTTAAGAGAAATGTAACCGAATTCCATTGATTTTTCTGCATTGCGAGTGCTATATTTAACTCAAGACACAAAAGGATCTTATCATACTAGAAGAGTATTGAACAACTTAAGCACTAAAATGCCAGCTAAATTTCCAATGGGGGAAGTGAAGAGATTAGATTAAAAAGCCAAGTAAAACAATGCTTTATGCTAGATCAGCAGCGTTTGAGGAAAAAACAAAAAAAAAGTTACCTCCAAAATGTGTGGCATATCCAAAGCTCTTAAACGAGTATAACTGAGTATGGATTTCAACAACCAGTAACCCAGAGATATTCACAAATTGCAGTTTTCACACAAAAGAAAACAGATGTCTCAAATGTGTGTGTGTGTCCCATGTTACACAGTCTGAGTGAGTAGACATTTCGAGTGAGTTATTTTCAGGAGAATTTAGCTGACTCTTTGTTAGAACAGAACCATATGCTACTCTGATGTCCTGAGAAGCCATGGTTTGGCAGTATGAGAATGAGCTTTGGGGTCACCTGCTTCCCCCTTCCCTTTCCATTCCTTTTTCGTGCCAAGATTAGAAACTTCTAATCGCTTTTTGTGGCAAGGTTTGCCTATCTAGATGAAGTGGCAAACCAATGGACCACAAAACGGAATCCAACGTTTTCTCTTTGCCTTCCTACTTTCCCCCGTATGCCTAGATTAGAGAGCCGGAGTCTTGTGCCTGCTGCATGTTCATAACGCCAACCATGGTTTAGTGCAGGGGTCAGCAAACTTTTTCAGCAGGGGGCTGGTCCACTGTCCCTCAGACCTTGTGGGGAGCCCGACTCTATTTTGGAAAAACAAAACAAAACACAAATTCCTATGCCCCACAAATAACCCAGAGATGCATTCTAAATAAAAGGACACATTCTACTCCTGTAAAAACACTAGGCAAGCCCCACAAATAACCCAGAGATGCATTTTAAATAAAAGGGCACCTTCTACTCATGTAAAAACACACTGATTCCTGGACTGTCCACGAGCCAGATTTAGAAGGCGATTGGGCCGAATCCAGCCCCCAGGCCTTAGTTTGCCTACCCATGATCTAAACTCTGGGTGGCAGGTAAGTGGGGCAGGGCTTTGCTGTTGTGACCCTTAGATTCTGGAAATAGATCCCTTGAGAGGCAGGTCTAACCTCTTTGCCACTAACCTTTTCAAGACTGGTGGGTCTCTAGTCTAAATCAGTGTTTTGTTCCTAAAAAAAAGTTTAGGGGTACTCTCATTTTCCTACTCATTGAAATACTGCCCCTCAATGAGGCCAAACTTAGATTTACAAAATGTTTAGGGGTATGCGTACCCCTGCATCCCCCCCAGAAAAAAAGCACTGGTCTAAATTAACTTGTTTTCTCTGCGTGGTTACATGACATGCGGCTTTTCTGCTGATTGCAGTTTAATTGTACTGATCCTTTTAAAAATGTTGCGCTTGTTCCATTCTTTAATATAATTGTATACTGCTTTATGGGACCTGAAGGTTCCATAAAGTGGCATACATTTTAATATATAATAAGCTTCTGGAGCAGTGTTGTTTGGCTTGTGCTTGATTTGTGTGAATGGAAGTTCCCAGTGGGCAGACAAAGCCCTAGACGTGTGAGGTTTTCTTTTTCTTTCGTCTGTAATCATTAATAGTGGACATGGTTTAGTGTTTCATCTAACTAGACTTTCCAAAATCTTAAGTGGAGGCTTGAAAAAAAAACCCCAGCAAATTAATGGTTGGGATCCAAAGAGCAATGCACAGGTACTTTACTTACCCATAGGGTATTTTCTGCTTCCTTTTCAAGTATCCCCCCACCACTACCATAATAGTGGCTGCTGGAAGGAAATGATCTTTTTCCACCTGTGCAGGTGTGAAAGGACTATTCCACACAGACAAGTGGGGAGTTTGGATCCTGCGTCATCTCAACCAGACAAGACAGATTACTGATAGATAAGCTTGCCGAAAAGCACTACACAGCTCCTCCATTGCACAAGAGTTGCATGAAACTACTAAGATAGGCAGTGCATTACAGTGGATAAGGCTAGGTGGGCTAGCAATACCTGCATTCAAACTATCTGTTCAGTAGTGGAGCTTAATGGGTGGTTATAACTGGGATGGGAGAAGGATAGATTGCCATTTTAGGGGATGGGTGCTGCCTTAGGGAAAACACTCCCTAGCCCCTAGGCAGCCTGTTTATTTGTCAACAGTATTACAAAAGCACTGAAAGCCTCCAGTACTTTCTCTGGCCTTGCAAAAGGCTGTCATGGATCCATTTATCGCTCACGGAGGTGGAGAGCATGAAACATGTTCCTTTGCGTCATGCAGAGGGAGGAGGAATCTGGGCCGAGCTATCAGGTTCTGCTGCAGAGATTAACCTCCCCTCTGCAAGACACTGGCTAGGCTCTTTATTGATGCGAGCTCAAATAACCTGCAATAAGATTTGACATGAGGATAAGGCAAGAAAAGGGAGAAAATTATTCTGATTTTTTTTTTAATAGCCTGGCTTCTTTTTTTGAGTAGGTGTAGTGGAACCAATATAGAAAAGAGCACTCAATGTCAAGCTATAAATAGCTCCTGCTGAGAACATAATAGCTGTGCCTCAGCTTTCACAGAGCAAAAGGCAATAAACCACCACTATTAAATTTTACCATTCAGGAACACACACATTCAAAGTACACTAAAGAAAAGCAAGGTGATAGTTCTTATTTCTACAACAAATCTGAAACAAGAAACTGATTCACAACATTTAGAAAATAATGCTTATGGAGCAGAACTACTGTTTCAGTTAAAATATATGGTTGAGTTGCTTAGATTTGCTTCTTCACTGAAATCATTAGAATCTAATTCTTTGTTTGTTATATTAACTAAAGCAATAACAAATGAATGACATATTAATCATTTTTAAAGATACATGGTCTTCATTGAGCTTTGTCATCTACCAAAGCCAAATTATTTGTGGTTCCCGGCAGTTGAAAATGATCCTTAGTATCTGTGGTCCATATTCAGTTGACCCGTTGCACTGGCAGAAGCCAGCACGTTAATTCCTGCTAGTGCAATGGAACTTTCTTCCTCCTCTCCTCAAGTGCATTCTATGCTGTCCCCAGATATTCTTTGGAAGGTTTGAGAAAACACCAGAACAGAATAGTTTTTGGGGATGGTATGAGGAGAAAGGTCCATTGCACAAGCAAAATCCTTATGCTGACAGAACCTTAGCCACAGCTCTACATTCAATACAACCCTAAGTACTGACACTATGAATCTAACCCTCAGCTTTATAGAAGTATAGACTGACTTTTGAAACCTGTGTGTATGTGGACTGGAACAATACAATTGTTTTCATTTTTAATAGTATATTGGTGAAGAATCATTAGGAATTTCACTTAATTTTATGCCAAGGAGCCACTATGGGACTTTCCTGGAACAATTACAAATTAGCTGTTCCTGCTGGTACCTAGACCACTGCTGCTCTGGCCAGACTAGTCTCAACATTTCTGTATTAAAGATTGGCGCTTATTTCCCTCTTCTCTGACTACCTTTAACAAGTAAGAGGAAGAACATATTGCCCTTGCAGGAGCTTCCCTCCCTGCTTCTTCAACACGAGTCACTGATCTTGCCTGTGCCTCCTGGCTTGAAGGAAGCAAACTCTGTACAATGACTCATGCAGAGAAGAAATAGGCAGCCTCCTCTGAGTATGGTGGCAAAATCTGCCATGCGTTTTCAGCAGGAGTGACTGACAGATCCTATCCCATCTGATGCGGTCACAGCAGAATTGACATCAGCTTTCCTCACATCCCAACACACACACACTTTGGGAGGAGTTAAGATCAGAGAAGTGAATCATGCAGTGATGTAGAGAGTGGCTTCCTTCGTATATGTATGCATGTGGGGTACTCTAGATTCACATGGCGCTTATCTTATTTATATCTTGTGACATGCACTGCAAAGAAACTACCGACCTAGACACAGTATATCTTGACATTCTTATTGCAGTAGCAAATGAAGAGGCAGCACCACATGTCACGTTCAACCATTTGTCTGCAGGCCACAGGTTGGAATTTTTGTTGTTTTGCTTACACAAAGCAACCGCACAACGGCACAGGCGTCTTAGGCATGAATTAAAGAGGCTTCTATTTTAGGTAGCAGCGAGTCACTTTGTTTCTGCCTAACACGAGAATGGCTCTAAGCTTGCAAAACAATAAAATAATATATTAAATATTCAAGAGTTCAGAGATGCGAGAGCTGAAGTAACATGCATTTGTCAAGAATCCCTTACATCAGCAAATCAGAAGATCTCCCACATCACACTGGAGTGGGGGAAAGCAATGATATAGTATTTGCTGATGTACTGCCAATTCAGGTCAATTATTAGAGATTAGTCAGATTTCCACAAATGCACTTCAGTTAAAGAAGAGGAAACCTTGCAAATATAATTTGGCTACCATTTTGTTTTCTTCTTCTTCCTCTAGGTCCCAGTTGCATTTTGATGTCCCAAGTTTTGTTAGCCTACAAATACTCCCTTAAAAAACCCCAATGCTTGAGAACCACTTTATTAAGCACCCTCTCCCACATACAAACACACTCCCTGAAGTGTTGCAGTCCAAGAAAGGGCAATGACACGCATATAGCTGGGTCTCGTCTTGGTAGTTTTACAAAGTTAGGAACAAATTTAGGAGATTCTATTACGAGCGAGACACACAACAGGGATGCCAAATTAAAATTGTACTTCCAATTGTCGTTTTTGTGTTTCCTAGAGTTTAAAGATGTTGTGGTGTGATTAATGGGTTGCTGACCAAATGGTCCCTCTGCAACTTCAAGTGCATCACAACACTCACAGTTCTTTTCCCCCTGCGCAGGGCTGGTTGTTGCACTGAGACTGTGCTTGTGGACCTGTTTGATTATTTTTAGCTAGGAATCAATAAGGGAAATCATACCCTATTGATCTTATTAGGCTTCGTTGCAGCCTCATTCATCACAAGGTGATGGCATCTCAACTGCAAGACTTGGTGGTGGTTTGCAGGGACGTTCCTGAATTACTCTCATCATTTCTGGCAGGGAAGTGCTGGGTGGTTGCTTGCAAGGTCCCATTCCCCAAACATGTTATGATCGAGACATGTCCACTACACGCTGCATTAACATCCAGCTCTCTTTTCCCAACAGTCTCACGTAGACCCAGCACACAGTTTCATTTGAGGTTGCAGCCAAGTACTTAATGCAGATAGAGTGATAGCAAATCAAGGCAAGCATGGAAAAAAGATACTTGCAAATTTGAAATTAGAGGGGCTAGGTAATCCTATTATCAGAAAAATCTTATTGGGTGGTCTTGGGTATGTCTAAACTATTACAGTCTAAGACCATAATTCAAACCCCAAACAGAATGGAAGGGCTCAATGGGGTGTCAGGACCACCACAGCACCCACAGCCATAATAATAATAATAATACAAAAATTTTATTTATATCCCGCCCTCCCCAGCTGAAGCCAAGCTCAGAGCGGCTAACAACAGTAAAAGTAACACAATTTACATAAAATCACAATCAATTAACTGAAATACATTCTAAAATCAATTCATTCTAAAATCAATTCAGAATCCAATTAATGGCAACCGTTGGGCTAGCGTTCTATGAGGATCACCAAAGGAGGGAGTCAGATTGTGCCTCGGCCAAAGGCCTGGTGGAACAGCTCTGTCTTGCAGGCCCTGTGGAAAGATGTCAAGTCCCGCAGGGCCCTAGTCTCTTGTGACAGAGCGTTCCACCAGATCGGGGCCACAGCCGAAAAAGCCCTGGCTCTGGTTGAGGCCAGCCTAACCTTCTTGTGGCCCGGGACCTCCAAGATGTTTTTCTCTGAAGACCGTAAGGTCCTCTGTGGGACATACCAGGAGAGGCGGTCCCGTAGGTACGAGGGTCTTAGGCTGTATTGGGCTTTAAAGGTTGTGACTCATGCGGACCAACCTGCAGCTTCCAGGATGGAAGGCACCAGGTTGGTCAGAATGTAATGCTAAACCATGGCTTAGAACTACATGGGCAAGCCTGAGCAAAGCTCCAGGCTCTCATGGCAGACTTCAGAAGGGCAGGGTGATATATCGTCCAAAACCGGTTTGAAGGCCATATAATTTCTGTTTCATAATTTTTGACCTGGCAATATAACCCAAATCACGATGTGTATGTGTGTTTGTGTGCTATGCAAAAATCACAATGTGGGAAAAACCGGGAAGCCAGCCAATGCTTTTCTCGGTTTTTGCAGCCCCTGTTAACTCTGCTGGCTCAGCTCTCCCCTACCTCCTGCAGGGGCCAGTGAATCACAAGAAAAGGTGCTGGCAAAAATCATGACGCGAGAAAAACAGTACCTCTACATAGCTCCATCCTTATTTCAGACATTGTGATATATTGGTATATCACAATGTTTAGCTGGTGATATATTGCGGTGTTGAAAACCAGATACCACCCAGCCCTAGACCTCATAGAATCATAGAATCATAGAGTTGGAAGAGACCACAAGGGCCATCGAGTCCAACCCCCTGCCAAGCAGGAAACACCATCAGAGCACTCCTGACATATGGTTGTCAAGCCTCTGCTTAAAGACCTCCAAAGAAGGAGACTCCACCACACTCCTTGGCAGCAAATTCCACTGTCGAACAGCTCTTACTGTCAGGAAGTTCTTCCTAATGTTTAGGTGGAATCTTCTTTCTTGTAGTTTGGATCCATTGCTCCGTGTCCGCTTCTCTGGAGCAGCAGAAAACAACCTTTCTCCCTCCTCTATGTGACATCCTTTTATATATTTGAACATGGCTATCATATCACCCCTTAACCTCCTCTTCTCCAGGCTAAACATGCCCAGCTCCCTTAGCCGTTCCTCATAAGGCATCGTTTCCAGGCCTTTGACCATTTTGGTTGCCCTCCTCTGGACACGTTCCAGTTTGTCAGTGTCCTTCTTGAACTGTGGTGCCCAGAACTGGACACAGTACTCCAGGTGAGGTCTGACCAGAGCAGAATACCTCAGCAAAGTTAACTTTTAGTTTCAAAGAATATCAGCTTAGTGCTATTTGTGAACAAGGAATCTTGGTTTAGAACAAACAACCGTTTGCTAAAGAAGCTGAAGGAGAGGCCGATGCTCTTCCTGGGAGTGGGGAAAAGAGAAATAAGATAGAAATCATTTATTTTCTATTTGAGTTTCTTTCATAACCCATGATCTGAAGTTGGTTTGATTGGCAAGTTACCATTGTTTGTTGTAAGTCAAGATTCCTGGTTTAAGCATTCCTGATTTGTACATGGGAGGAAGCAAGAAGAGTGGGGAGTGCCCCAGCCTCACTGAGACTCATCCATGTACAGTGATACCTCGGGTTAAGAACTTAATTCGTCCTGGAGGTCTGTTCTTAACCTGAAACTGTTCTTAACCTGAAGCACCACTTTAGCTAATGGCGCCTCCCGCTGCTGCACGATTTCTGTTCTCATCCTGAAGCAAAGTTCTTAACCCAAGGTAATATTTCTGGGTCTGCAGAGTCTGTAACCTGAAGCATATGTAATCCGAGGTACCACTGTAGTGCTGAACTATGGATAAACTTTGCATGCATACCAGCCCACCGTGGAAATATGGCACATCCAGTGGTACCTCGGAAGTCGAACGGAATCTGTTCCGGAAGTCCGTTCGACTTCCTAAACATTCGGAAACCAAGGCACGGCTTCCGATTGGCTGCAGGAAGCTCCTGCAGCCAATCAGAAGCCGCGTAAGCTGCATTGGACATTCGTGTTCCAAAGAACGTTCGCAAACTGGAACACTCACTTCTGGGTTTGCGGCGTTCAGGAGCCAAAACGTTCGACTCGCAAGGTTTTTGGGGATCCAAGGTACGACTGTACTGAGAAAACAGAGCCCTGGTAGTCAGCCCATTTAAAAACAACAACAAAGACATAGCTACAGGCCAAACAAGAAAGCTTCATGTGCCTACTGCAGCTGAGGCTCCAAAAATGTTTGTTACGTGTTTATTACAACTTAAGATGTAATTTGCCATCAGTTAATTTTGAAATATTACCTTTCTTTCTTTTAGCAGCTGTTGATACCCCTTTGTGCCCAAGGTCAGCAATGTAATGAGAAGATCTAATGAAGGAGAGGCTGATGCTCTTCCTGGGGGTGGGGAAGAGAGAAATAAGATATAAATCATTTCTTTTCTCATTGGGGAGAATAAGCTATTTGAGTTTCTTTCAGGGTTGTTTCCTGAAGAAAAATCCATTTAAAAACTATATACCTGGGTACATTTTGCTGATCTCCTGTATGAAGGAGTCACTGAAGCCAGCAATGATAGCACCACCTACTGGAACCATGAAGTTTTTGTCCAAACTTTGCACAAATGCATCAATTCGACCTCTTCGTGCTCCCTAAAAAGACAGACACAGAACCAAGATGAGAACCAAGGTGACCTATCCTTAATCTATGTGATTAAACAAGGAGCTGGTCTTTAAAAAATCCAGTTTTAGCTTATTTTATATCTACTGCTTTTTGTATTTTTACTGTTGGTACGATAATTGCTTTTGTTTCTGATGTCTTTGATCTGTTTTGTATTTGTTTTATGGTTCTCTTTTGCCGGCTAATTAAAAGATAAATAAACCCAGTAGGCGTATGAACAAAGTATTAGTCAAAGCCACTAACCATCAGTACAACCTACCAGGAAAATTAGAACTGTCAGTCCTTCTTGGCACATATTTATTTAAAACAACTCTTTAGCTACAAAGGCTCCCAGACAGCTCACTAAAATCGACAGTCTGCCTCCAAAAGAAAAAGAGATAGGGAAGGAGTACGAAAGAAAGGAAACTCAGGCATTTGTTCTTAAATGTCTTGAAGTTTTTTAGAATGACCAGTTGGAAGGGAAATAGTTCTGGGAGAGGAGGAGCCAAAAATAAGTGTGTTGCATAGCTGTCAACTTACAGATTTGAAAATAAGGGACCAGCAGCCTCGGAAATAAGGGATCAGCAGCCAAAATAAGGGATTTTCAGAGCACAGGTATGTTCGGCTTCTGAGCCCCTCCGAGCCAAAGGCAGAAAGCCCAGCCAGCAGCCAAACGAAGCCTCAAGTGGTGGTTTCCACAGCGCAGCAACCCGGCAAAGCGGATGCAGCAAGGAAAACCACCGTCACCTCTCTGCTGGGAAGCGCTGAGCAAAGGCGAGTCCCCAAGCAAAACGGCCGATTTGATCGGCACAAGGCATGCAAGCTCCACCCCCCAGTCGTTCTTAGACTCCTTATTGGGTGAGCAACGCAGCCAAGCAACACAGCTGGAGCCTCCCTGGCCAGCAGGGAGGGAGGGAGAGGAGCTGCTTCCTTTGAAACCCGGGAAATTTAAGGGACATCATCAATAAGGGACAGCAGAGGGACACGGCGCTGGGATAAGGGAGTTTCCTGCCAAATAAGGGACGGTTGACAGCTATGGTGTGCTGTCAGCTGAACTGAACTGACACTGATAATGGCCCTACTTCCCTCCTCAGCCTTTGCAGTATCCTGATAAAATGACTCCTGCTCAGTGATAGTTGAGGGAGGGAAAGAACCAAAGGCAGCTAAGTCTCTTATCAGGGTCTTGCACAATTCCCATTCACGTCAATGGAGCTTGATACAGGAGAAGTGTCTGGTAGATTGTACCCAGGTTTCTTTACAGGGGCTCCTTTGTTCCTTGTTAAAACTGTTTTGGAAAACCATGTTAAACAATAGAGATTAAAACCACAGGACGGGTCTCTTGCAACACCACTCTTCTCCAAAACGTGCCATGAGGTTTTAGCCACAAAATTCCTGTTCAGTAAGAGACCTTTCTGTAAGATCACAAATGCATATCTCAATTTACAGTTGGAGGATCACTAAATTAATTTGCATTCTCACGCTGAACTGCTTAGGAAGCATGAGTCTTTTAACAGAAAGATTTATTTACATTAACGTATTTCTAGCCCACCTAACCAAGGAGACTTAGGAGGCGGCTGGCATTTTAAGAATAGAAAACATGCTAAGATAGAACAGCAGCAGAATAAAATAATCCAGCTACGATCCTAAAATCAGCAAGGAATAAAACAACAGAACAACATATGCCAAGTTAAAACATCTGTGCAGATAAACATGTTGTCCCCCACCACCACCTTAGTGCCAAAAACTCATTATAGGCACCAAGTGTGCCGTCCGATGGTGTGTGCTCCACAAGCAGGGTGCCAACACAGAAAAGGACCTGTCCTCCTGTTCCCCACCTCCTTTTCTTCATCTGGTGGGAGAACTCAGGACAACGACCATCTCAGATAGCATCAGGGGATGCATTGTTTCAGAGCTGATCCCAAGCTACACAGGGCTTTATAGATTATGGTAAAGCCAGTCCTTTGAATTGTACGTAGAATTGCACACAGAGCCATCCAGCGCTGCATCTAACAGCACCTCCAGTCTGTGAATTTGACCCTCAAGGAGAGGAAATCTATTCAAAAAGGTCTGAACACTTATTTCCCAGGTGTGGTCAACCATCTACCAACACTACCACCCTGCCTAGATTGAGCTTTAGAGTGACATTCAGCTCTATTTTGAGTACAGTGGTACCTTGGTTTACAACCATAATCCGTTCTGGAGGTCTGTTTGTAAACCAAAACAGGTTGTAACCCAAGGCACGCTTTCGCCAATGGAGCCTAAAAAAAAAAAAAAAAAAAAAAGGTCATAATCCAAAAAAATGGTTGCAAACTGGGACATGCACTTCCGGGGTTGACATGTTTGTAATCCAAAACTTATGCAAACCAAGACGTATGCAAACCAAGGTACCATTGTAGATCCATTGAGATTAATGAGCACAACTAAGTTATATATTAATTTTAATAGGTCAACTCTGAGTACAACTTAGTTGACTACCACCCCAAGAACCCACGTTTACTATAAATTGTGCATCCCCCATCAGCAGAGCAGATCCGTTTTCCCAATGCAAAGCAGAAAACATATAAAAATATAAGTAAAAGTGATCCCTTTGAATGTCTTAACATAAATCATAAACAAACAGGAGCAAAACAGAAAGCAGTGTGCAACCCAGTGGACTAATGGACCAATTGTGCTACTCAGTATTTTCTTGACAAGACTATCATTAGAAGTGATTTATTATTTCCATTACAGGTGATGTAGAAAGTTAAATTGTTCTTCACATTTTGATCTCAGCGTTCCTATGTAACAGTGGAGCTTTCCACAATACAAATGTTAATTTGGCTACAGCCAGCTCTGAAAATATGTTTGTGAGGATGGGAAGAGTGGTGACTGTCCGGCCTATTGCTTGTTCATTGTCTGCCACACTACTGTCTTTACACGCATCTCATTTCTGGCGTTCAAGGCCTGAGGGGAAAAAAGATAGGGTGGGCACAAGCCCCACCTGGTTCCCCAGCGCCAGATCTTACCTTCCTCAGGCAATTTAATAACAAGTCTGTGTTACAGAGGTCTCTCATCTTCAAGTTCTTTCATTAGATAATTCTTTATCTCTGGAATTTTCTGGCTTGGCACATCAAGATTCCCCCCACCCCACTCAGTTCTATGTGGTGCAGCTGCCGTAAGACCGTCCCGCCCCAAACCATGTTTTGCAAATCAGGATCCACCCAAGGGTACATGCCTACCCCAAAGCAAATTCCCACAACCCTTATCTTGTTGGTATTAATTTAGTTTTGTTCTGCGTGTGTTGGTGCTAGCTTGTTTTCTCATTCAACAGAATCTAATGCCAGCAGCTGGAGTAGGTTAATATCAGTGTATGTTGAACAGTTAGGGAAGGAAGGTGTCATGGGTGCTGTGACATAAGGGACACAGGGAAACAGACCCCACACCAACGTGAATTCCCCACTTCAAATATTTTGATGCATCCCTTGTTTTGCCGTATGCCTTTATCGGCCACAAGACAAGAATTGTTGTTGTTGTTGTTTGGTCGTGTCCGACCCTTCATGACGCCATGGACCAGAGCACGCCAGGCACTCCTGTCTTCCACTGCCTCCCACAGTTTGGTCAAACTCATGCTGGTAGCTTCGAGAACACTGTCCAACCATTTCGTCCTCTGTCGTCCCCGTCTCCTTGTGCCCTCCATCTTTCCCAACATCAGGGTCTTTTCCAGGGAGTCTTCTCTTCTCATGAGGTGGCCAAAGTATTGGAGCCTCAGCTTCAGGATCTGTCCTTCCAGTGAGCACTCAGGGCTGATTTCCTTCAGAATGGAGAGGTTTGATCTTCTTGCAGTCCGTGGGACTCTCAAGAGTCTCCTCCAGCACCAGAATTCAAAAGCATCAATTCTTTGGTGATCAGCCTTCGTTATGGTCCAGCTCTCACTTCCATACATCACTACTGGGAAAACCATGGCTTTGGGAAAAACATCATGCTTAGTTAGGCCCTTCCTTCCTTCCTTCCTTCCTTCTGCCATGCAAGGAAGGTGTCTGTCTATCCATACATCTTCCATACATCACTACTGGGAAAACCATAGCTTTAACTATACGGTCCTTTGTTGGCAAGGTGATCTCTCTGCTTTTTAAGATGCTGTCTAGGTTTGTCATTGCTTTTCTCCCAAGAAGCAGGCGCCTTTTAATTTCGTGACTGCTGTCACCAAGAATTGCATCTTTCCAAATGCAGCTTTTTAAAAGTTCAGATTCCATAACTACGTATGCCATTAAAATACCTTTAACAAACAGATTTCAGCAACAATCTAAGCCACATTCCTAAAATCCCAAGAAGTCTGGCCTATCTTAACATAGGGGTCACCCCCAAATGGAGGGAGGGGGGAGATCAAGAAAGCAGAAAGCTTATGAAAACTGGCTAGCCAGATGGCTAGACAAGGACTACTGATGCAGAAATGTTCCACAGTATTTATACTCATACTCAAGATAGGCAGTTGGAAAGGGGCACAAGACTCTTGCCTCAGCAGGCATCCCCATCACATGCTGCTAAAGGGCAGGTGTTAACTCAATCTGCTGCTGCTGGCTGCATATCCATAACCTATACATCAGCGCAATCACACAGAGACAACAGTGGCAAATCTGAGCAGCTCAACAACTTAAAGGAGCTCAAATTTTGCAACAAAGGAAGTTTCACAAACAGTGACGTCGTTTTGCACGAAGAAGTACTGGTGGCAAAAGCCCCCAAATTGGGGAAACCATATCCGAGAGCTCGAAATGCCCTTAATATTGGGTTAACTGATTTGTGGGCTGAGCTGCCTGTTGGTTTAGAAAAATCAGATGGATGCCAATTCATATGCAGGAATCACATTAATAAACAACAATAATAAACACCTAGTATTTACATAGCACCTTTTCAGTCTTTTAAGACATGCATATATCTTTACAAAATATCTCTCATGTCGGTATTATTATCATCACACACCCCAGCATCATACTGCAGGTGCATGCATGCATGTACAAAGCTTGGACTGATAGCAGCAATTCCTCCCTGCAAGGGTGGGGGCCCTTTCAGATGCCCCATCCCCCAGGAGACTGATTCAGGAAACTGGGGATTCCCGAATATTCTTGGGGGGTAGGGTGTCTTCCAGTGGAGAAAGCTGATGATCCTGTAGAAGCTCTGGTTTTGCGATGGAATGGTGAGATGAAATACGGTTGACACAATCGCTCCTGAACATTGGCTCCTTGGTAATCTAGGCAGCTTCAGGATATGAAGCAAGCCGGATGAAGCAAATAATAATAATAAGAAGAAGAAGAAGAAGAAGAAGTAGTTATTATTTATACCCCGCCCATCTGGCTGAGTTTCCCCAGCCACTCTGGGCGGCTTCCAATCGAGTGTTAAAAACAATACAGCATTAAATATTAAAAACTTCCCTAATCAGGGCTGCCTTCAAGTGGCGCAAGACTTGCTCTGGACCCAAACAAACCCTGGTTAGTGCACCTAATCATGCAGTGTAGAAGACTCATTTTGCAGCCTGCACTGTGGCCGACTGGTGGAGTTATTTTAGACAGTTACTTACTAGAGCGTTTGAGGACTTGCTGTGACCAACTGGCTGCACCCTTTGAGGATAAAGTTGCTTGACTTCAGAGTGACCTTGACTCTGCGGTTGTCACAGTCGCAGATGAAGTATCCAATGCCACCGTCCGTGATGTGTTGTGGGATCGGTTTCGCCTTATGCAGTCAGCTGACGTGGACAAGGGGCTTTCAGCTATATCCCCAGCTACATGTCCTCTGAGCCCATCTACCCTGGCTTTCTAATTCTAGAAGAGTGGGTTGGGTCAGAATGTGCTTACAGCTTCATTGTGGAAGGGGGTGTGGTACCTGCTACCTTGAAAGAGATGGGGTGGTACAGCCTCTCCTGAATAAACCAGCCCTGTACCCCTTGGAGTGGATTAACTATTGACCAGTTGAAAATGCTTCTTTACTTGGGGAAGGCCATGGAAAAGATTGGAGGGTAGGAGCAGCTGCAAGCATTCTTGGATGACACAGATTGTTTAGATCCATTCCAAACTAGGTTCAGGCCTGGCCATGGGGCTGAGTCAACCTTAGTCGTCCTAATAGATGACCTTTACAGGGAGTGGGACAGAACCGGGTGTGACTTAGCTCCTGCCTCTTGGTCTCTCTGTGGCCTTCAATACCACTGACTATGACATCCTCCTGGACTAACTCTGTGGAATGGGCACCATTCAAATACTTTTTATATAACTTTTTAATTGAAATGTTAACGTTTTATTTCATATTTTTGTAAACCACTTATCGAGGTTTCCTTACAATCAAGCAGTATATAAATTATGCAAAAAACAAAAACAAAAAACAAGTAAGAGAAAGAGAGGTTGTAGCTTTCCTAGGATTCCTTGCTAAAGCAAATCTTGCATCAGGTATTTCCTGGCTCACAACTCATTTTCTTAGCCACTGCACTATCTAGTCCTTGCATAGCATATTCTCCCAAAGCTGTGTGCTTGAAATTTAATTTCCCTATTCGCTTTTAAATACCATGACAGATCCTTTTCTGTTGAGAACTCTTAACCCATCCAGGTCAAGATCCTTTTACTCTCCTCATGCAAGTCAGGCTCTGACACTTCAGAATTTTGAAGGCTGAGAAAACTGGTGTGGATCGCGGAATTACCACCCCACATTCTGGGTTTATCTTCTCTCTCTTTCGCAGCTATTGTCCCTGCTCCTTCCACTCCCATTCTCTCAGGAAAATTTGCGACTAGTAAGAGAGTTAAGTATAGATTAAGTTAAGTATAGTGGCAGCCGCCCTGTGGAACGCCCTCCTACCAGATGTCAAAGAGAACAACAACTACCAGACTTTTAGAAGACATCTGAAGGCAGCCCTGTTTAGGGAAGCTGTTAATGTTTGATGGACTACTGTATTTTAATATTTTGTTGGAAGCTGCCCAGAGTGGCTGGGGAAACCCAGCCAGATGGGCGGGGTATAAATAATAAATTATTATTATTATTATTATTGATAAATAACAGAGGGAAACACAGTATTGCCAGCTAGAAAGCTCCAAGTTTCAAAGTTGGTGTAAAAGTCTAGTTAATCTAGAGACGTAACAGCCAAGATAGAGGTAAATGTCCCTTACCTGCTGAATGAGATGCATACATTTGGAGGACTGGACTCCATATGCATTATTGACTATGTGGGGGATGTCATATCTTGCACAAATCTCAGCCAATTCTTCCAATCTGCAAATATAAAATTGAAATTTGGGCAAACACAGTCAAGGAGAGAAAAGTACTAGAAGGAACCTGGGAGGAAAGACTGAAATAAATTAAAAGGAAACGTAAGGGAAACAAAGCAGAGTATCTCAGTTAGCCTCCTACTGCTTAAGATAAGATGGAAACAGTTCAAACAGTTCAAATAGCCGCATAACCAACAAGGGGATTATGGAAACCCGGTGACATATTTGGCATTGACTTTGAACAGATGAGCACATCACCAAAAGCTTTTGCAACTTCCTAAGTTTCATGCCGTTTGAGACCAAAGCCCTTAGACTATGGTATTAGTTCAAGAGTTATTTAGATGTTAGCTAAAGTTGCATTCTTATCTATTTTTCTAATGAGTATTTGGACTAAGAATTCAGTTTAAAAAGCACTTATTTTACGGTCCAATACAGTGGTACCTTAGTTGTCGAATTTAATCCGTTCCGGGAGTTCGTTCGACGCCCGGAGCTGTTCAAAAACCAAGGCGTGGCTTCCGATTGAGAGCAGAAGCTTCCTGCACTCAATCGGAAGCTGCGAAAGACATTTGGCTTCTGAAAAACGTTCACAAACCGGAACACTCACTTCCGGGTTTGCTGCGTTCGGGAGCTGATTTGTTTGGGAGCGAAGCCATTCAACAACCAAGGTACCACTGTAGTGGTAAACATAGTTGTAATTATTTAGAGGCATTCAATTTCTTTTTAAATCACAACCTTCCAATCTATCTCGATTTCGACTTCAATGGGTACCAAACATATAAAGCAGGCATAGGCAAACTCGGCCCTCCAGATGTTTTGGGACTACAACTCCCATCATCCCTGACCACTGGTCCTGTTAGCTAGGGATGATGGGAGTTGTAGTCCCAAAACATCTGGAGGGCCAAGTTTGCCTATGCCTGATATAAAGTCTGTTGTGAAAATTAAATAGTTCAGGACATATTGAAATGATTTAAACCAAAAAAAACCCAACTTTCTGATTAGTGCATTTTGGGGGGCAGGGGGAAAGTATGTCTACGAACTGAATGCTAGAACAGCTAAAATACCTGAACAGTACCCAAAGATCTTCGGGTGCAGCTCCCATGTCTTTTATACTACAGAATCTAGGTGTAGTTACGGGAACAGCTGTGAAATTAAGGGCCATATCCAATCATGCAGTTCCATAGGTGATTCTTCTCCTGACCCCTCCAGCCCCCTGGGAGCCCTCAAAATCAGTGTGGGGAGCACACAGGAGAAGGAAAGAAAACGGATGTCCCAATTTTTTTGTCTGATTCACTGTACAGCTGCAGCGCTACCAAGAACAGTGTACCTGGAACATCCTGTTCCAAAAACATCCCTCCATACCAAGAACATTCTGTCTACTGGACTGCCTACATATGTACAATTTTCACAATAATTAATATGATTCATAACCTATTGTGTCATCTGTGTAATGCTCAACTTCATGACACTTTTTTTTTTTTGCTTCTCATTCATTCTTTAACATAGGAAATCAGGCTTTGGTTCAATGTACTATATTTAGCAGGGTGATAAGAGATTTGGTTTTAAGAGAATGTAAATGTAGATTCTAATGGCTTTTTCAAACTCAGAAACAACTTAAAACCAAGTTATTTTAGGGAGCACTTGGTATAATTTCATTTATTCAAAAATCCATTTATATAAAATCATCCATTTTTAATCCACCCTGGCCCAAGAGATGAAAAATTGTGCCTCTGAGCTATAAATCCAATCCAAACTACGTAATTTGGCAGCAATTAAAATTATCATTCTCTTCCTACAGCCTTAGTTTAAATGAGCTGGTAATCTATGTGCACAAGCAACTAATCCAAAGTTCACTCTATTCTGAAGTAGGTCTTTACTACTGTAGTGAAGCAAGTGGAGGAGTACGAAGTCTGAACGGCAAAAATCAGGTTATTATTTAAAGTACCAGTGGGGGGCAGGAGAAAGGGTTTCAAAGGGTACACAGCCACACACAATCAGAGATAAAACAGTATTATGGAAACTACCCCCCCCAATTATCTTTGCCCAAAAAGAGGTACACCGATAAGACTAAAGTCTCAAAAGGGATATACGATTATTATAAGCCTGGGAAATACTGGTGCAGTAGATAGCATGTTAAACATGTACAAGAGAGGCTTGGGGTCAAATCCTCATTCAGCTATGAAGCTCACTGTAGCCTAATAATATTCAGCCATAATGCCAAACTGCAGTATGATGGCAGTTTAACAATGAGCAGACACAAGCTGCAGGGTTCACATGCCTGCTCCCTGCTCCTCCTTTTCCCAAAGTGTGGGGTGATCAGTGCTTGCCTACAAACCAGTGCCAACCCCAAGTGAAACCATTCCCAATATTATTGTTTTAAAAAATGTTACAGCCCATTTACTAAGCACGCCCTGCTTCAGTAGCCAGTACAAGGTAGGATGCTGCATAGCAACTGAACCACCACTTTCCTCAACATTTAATGGTCAAGGAATTCAGGCAGCAATCGTTAAGTTTGATGTTATAGACTAGGATGCCCTCCTTGCAGGAACATCAATTACTTTTGCTCTTGGTTGCAGGAGCTCTGAACAGCAAGGTTGCAGAGATGCCAGAGTTCAAAGAGATTCAAAGGGCCACTCTCAAATGTATTTAAAGTGAAATGCAGGAGGAAAAGGATGTTTTAAAACCATCTGCTGTGTGCTTTATTTTATATAGATATGTAAAACGTAAAGGTAAAGGTACCCCTGACCGTTAGGTCCAGTCATGGATGACTCTGGGGTTGCAGTGCTCATCTCGCTCTATAGGCCGAGGGAGCCGGCGTTTGTCCGCAGACAGCTTCCGGGACATGTGGCCAGCATGACTAAGCCGCTTCTGGCGAACCAGAGCAGCGCACAGAAACGGCGTTTACCTTCCCGCCACAGTGGTACCTATTTATCTACTTGCACTTTGACGTGCTTTCAAACTGCTAGGTGGGCAGGAGCTGGGACCGAACAACGGGAACTCACTCCATCGCGGGGATTCGAACCGCCGACCTTCCGATTGGCAAACCCTAGGCTCAGGTAGATCTGGCTACTGAATTTTTGCAGAATATAGTAGTTTAAGAATATGGGCATTTGCCATCTCTGGTTTAGAACAACAGCTAGAAAAACAGGTCGCAATCCAATCAACAAGTAAGGTGCATTTAGAACCACTCAAAACAATGTGCACACCTATTTCTGGTTTGGTTTGCATTGTAACTGCATGATCTTATACATGCTTACTGAGAAGTAAGAGTTCAATGGATTGCAGTCTAAGGGTAGAACAAGTGAGCTGGCTGAGGAGATAGGTGCTCCCGAGAAATAATTATATGAAGTATGAAACTTTGGAGGAAGGAATACAATTATGCCTGCACTTTCCTCGGGCAGGGGTCCCTAACATGGGAGTTCAAATAGTCTTTACATGCAAAGGAATAGTGCTGGAAGAAATGACCACATAAAAGTTATAAAAGGAAAATGCCATTTCATCTGATACCTAGACAAAATGTTATAGCAAAGTTGAAATATATTTTCTGAGGTTGCAGCAATGGGGGCAATCCTGTTGAAAAGATAAATGTGTGACCTTCAGGGGTTGACAGCAGTCCTTTAATAAAAAAAAGGCCCTTCAAATGCCATTGAATATTTTAAATTCATAGTTTCAGGAATGAGACAGCGCACAACAATGTACCGGACTACAAAGCTGCCGGCACAGAAATGAACGGCAAATTGCAATGGCCTGAGATTAGGTTATTTTTATTTTCACATTTCAATTCAGAATTTTTTCCAACTCAGTTTAGACAACATTCGCGGCACAAAGACAGAATTATTAGACCAACTTTATATCCTTTTACCACATACTTGTACAAACGTGTATTAAATCAATAAATCAACAATATATTTAAAAAACCAATTCAGTGTAGCCGAAACTAATTTACAGTAAAAAGAAAAAAAGATTCTTACTCAGAAGTTCAACTTTTATGTGTGACTATATTTCTAAAGAAGGGACACGGGTGGTGCTGTGGGTTAAACCACAGAGCCTAGGACTTGCTGATCAGAAGGTCAGCGGTTTGAATCCCCACAACGGGGTGAGCTCCCGTTGCTCAGTCCCTGCTCCTGCCAACCCAGCAGTTCAAAAGCACGTCAAAGTGCAAGGAGATAAATAGGTACCGCTCTGGTGGGAAGGTAAACGGCGTTTCCGTGCGCTGCTCTGGTTCGCCAGAAGCGGCTTAGTCATGCTGGCCACATGACCCGGAAGCTGTACGCTGGCTTCCTCGGCCAATAAAGCAAGATGAGCGCCGCAACCCCAGAGTCGGTCATGACTGGACCTAATGGTCAGGGGTCCCTTTACCTTTTTATATTTCTAAATGCAAAGACTTCTAGAGGAGGACTGCAAATTCTAGCTAGTACTTGACATTGAGGTCACAATCCAACAGTTCAATGCTGGTGTGTGTTGCTGTTTCAGTTGATCTTGATCATCTTTCCCCTACATCAGTAATTTTCAAACTTTTCACCTTTAGGAAATACTTTCCTAGCTTGCCATCAAATTTTGGACATACCAGACACCCACACACCCATGTCCTGTGGGAGAAGAAGGGTACTGGCACACAAGCTGTTCTGCAGGGAAACTTGTCAGTCATTACGGATGCATTCGCTGGAGAATATCCCTTCCACTAGCTTTCTGTGAAACGCCAGAAGTTCCTTGGACGCAGTCTAAAACTACTATCCTATCTACCCCATAATATATAGCTAGGTCAAGGATCATATGCAGAACACTCCGGATTAAGATCACAGGATGCAAAATCCTATGGATCTGCCATTTTTGAAACAACTGAATTAAAAAAATACAAAAAGGTAATATGGAAATGAGGAAGAAAAAAGAAGTAAGGCAAGATAAAGGTCTAAAAAATAGAGAGGAAGGCTATCTTACGCTAGGAGATGCTTTTGACCATTGCAATAATATGTGACAGTGGTAAATGTGTTAATAGGAATCACTAAACCTGTAAAACCCTTGACTGTGCTCCTCATTACGTAACTGCAGATACATATTTGCATGCATGAAGGAAGTTATTTACACAGTTTATACTACAGATCATTTTTACCACCACTACTTGAAAGACAATCCAATTTAGAGGATAAATTTTCTTACCCTCTGCAACCGCAATCACAATTTATTAGTTTCTCAGCCGACTCTTTGTCTCCCATCCACAAGCCCAAATCATTTACCCACAAAATTGGAATACGGTTCAACTTTGAATAGAAAAGCAGACTTGAAGTGTTACATTTTGTGGAGTTCAGAAGTGTTCCAAACAAATTTTTGCTGACAATCACAGATGAAGAGTTCACAAAATGAATAGTGATGCATTTTTATGGAATTTAAAATTTTGTTAATTACTTTTGTTTTAACTGCTGGGAATGGAATGACTTAGGCTGCAATCCTAGCTCCACATACATGGGTGTGAGCCCCACTAAATTCAACAGAGCTTACTTACTTCAGAGTAGGCACGATTAGGATTGCACAGTTAGTCAACACTTCCTATAAGCTTATCAAATGAACATCAGCAGAGAGGTAGCAGAAACATTAGACGTTAAAGAAGTTGTTTTTCTATCAATAATTCCAGCAGCTAAAGATGATATCCATCCTAATTAGAGACCCTCAGGAAAAGCAATTTGCAAGAATAACTTTACTCCAAAGTACAGTTGTGGAGGATCATTAATCTAAAGCAGGTATGATAAAAATCGTTTGTCTGACTTTTGTTCCACCTGGTAATATTCATATCCTAGTCAGGAACTCCCTCCTGTCTTTCCATGAATTGTTGAAGACTAACATGCAAATATTGCATTATTCTGACATTTAAGATTTTTCTGCACAAACAAGCCAGCACAACAGAACCTTACCTATAAAATGCTAGCTTTTTAAGTGCAAGAGGTTTTGCTTCAATATGAGAGAGCATTCAAATATACCATACCTTACCTGTAGTCTAGAATAGTATCTTAAAGGTAAAGGTAAAGGTACCCCTGCCCGTACGGGCCAGTCTTGACAGACTCTAGGGTTGTGTGCTCATCTCACTCTATAGGCCAGGAGCCAGCGCTGTCCGCAGATACTTCCGGGTCACGTGGCCAGCATGACAAGCTGCATCTGGCGAGCCAGCGCAGCACACGGAATGCCGTTTACCTTCCCGCTGGTAAGCGGTCCCTATTTATCTGCTTGCACCCAGAGGTGCTTTCGAATTGCTAGGTTGGCAGGCGCTGGGACCGAACGACGGGAGCGCACCCCGCCGCGGGGATTCGAACCGCCGACCATGCGATCGGCAAGTCCTAGGCGCTGAGGTTTTACCCACAGCGCCACCCGCGTCCCCTTAAGATAGTATCTTAAGAGCTGTACAAAGAGATTCCCCTAGTCTTTTGATTGAATTCTTACTCTAGCAAGGATATAGTCAGCTTAAAACCAGACCATAAAATGTATCTCAGTCATAGACCTCCACCAAATAGCTGGCAGACTGTGTCAATTACATCTGTTAACATTTAAACCTTCTTCCTTTCTGAGTTCCTGGCCATGTGAACCTCTTGTTTCTGCCAACTTTCTCCCCACTTTCCTTCCTGGATAAAGTATCTTCCTTGGTCTTCCTCACAGCTCTGGACAATTCCCAGTCTTTCTTTCCTAGTTCCCATCCCCATCTCCCCTACAATGCTTCCATTAGTCTGAGGCCTGCTTGTGATCCTGTCTCTCTATTTTCTATTTCCTCCTGTCCCTCTGCCTGCGGTGACTCATTCTAGGACATGAGAAGCTCAACCAACAACAGCCAGAGACCCTTCTCCATTATCTGATCCCTCGTGGACAGGCATAGGCAAACTCCCGCTCTCCAGATGTTTTGGAACTACAATTCCCATCATCCCTAGCTAACAGGACCAGTGGTCAGGGATGATGGGAACTGTAGTCTCAAAACATCTGGAGGGCTGCAGCTTGCCTATGCCTGCTCTTGGAGATTAGGGAAACTTAGTCAATCACAGGCAGTAGTATCATAACTACCCTCAAAGTCAAATATAAATTTTCGCTACCAAAAGTTTACATGTTGCTTTATTTACCTGTCAGGCACCCTTGGAGCAAAACATGATGTGGTAGAATGAACACAGAGTATATTATCAGCCTCAAGATCCTGGATTTTAGCTTCCACTGCCTTGAGATCTGTACGTAGCTCGTCACCTTCTAATACATTTTCTACCACCACGGGCTCAAAACCTAGTCCAGCCAACAAAAACAATATATATGAGTGGGCAGCCTGGATTCTCCTACAATTTAATCTTCACTCTATGTGCCTATCTTCACTCCAGTATGCCTCCTTTGTTTGATTTTATTCTCATTGCTTACTACAGAGACAACTATTCTATTTAAAATTACAGAGACTATTCTATTAAAATTAGTATTAAACTTTAATAGTAGCCACTATGGATATCAGTAAATAAACTGGTATTGCACCATCAGTCCAGGAAATTATCTCACTGGCACTCGCCATACAACATCCCATGGAAAATTAAAATTAAGGGCAAGATCTGACGTTCAAACATAAGATATAGCAGACAGGGCTACTCTCTCTAGACTCAATTTAAAATATTGCTAGCAAAAATGTCCTGCAAGATGGCATGAACATCCAGCTTCCAGTAAAAGAACCTGGAAGATGGACATAATATTCTAAGTGTGTCAACAGTGGTTTGAACACTCTGAAAAGAAATGCTGCAGAATATAGCAAAGGTGTTGAGGCAGCATACATCACACTTGACGTAAATCTCAAAAAAGTTAGCCTTTCAGGAGCTTATTGGCTATTTCCCTTCTTAGAAGCTATTGCAGATTTTGTGGATCTCTACCACAGGTGCTTGTCTGCAAGTTCTTAATCAGCCTCTGGACAAGCTGCTAGAATGCTACAGAATGTTCACACATATTCTCACTCTTCAAATAGGTGAGCAATAGAATATTGAAAATCAGTACGATTTCTGCCGAGAAGTGTAAGGTTTGTGCGGCTTTAGAAAAATCCTCACATGACCCAGGGACAAAAGAGACTGTGTGTTTCAAAGATAACTGGGAAACCAGAAAACTATAGAAGAAGGAAGGAAACTGAATTTTGCATATAATTATTTAAAATCATAGCTTGTATCAGGCTTCCAGTAAGTTATATATATTGCAAGCCTACACAATTTCCGACCTACCATGCAAAAAAACAAAAACAAAACCTCTAGTCATGTATTGCAAGGTATCTGACAAGCTCCCCGCTTTTATTGCAGTCCCAGGAAGGCATTAGCAGCTAGAGGTTTACCAAGAATCAAACAACATGTTCAGAGCTTGTGCTAAGCAAGCAACAAGAATCCCCAGCACTCCACACAAACCCTTTTACCTGCAGTGATCATTGACTTGAAACAGGATTTCTGGTCTATGCGGGGCCAGATAATGTATTTTGCCTTTGGTCTCTTGTGCCGCAGGGTTAGGAAGCATAACGTTAGGCTCATGCCAGTTGCCATGGGGACCACAAAGCAGCTACTTGCTGTCCTGACACCTGCAGGTAAAAGACAAAAATCAGATGTGAAAAACAAATGCTCTTAAAATACTGCAAGTACCTGTAAGGGAACACATGCGCTTGGATCCACACTTACCGGCAAGTTTTATGATATCCAAGGCAACTGAATTAGTAAGTTTGTTCAAGAGACTGGAGCCTGCAGCTTTCGGCTGAACAGCAGAAATATCGCCTGACCTTCCAATCCCATGGATCAGCCTGGAAACGAAACAGAAGGTTGGGAGGGAAATGCAACTTTTAACATAAAAATAGATACTCAGATACAGTTTTGCACCATGACTTAGTGAGAACCAACTTCATGAATTGTACTGGCATTAACTTCAAAATATGTGACTTGCTGTAAATTCAGTTATTGTATCTACTGCTATGTAGACCTACCAAACTTGCGACCCACCAACTTGAAGACAGCCAACAGCTGTCTATGGTAGCTTGGCAATTTAGCCAGTTCTTCTGCCTGCCCTGGACTGCAAACACAAGAGGGGATGCTGAGCCCCTGGAAGGCCCCAGTGACCTGGTTTGCAATTTCCTGGTATGCTAAACTCTGGTTTACCTGCACCACGTGAACATGCTGGCTCCAGTAGAGGAGTTTGCATTCACTTTGCTACTTGACGGTCCTTTCAGCACAGAGTGCCATGGCAGCTGAGTCAAGGTTCATGATTAAGGTCTCTTTGTCTTAAGCATGATCTGTGGCCAGTATCTCTTCCATGGTTGCATGACACAGAATGAAACGAACTGTCTAGGTTCCCTGTCTCCCTCTCCTACAGGATGCTCTCGCAGTTGCCTTTGATGGTTCCTCAATACATTCCAAACATTACAAGCCCCTCAACCCAATGTTTGCCTTCCTTAAGGAGCTGGGCAAGGTAAAACAAGACTCTGAGCTCTGTCGAAGTCGTCTGTGCATGCCAGAGGTTCCTTGTAAGGACAGAAGCAAAATAGGTCTCTGCATTGATTCTGCCTTCTGCTAAGCCAAGAAGGGAGACATACTGGTCCCATTCTCCCCAGTTCTTTAACACACACAGAAGACTTAGGTGAGGGGCAGGTGGAAACCACATATAAGGAGTGGACATGCCAAAAAACCTGGAGCTCTTTGTCATTCTATCACTTACAATTATTCCAACCCTGTAAGAATTATAATTCTTACAGTGTTGGAATAATTTTAAGTGATAGAGTGTCACTTATAATGACAGCTGGAACAACAAATGCATACTGTTTGGAGCAGCAAAGTAAGCTTATATTTAAAAATGTGTTGGCTGTAAATTATACAACAGCCCAATCAAGTGCCAGATGACCTGGGACTTTAGGCCCTTAGAAGCTGAGTTTGCCCATAAGCTCTGCTTCATTTGAATAAAATCAATTTTAATGGGCTTTTGTTCATGTTAGCCGCAATTAATCTGTCATAAGGGTCATTTAAAAATGCAACTCCCATAATTCAATATATGCATGTAACTGATGTTTAATATGTTTTTGTTTTAATATATGGGATAGAAGAAATTCTGATTAGTGTGCTGGTGAAGGGTAAATGTTCCACTGTAAAACTAATTAAGCTGAAGTGGAAGAGAAGAATACATCATTTATTTCTTCATCCAAAAATTCAATTTCACTATGCTAATATTTGTTAACATAGCAGCAAAGAAATTATTTTCACATTTTTAGCATACGAAGCAGGGGTTCATATGTTCAAAAAGATATAAAAACCTGCTCATACAAGCATTCTACTCGCATTAGGAACACAACATATGAGAAAAGGACCTGTTTGTAATTATTGTCTCTCTTTTCAGGAACCATGAACCTACTGTTATCGTTTAGGATGACAGAGAACAGGTACACGGTTCAACTGAAATACCCGTCCCTAATATGAAACCAACTCTGTCTGTTCTGGCAACACTTATCATGTGTGAAGTTGGAAGAAAGAGGTACTTGAGCAGAAGGCTGCACCTACTTGTTATAGTTGGCTGACCTTCTGTTAAATAATGTACACATGGTGTGAGGAACACCATGATTATAACCCCTAAGTGCTGTATGCATCTCCCATCCTACCCTTAACTCTTTTGCCTTGGATGAAGGGAATATTGGAATAATGAAAATTATTTCTGCTCATAACAAAATATCAAGCTATAAATGTACAGTATAAGCAAATTCAAAAATTTGCAAATGGACAAAACCCAAACCCCAAACCATATATTAGCATAATGAGATTCTACCTGCAATCCATCCATGAACTGGACCAGTGCTACACAACTGCAATACAGTGGTACCTCGGGTTAAGAACTTAATTTGTTCTGGAGGTCCGTTCTTAACCTGAAACTGTTCTTAACCTGAGGTATCACTTTAGTTAATGGGGCCTCCCGCTGCTGCCACACCACCGCCACACAATTTCTGTTCTCATCCTGAAGCAAAGTTCTTAAACCCGAGGTACTATTTCCGGGTTAGCGGAGTCTGTAACCTGAAGCATCTGTAACCCGAGGCACCACTGTACTGTTATCTGTCTGCATTATGGATACGGTTGGTGTGAATGGCTGAGATCTGTATGTTAGAGAGTACTAAGGATGTGTTTGGGAGACGTTACTATGAAGGAAAGCATGGGTATAGCTTCTACTTCAGTGATTTTGTTTAGCTGCTAATACTGTTTTATAAGATGCAGGGTTTTTAATGTATTTTTCTATTTGATTTTTACTTCTCTTTTTGTAATCTTTAAGAGGATATTTTGTTTCAACAGTGATTATGTTGTTTTTAAATGTGGGTTATTATTGCATTTTTGTATACGATTTGTAATTTGTATATAAATAAATCTGAAAATCTATTCTGATATTCAGTAATGTAGTACTTCAAATATTTTAAAATATGCTGTAAACTGCTTAAGATTTTTTTTTAAAGAAAATCTAATATGGTATACTAATGATCTAAATAAAACATTAGTGTGACACCATCCTTCGTGAGAAAGTAATGGTGAAACAACTAGTATACCCCATTATATATATTTTTGCTACTCTAGTAAGCGTTGGAATTGGCCAATAAACCAGGTTAAAGTGCCAATCTTCTGGTTTAAGTGATATGTACTAAGTTTGTTGCGCTGTTTGTTTTAAAAATAAAAAGCAGATTTAAACAAAATATCTGTGTAGAAAAACCCAAGCAACTTGAAAAAGCAGCAAAAAAGTAGAGCTAGCCATCATAATCCATAAGAACCATTCTTAAGCTGATACTGGTATTTATTAAACGAATCAAAATGTCAGAAAATGCTGTGCAGATTTTTGAATTTTCAGTTGCTAAACAATGGAACTAAGATGAAAGATCTCAAGGTGGAACATGGGAGGAAGTAGTCAACATTCAAACAAGACTCTTATGTGCTATGGAGGTTTCAGACTGCACCGAAGGATGCTGGGAAGAAGGAATATACTGTTACCTGCTACCCCTACTTCTGAGTAGTGCAAGATTCCAGATTCCAGGAATACCAGCTACGCTTATCCAGGGTCTGTGTTTCCTTCTGAACAATGAGGAGCAGCAGAAACTGTGTTGTCCTTATGATATATGGTTTATTTACACATATTTACAACCTAAGACTACCAAAGAGGGATCTCCAGCATTACAATGCAAGAGGTTATGGCTTCTCCATAGTCAGTATTGGATTAAGACACCAGCATCTTGCTTTCTGACTCTCTCCCAAGTCCACTGCTTAGTAAATCTGTGGCTTAACTCCTAACTGCCATTCTAAACTCTAACTTTTCCAAAAACACCAGCATTGTCTTTTAAACTAAACCTCTTTGAGGAAGGAAGGAAACCCACTCATTTCCAAGTGAGATATGCTTTCGAACCTTTGTGTTGCCTAAATGGTTCATCCCTAGGCTAACACCTCAAAAGGAAATTATCTGAGTTAGTCAGCTTTTATACTTGGCTTAACAAGGTCTAGCGCATGGCTTAGATCAGGGGTTGGCAACGTGTGGCCCATGGGCCAGATGCGGCCCACGAAGACCATTTTACCGGCCCACGACTGCCCCCGAACCAAGCCGCCCACTCATCGAGTCCTCTGCAGATACTGGAAATCGCGTCTGCACATGTCGAGACGCCAAAAATCGCTTCTGCGCAGGTGTGATTTTCGGCGTCCGGGCATGCGCAGAAGCAATTTTCGGCGCCACAGACATGCGCAGACGTGATTTCCGGTGTCGCGCAGCGCTCGTCTGGCCCACGGATAATCTCCGTGGGAGTGATCCAGCCCTTGCAGACCCCTGGCTTAGATACACACTGGGTCTGTGTCTAGCTATCACCTCCAAGAAAACTAGCTTTCACACCCCAAACCTTAATTACCGGTAAATTCTAGCACCCATAAACACATAGCAATACAATGGCTGAGCCCTCATTTTGGGGAATATAAAATCTAGTTGTTACCTAGTTATGCACATTCCTTGACAGGAGGAAAACAGGTATAAAAGAGAAATAAGTCACTTGTCATATTAAAAATGCCATATTTACCTGTAATGCCGGCGGGCTACAAGCCCTGATGCCACTCTTCCTTCCCTCTCACCCACACCACAGTTGCCTAGGAAATTATTGCTGTCCATAATTGCCAATTCATGGAGAAAAAGTTCAATAGTGCTTTCATCCCATCCATCTTCAGGACATTTGCCCTTCAGAAAACAGTACAATTAAATACAATACAGTTAAAGTACACACATAAAGTACATTGTTGTTGTTTCATTTTCTTAGATAAGCTAAACTAGAATAAGGAAAAATGAATCTGTAACTTGAAAAACACACCATGTTTTTAATTGAAAAGTACTCTATTATTGCAAAGTACTACAAAGAAACTTCTTCTTAAACCCACCACTGCAAAGAAACTTCTTTTTAAACCCACCAATGTCATTTAGTTTCACGCAGAAAAATATCAAGGTGTTCAAACTCACACCATTTGCCTTGCAGGATTGCAACACTGGCTCACTTCAGGTGATGTACCCATAGTTTGGTGAACATGCAGCAGGTTTGCACACTTCCTTTCCCCCTCTCAAATGCAAATGTTGAACTCCCTTCTATGGCTCATAACCACAGTTTACGGTTACATCTTCATTGGGGCTAAAAACAACCAGGACTGCCTCAAACCCTAACTTGAAATGCTGGCTGGAAATAGGTTTGCACACCACAATTTCTTCCCAAATCCTGGTAAGCTCTAAACCACAAGGCTTTAACTGTGATTAAAGCAAAACGCAGAAAAGAGAAAAAATTCACATGCAAGAGGGGTAAGAGTGCACCTATCCAATCTCAGTTACAGTTTAGATTAATTTAGTTTAGTTGTTTAGAAAACAGTGAAAGACTGTCTGAAATGAGGCACCATTTCCAATACAGCAGGGGTGGCCAACTCCCAAGAGACTGAGATCTGCTGGCAGTGATCTACTCCCTTTTCTGGGGTCCAGGTCAAAATTGTTGAGCTTTTTTTTAGGAAGGAAAGCCCTGTTTTGGGGGAAGCAAGGCAAAAAATTTGAGCTTTTTCTAGGGGAGCAAAACTTGTACAGCTTCTTTGAGGGGAGCCACTGATCTACCAGCCACGTCCAGTGATCTACCAGTAGTTCACGATCCACCTGTTGAATGTGCCTGCAATATAGCTACCACTTTTGCTTGAATTTCAAAGCTAACAGGGAAACCTAGTCCAGAAGCAGAAGGATGAAGTTAACACTATCTCAAGCTATGTTCACAATTAAGTGTGCATATGTAGATCACACATTATTCTGAGGATGAAAAAATTATCCAAGGTTATTTTCTTCAGTAAAGTGTCTTAAGTAGGTAGAGAGTAAGCAAACAAATTCAGTGGGACTTTCTATGAATGCTTACTCAATAGTATTAGGTTACGTATTAAGCTGGCCGGACCTAACAGATGTAACTAACACGTCAGAAGAACAAAGGTTTCTGATAGCTCTGCCAAAAATAAGGCATTATTACTTGCTGCCTTTCCTCCTATGCATCTCGATGGGCCTGGCTAGGTATGGAAAATCACAAAATATATGAGATACAAAACTCATCACTATTTATAGTGTGCTTCTTCTTCTATGAGTAGACAATTCTCAGACCCATACCATACATTTTAAGAACACCCAACAAGCATTTAAAGCACATGACTTCCCCCAAAGAGCCCTGAGAAACTATAGCTGCCCACTCACAGAGCTACAAGACCCAGAACCCTTAAAAAACTACAGTTCCCGGCGTTCTTTTTTTGGGGGGGGGGGGTCACACACTTAAAATGTGTGTTGGATGCACTTTAAAGTGCATTCAGAGGCGTGGCAGAGTAAATGGCCCTTAACTGCAAAGAGACAAAGGCTGCCAGTAGCTAAAACCATACCAAGGCGCCAGTGGGAAGCTTCCGACCTTGCTGCTATGTGGACAAGCCACCTTAAGGTCCATAAATAGCAACACCCTAGAGGTCCCGGGCCCTAAGGAAGTTAGATTAGCCTCAACCAGAGCCAGGGCCTTTTCAACACTGGCTCCGGCCTGGTGGAACGCTCTGTCTCATGAGACCAGGGCCCTGCGGAAAGAAATCAGATCCTGCAGGGCCTGTAAGACAGAGTTGTTCCACCTGGCCTTTGGCTTAGAATCAGTTTGATTCCCTCCCCCTCTTTCTTTTTCCTTTCTCCTCCTGTGATGAGGCTGCATTTTAACGTTTTAATGTTGTATTTTAATCTTGTTTTCTAAGTTGTATTTAAATCAACTTGTTTTTATTATTGGTTGTTAGCCGCCCTGAGCCCGGTCTTGGCTGGGGAGAGCGGGGTATAAATAAAATTTATTATTATTATTGGCCTCCAGGGTTTTACATCACTGAATCAGAGGCGCTGCCACCACAACCATGCTCAGAAACAGAACGGCCGGGGTGGGGTGTCCTTTTGCGCCCAGGGCTGCATAAGAGCCGTAGCTCAGTGGCAGAATGCCTGCCTTGCCATGTTCAGTCCCCAATGGCACCTCCAGGTGGTGTCTAAACCCTGGAGAGCTGCTGCCAGTTAGTGTGAACAATACTGGGCTAGATGGACTAAATGACTCTGTAATAATAATAATAATAATAATAATAATAATAATTTATTATTTATACCCTGCCCATCTGGCTGGGTTTCCCCAACCACTCTGAGAAGCTCCCGGCAGAATATTAAAAACAAGATAAAACATCAAACATTAAAAACTTCCAGATACAGGGCTGCCTTCAGATGTCTTCTAAAAGTCAGATAAAAAGGTAAAGGACCCCTGAACATTAGGCCCAGTCGTGACCGACTCTGGGGTTGCGGTGCTCATCTCGCTTTATTGGCCGAGGGAGACGGCATACAGCTTCCGGGTCATGTGGCCAGCATGACTAAGCCGCTTCTAGCGAACCAGAGCAGCACACGGAAACGGCGTTTGCCTTCCCGCCGGAGCGGTACCTATTTATCTACTTGCACTTTGAGGTGCTTTTGAACTGCTAGGTTGGCAGGGGCAGGGACCAAGCAACAGGAGATCAACCCATTGCGGGGATTCGAACCACCAACCTTCTGATTGGCAAGTCCTAGGCTCTGTGGTTTAACCCACAGTGCCACCCGTGTCCCAGAAAAGTCAGATATTCCTCCTTAAATTAGCCTTTTATTCAGACCATGAGGACTAGAACCTTGCTTTTTGTTGTTAGGCAGCTCCCTACGTTCTGTGTTCCATGCCAGGCATAGGCAAACTCGGCCCTCCAGATGTTCTGGGACTACAGCTCCCATCATCCCTAGCTAACAGGGCCGGTGGTCAGGGGATGATGGGAGTTGTAGTCCCAAAACACCTGGAAGGCTGCTTGCTTATGCCTGTTCCATGAGGAGAATGACATCTCCGGGGGCGTGGCCTGTAAAAGTAGGCAAGCTGTGGGCGGGGCTCCCGGAGACGAGGCCACGCCCCCACCTCCCGCTTTCCCTCAGGAAGAAACGACGAGCAACTCCCCGCCGGCCCGGCCTTTTACCTGCTCCAGTAAGGCCCGCAAGCGGAGCTCGTGCGCGCGGCGCCCCTGCGACCCCTGCCGCACGTAGGCCGCGTTCACGAGCCTCTCGCTCGCCAGGAAGTTCTCCGTATTCATGGCGGAGGAAAGCGAAGGAATTGAAGAGGCGGGCGCTCTCCGCCGAGAGGGAGGGGTTGAGTTTCCCTGCGCATGCGCACTCCGCGCGTGACGCTTTCGTCGGTCAAGAACAGTGAGAGAGAAGGCCGCTCTCGACGTTATAAGAACGTGAGCGACTGGCGGCCCCTATCGGAGAGGAGGACGAAGGTGGAAGGTACTTTCTGAACGGCGCCGCTTTACAGAAGCTTTCGTTCTGCGCACGCGCAGTTAGGTCAGTGATGGGGCTCTACAGATGTTGGACCACAGTATCTTCATCCTTGGAGTCTTTTGACAACATCTGGAGGGCCAGTGGATCCCCTCTACTGGTTCCCTTAGCCTTGGTGCGGAGAAACTCCCGTAGCAATACTATTATTATTTATTTCATTTATTAAACCCTTCATCAGTAGATTTCAGGGCAGTTGACAGCAATTTATCACATTTCTTAGTCGTTTTATATCTTGCCCAAGGCAAAGTTACCAGGAGTGAGCAACCTTTCGGATTTCACAGGTCTCCTTCTCAGGCCAAACATTTTAAAGAAGGGGGCTGGGCAAAGAAGAGAAGGAAGTACGAAAGACAAAAGGTGCTGACAAGTCTTGTTTTGAGTGTATTTGAATGAAAACTTTGTCAAGGAGCTTTCAGTCAAGTTAATGAGTCTGGGCAGGTCGTCAAAATGAGCAAAAAGTGCCCAGGGTGTAGTGATCATGTGGACAGAATCCTTAAAAGATGCTAAGCATGGGTGTAGCCATGATTTTTATTGGGGGGGTAGGCTTTTATTGGAGGGGCAGAACCTGAGTTAGTTTTATTGATTTTTATTGATTTAGGGAGGGGTAGCTACCCCTTTGCCCCCCCCCCCCCGGCTACATCCATGATGCTAAGGTTTTCCATTCCCCTCCCCATTTTAATTATTAGTTTTGTGCATCCCCTCCCTGTTTTGCTATATTTTTAACGACTGGAAATTAAAATTGAGTTTTAAAGTTGTCCTAACCTTGTTTTCTTGCATGGGATCAAAGTTTTGTTTTTAGAATTTGAAGATCTGTGGCCCTGACAATAATTTGACAACATATCATGTGGAATTAATGTGCTCAGAATTTAGTGATGTAAATATATTTGTTTTCAAACAGGAAATATTTTTTGCCTCATGATGCTGTTCTGCAATGCCGCCTACAGTGTGTGTTGAATATGTATCACAAGAGGGCGCCATCATACAACTCAGTCACACACAAATTTATTTTCATTATATTGCCTTTAATCCTCCTGCAGCCACGATTGAACACAAGGCTAGAGAAAAAGAGAAAAACTGACATATATTTCAGGTACAACAAGTTAAACAACAAGCATGAAATCTCATTTAAGTCATATAAATGCATTATATATGTAAGAATACATATAATTAATCTATTACCAATTACCGAATCATAATTTTTGGTAGTGGTTCCCTCTTTATGGCATGTCATCCCTGCTGGTGATGTGTCTGTTGATCTCAGTATTAATATTCCTCACTCATTATTGAAATTCAGGAGGAATTTAGCAATATTCCTGTTTAATTACAAAATATTTGTTTCAACTCGCTTGTGGAGACTATCAGAGGTCACAAAGAGAAAGGGAAAATATATGAAAACAACAACAAGAGATGTGGAAAACAACAAGAAAGGATTGGATAGAATTGTGAACATCATTTGGACAGATTTGTGGACATTAAAGCAGCAACAGCAAGATGATTGGATCCCTTTTGGAACTTGAAATATGGGTACCCCCAACAAAAATTTAAAAATTGACTTTGTAATTTGGAATTAATGTGATTTGATTTGGTTGGTCTGTTAATAAAAATTATTTTTTTTAAAAAAGCAATATTCCTGTTTAATGATTACTAAGTGTGCAAGTGTGACATTATTAGCTGTGGGGATATTTGAGAGTTTTTGATTGTTTTATTATCATTTTTTTAAAATGCATGTTTTGCTGTTTGCCATCCTTGGCTTCTTTAGGACAAAGGGCAGGGTAGAAATTTTACAAAATTACAGTTTACAAAACTTCTGCATGATTCATTTTCATAGAATGCTTTACTCAAAAACTTTAGCATCTTCCATAACTAAACAGAAAAAAAGCTTTTAAAATACAATAAAAATTTCTATTTACGGGTATATCATTCCATGCAACACTGGGCATGTCCATTACTTTCAGTGCAATCCTGTGCATTACTCATATCCTGTGGTGGCTGGTGACTATTGGAACTGGTCCGACAGAAGGCAGGAAGGTCACCAGGAAGTCACTGACAGGCAGTGGAGCCAACTTCTAGTTTTGTCTTCATTCTCCTCCCTGCTGAATTCTCCAAGGGGAGGAGGGGGCCACCCTTGGACTGGGTGTAAGTAAGAAGGTAGGCAGGTGGTGGCTGGTTGAGATTATATCAGGAGTCAGCAAACTTTTTCAGCAGGGGGCCGGTCCACTGTCCCTCAGACCTTGTGGGGGGCCGGACTGTATTTTGAATAAAAATATGAACGAATTCCTATGCCCCACAAATAACCCAGATACACATTTTAAATAAAAGCACACATTCTACTCATGTAAAAACACCAGACAGGCCCCACAAATAACCCAGAGATGCATTTTAAGTAAAAGGACACATTCGACTCATGTAAAAACATGCTGATTCCCGGACCGTCCGCAAGCCGGATTTAGAAGGCGATTGGGCCAGATCCGGCCCCCGGGCCTTAGTTTGCCTACCCATGGATTACTGTATTTTTCGCTCTATAAGACGCACCCGACCATAAGACGAACCTAGTTTTTAGAGGAGGAAAACAAGAAACAAGAAAGCAACGCAAAGCCTCTTGAGCAAAGAGGTAGGAGTGCTTTGGCTGCATTCAAGAGGCTTTGCGTGGCTATCGTTGAAGCCAGAAGAGCAAAAGGGATCATTGTGCATCGATCCCTCTTGCTCTTCTGGCTTCAGCGATAGCTGCGCAGCCTGCATTTGCTCCATAAGACGCACACACATTTCCCCCTTTTTAGGAGGGGAAAAGTGTGTCTTATAGAGCGAAAAATACAGTATACTGGGCTTGATGGGACACTTCCCCATTTGCCTTCCACTGCCCCTACCCAAAGGATTTACTCCCATTAAAAATGTGTGGGACTGCTGCATTGTTCTTTAACAGACCCTCCCTCCCTAGAAGTTTTAAAGCAGAGGTTGGATGCCCATCTGTCATGGATGATCTAGTCCAGGAGCCTGCATTGCAAGGGGGTCGACTATAGTTTATTTATTTGCAACCTATTTTCCTTTCAAGGAGCCTGAGGTGGTGGTGTATACATGGCCTCCTCCTCCCAATTTCATCCTCACAACCCTTAGAGGTAGGCTAGGCTACGCGCTTCTCCATCAAATGCGGGCTTGCCAGCTAAACAGTCACCCAGCCATGGGAAATAACAGCAGATATGAATTCCTCACGCACATAAGGAATGTGTTTTTAAGAAACCAGAGCCCCCTGCCCCAGTCACTGAAGACATTTGAGGAAATGTCAGGGGGGCTTTTCGGTAGTGGCACCCGCCCTGTGGAACACCCTCCCATCAGATGTCAAGGAAATAAACCACTATCTGACTTTTAGAAGGCATCTGAAGGCAGCCCTGTTTAGGGAAGTTTTTAATGACTGATGTTTTAATGTATTTTTAACATTCTGTTGGAAGCTGCCCAGAGTGGCTGGGGAAACCCAGCCAGATGAATGGGGTAGAAATAATAAATTATTATTATTAATCTGAAGGCAGCCCTCTTTAGGGAAGTTTTTGATGTTTGATCGTGTTTTTAATATTCTGTTGGGAGCCGCCCTGAATGGCTGGGGAAACCCAGCCAGGTGGGCAGGGTATAAATACAGTGGTACCTCTGGATGCAAACGGGATCCGTTCCGGAGCCCCGTTCACATCCTGAAGCGAACGTAACACGCGACTGCGCGTGCACGGGTTGCGTTTTGCCCCTTCCACGAATGCGTGTGATGTCATTTTGAGAGTCCTGAGATATGACTGTAGTAACAATAATCATTGCTTTTCCCCCCTCTGGGGGTACGCAAGGGTACACATACCCCTAAACATTTTGTGAATCTAAATTTGGCCTCATTGAGGGGCAGGACTTCAATATGAGTAGGAAAATGAGAGTACCCCATAACATATCCTGCCAACCTAGCCGTTTGAAAGCCCATCAAAGTGCAAGTAGATAAATAGGTACCACTCCGGTGGGAAGGTAAACGGCGTTTCCGTGCGCTGCTCTGGTTCGCCAGAAGCGGCTTAGTCATGCTGGCCACATGACCTGGAAGCTGTACGCCGGCTCCCTCGGCCAATAAAGCGAGATGAGCGCCGCAACCCCAGAGTCGGTCACGACTGGACCTAATGGTCAGGGGTCCCTTTACCTTACCTTACATGCGCGAGCGGTGAAACCCGGGAAGTAACATGTTCCGTTACTTCCAGGTTGCCATGGAGTGCAACCCGAAACTGCTTAACCTGAAGCGTATTCATCCTGAGGTATAACTGCAGTAATAATAACCATTGCTTTTCCCCCCTCTGGGGGTACACATACCCCTAAACATTTTGTGAATCTAAATTTGGCCTCATTGAGGGGCAGGACTTCAATATGAGTAGAAAAATGAGAGTACCCCATAACATTTCTTTTTTTTGGGGGGGGGAGCACTGATAATAATAAAACTGAGTTTCACCTCCCTGGCGATGACAGGCCTTCCTCCTCCTCCTCCTCCATCACCACCTGTAGCAACGGGATGCTGGCCCTTTAAATCCTCAGGTAAGGCGCTTCCGCCCTGCCTGCCTGCCTCCTCCTCCTCCCCTTCGCGCGTCCCGCGCCCGCCGTGCGCACGCGCAGTAGGCCACCCGCGCTCCCACTCGCTCTCCCAACGCTGCCCTGACTTTCCCCTCAACTTCGCGACAGGAGGGAGAGGCGGCCGGACCTTTTTCCCTCCCCCCCCCGACGCGCCCGCTGCTTCTTTCCCCTCATGGCGGAGTCCGGGGCCGAGCCGGTTCTCGGCCCAGAGGACGGGGAGGCGGCGGCGGCGGAGGAGGAGGAAGAGGCTGACGACGAGGAGCTGCTCCAGCTGGGGACGGAGGCGGCGCCCGGCAGCCGGGCCGCCAGGGGGGCTCCGGGCGGCGCCGTCAGGGTCAGCCTCGGGGGCGGCTCGGCTGGGCCGCAGCTGGACTACGAGGGAAGAGCCGGCGACGACGGGAGCGACGACGACGACGACGAAGAAGAGGAGCCTCTGCTGGGCTCGGGCCGGAGGGGCGGCCGCCGCCGCCGCCGCAGCGCCACAGGTCAGAGCGCCCCCGGGTTCTTCCCCGGTTTGTTTGCTCGTTTCCACGGTGAGGCGAGTTCGCAGCGCCCAGGTGGGCGGGGGGGTGGAGGTGGTCGGGCTGTCATCCGGGGCCTCTGAGTATTTTTATTTATTATTATTTTCCCCTTTAAAAAATAATAATAAGAGGGGGAGGGGGTTAGAGCTGGACCCCTCGTCCTCCTCCTCCCCTTTCTCTTAATTAAGGCGGTGGGCATCCCCCCCCAGTATATATGAATTTTCCCCCATCCCCGCAGCTGAAATAGAACCGTCCGTTTTGCTTCCTCGAGTGTAATCTTGCCCCTTGCCCCCCCCCCTTCTGTCATGAAACCAGGACGTGGCTTCTCTTGTCAGGTTAATCTGGGGGGGGGGGGAGCAGCAGGGAAAAGGCTATTTTTCTGCTTGTGTTTTTGACATTTGTGTGCCCGCCGCCATCCGCTTTTATTTTGCGTATCATCTGCATTTCGACTTTCTTTTAAGTCCTCCCGATTTTTAGCATCCGTAAATACAGTGGTACCTCGGGTTACATACGCTTCAGGTTACAGACTCCGCTAACCCGGAAATAGTGCTTCAGGTTAAGAACTTTGCTTCAGGATGAGAACAGAAATCGTTCTCCGGCGGTGCAGCGGCAGCAGGAGGCCCCCATTAGCTAAAGTAGTGCTTCAGGTTAAGAACAGTTTAAGGTTATGTATGGACCTCCGGAACGAATTAAGTACTTAACCCGAGGTACCACTGTAGTTGTTGTTTTAGCTTTCCAAGTGCTTAATTCCCCCTGGTCCGCAAACCTGGTTAAACAGAATGAGGTGGCAGGTGCTGGCTGCTTGTGATTGCTGATCTTTATTTATTTTTTTTAAAAAAAGAAGCTTCTTGCAGGTGTAGGAAGCCAGGAGACCGGGCTGGAGCTTTTCACCCCGATGTACTTGCGTGTTGGGAATGTTTTATTGGACCAATTGGATGCGTTGCTTGCTGTTGGATCACATCTGGGGAGGCCCAGCTTCAAATCCCCACTCGGCCTGGTAGCTCACTGGATGACCTGGGCCAGTCACTCTGCCTCAGTCTAATCCACCTCATCCACATGGCATTATGGGGATAATGACATGAACACAAGTATTAAACTCTGTGATCAACAAATCCCAAACACATCCCTTCGCCTGAATCCTAAGGTGGTATAGTCTATTCCACCATGCCATTCTTTCTTTTGCATGTTCAGACCAAGCTTAAGTAATCCTTGGAACAACTCCCTAAAGTAGGTTACTGCTGTTATCTGTACATTGCAGATGAAAAGGAGGATTAATAATCTGTCTTTGGTTGCTCCATGAGCTCCTTGTAGAAGTGAGTTGTGAACCAAGAAGTCCCCAATTCAGAAATGCCATTCTGTCTCAAAGCAAAAAGTCCACCTGATGATATGGCTGCTCAGATGCATGCTAGCAAAACAGTGCATGAAAGCACTGTTTGGCCCTCGTGTCTGGCAAACAGACATGTTTTTTCCAGTAGGTATAGATATTCCATTTTGCTATCATAGTGAACAGTTGCTAATAGGTACAAAGTTTAGATAACCTGAATTGATACCTGAATTAGTTTGCTTTTCTCTCTCCCATTTTTCTCTCTCATATGCTAGATTGTGAACCTTCAGGCAGCAGCTGGCTACCTCGTATTTTAATCTCTGTAGAGCACTTAGGAATTGGGATGCGGGTGGCGCTGTGGTCTAAACCACTGAGCCTAGGGCTTGTTGATCAGAAGGTCGGCGGTTTGAATCCCTGCAACGGGGTGAGCTGCCATTGCTCGGTCCCTGCTCCTGCCAACCTAGCAGTTCGAAAGCACGTCAAAGTGCAAGTAGATAAATAGGTACTGCTCCGGCGGGAAAGTAAACGGCGTTTCCGTGCGCTGCTCTGGTTCACCAGAAGCTGCCTAGTCATGCTGGCCACATGACCCGGAAGCTGTATGCTGGCTCCCTCGGCCAGTAAAGCAAGATGAGCACCGCAACCACAGAGCCGTCTGCGACTGGACCTAACGGTCAGGGGTCCCTTTATCTTTATCTATAGCACTTAGGAAATATAGGTGCTTTATAACTATTATTGCAATCCCATGCCTGCTTACCTGGGAGTACACTCTGTGTTGGGACCTAATGGGAATTACTTTTGCAAAGACATGCCAAGGATTGTGTGGTAAGTGATAAACGCAGTTGACAGTCCTAATTTAAACTGTTTTATTTAGCACATACAGGAAATGTTGGAAGTATTGCCGAAATGAACTTCTTCTTGGATGATCCAGAATTTGCCGAAATCATGCAGCAAGCAGAACAAGCCATAGAAAGTGGAGTCTTTCCAGAAAGAATCTCACAGGGATCCAGTGGGAGCTACTTCGTCAAAGATCCTAAGAGAGTGAGTGCATTGGTTCCCAGACATGATTGGTTTAAAAAAAAAAAAAAAGGTGGAATGCTGAACTAATGGGCAAAGTTAAGTACACATTATCACATTGGGGCTTGTTTTGTTAATCCCACACTACGGTTTCTGCAGGTGAAATGAAGAGCCTGGGAAAAAATACACCCCCCTCCAATAATTATCATATTAAAATGATGGTAAAGGGTCAAAAAACACTTGCTTACTTTTATAACGTAAGATCTTAAAGACAAAGAAACAAGTTGCATATGAAATTGTTATGGCCTTTGGTTAATACAATAAATTTTGGTATATTAACTAGACTTCAGGAAGATTTCATCCAGCATGGCAACCTTGAGAAGGAGTTTGAAAAATGTGGACCAGAGAGTGGCAGAAAATATTTATTTCTTGCCATGGTCTCGTGGTCTCTTCAACTTCAGTGAAGAAATTGGGCTTGCAGAATTCAAGTAAAACAGCTTTAACATGAAATCTGTTGTGTTGCAGCATTGTATTTCAAACCAGTTCTGTGACTTTCTCATTACTACCTGTGGCAATAAGCAAATCTTTCTCTTTCTCAACTCATTTGTATTCACATGCAATATCTAAGTGAGAGGTCTGCAACAGCTATATTGCCAAAGTATGTTCCAGAATACATCAGGAGTGCCAGGGTGTAGTTGTAACTCGTGTGGCTTGTGTTCTTGTTTAGGGAGAATTGTGTGGGTGAGCACAGGTTTAGGTTATAATCCTAACTCCACTCTACCTGGGAGTATACCCCATTTAATTCAGCAGGACTTCTGAGTTCAGCAACTTTTGACTGTTCTGAAAAGCATTTGATATATTTATGTATGGACATCAAATTAACATCAAATGTTCCTGCATTGCAGGGGGTTGGACTAGATGACCCTTGGGTCCCTTCCAACTCTACAGTTCTATTAACATGGTGTATTATTTCAGTTTGGTTTCCTGAATATAAATGAACTGTGTTAAATCAAGATCCCAGTTGACTTTAGGGCACTGGGAGTTTTTCTGGAAACCCGTACTTTAGTAATAGTGATATTTATACCCTGCCCATCTGGTTGGGTTTCCCCAACCACCCTGGGCGTCTTCCAGCAAAATATAAAAACGTAATGAAACATCAAACATTAAAAAACTTCCCGATACAGGGCTGGGTATAAAAAGGGGGAAGACACAGGGCTGTAGATAGGATAGTAAGGTCAGAAAATAGAATATTGACTAGCAGGCACAGGTGTTTTTAGTAGCAACCATTTTGGCTGGAGCTGTGTGATTAGCTGTAAGAGACAATAGCTAATGTATATTCAGAGCCAGAAACTCATTTCCCCGAGGCAGCATCGAGTTTCTGGTATACCTTGTTAATGATTATTGGCAGGGGGATTGTCTCATGCCATGCCATGGTAGCAAAAGAGAAACCAAGGTACTGACTCAGCCATTCTGAGCCTTTTAAATCTGTCTTATTTAGCTAATGTTTCTTACCAACAGAAGATTTCTAGTGGAACTTTTTATTATATAGAGAGGCTAATGGGTTGTAAAATGCTAAGAGAACTGTTCTGAGCAGTAGAACCAATAAGACAAAAAGTATTGTGGCATCTTAGAGGTTGGCTGATTTGCTGTGACATGGGTTTTTGGCTCATCCTTAATAAAATATGAATTCAAATTTCTCTTTTGTTTAGAATGCAGATGACATACCCCACACTACTATAGCAGTGAGTTCAGTTATTTCCCCTGTGCCATGTTGTTCCAACACAAAACAAGAAATCATTATTAAACTACTCCCCTTTCCCTCGTTCTCTCCCATTTAAGCAGTTTAAAGGTACAGGCCTGCTCAACTTCAATAGTAGAACTGCATTGCACATCTTCAGGCCACCCATATGTGGGTGCTCTCTCACTACATATTTAAGACTTGCCTCTAGGGAACAACTTACCTATCATTTTCAGGAAGTCAGCGAACTGAGGAAGTGGATGTGTATGTTTATGTGAGCTGAAGGATGCTGCAGACAAAGCAATCTAATAAAGTGAAAGATAATGGTGATCTAATGAACTCAAATACTGATTGCCAACCTAAGACTTTCTGTCTGACTTAAAGTGATTGAATGCTCTTCGTTTTGTTATAATCCTATTTTAATGCAAAATGTATGATCACTAATTCTCTTACTTAACTATTCCTTTGGACAACATCTAATGGAGGTCATTGATTGCAGGTTGTGTAACTGGTGAATGTATTTATGAATGAGCCCTTGGTAATAAAGCAGTAGATACTGGGTCCAGTCATACTCTTGTCAGTGACTTAGACTTGATATCTATCATCTCTCTCTAGGGGTCTTTTACTGCCAGCAGGTCAACCCAAAGCAGCCAGTCATGTACACACTTTACAGCAAAGCGTGCATTGTATGTTTTAGCAGAATGCTTCCTTCTAAAAAGAGTTTGAGCTTAATTATATACAGTATTTTGATGCAAGCTGTAAATGAATTACTTTTGAAAACTCCATTTGCACATTTTTAGTCGTTATCCATAGTGCCTTAGGGTATTTTACTGTAGGTTTCATCATTATTTTGGTCATTCGGTGTAGCAAACCTCATAGATAATAATAAGCATTGGTCAAATTGACATTATTCTCAGTTAGTACTAGGTTCAGTGCATAGTCAATCTTTCAGCATACTTCTGGTTGCTGCAAAGGTAAATCTAATAAAATTGCCACTTTCAATGCTCATATGCAGAGCTAGAGTTCAGCTAAATAGAAGTTCAGCTGAAAAGATAGAGTTCAGCTGAATAGAATTGCATTATATTATTTCCATTCTAACATAGATCAGTTGTGATCCCAGATAAAACAAAAAGCAATTGCTTTTGTCTTTTTATTTTTTAAATACTCAATTTCTATGGGTAAAGCAGGTTGTATTTTTGCTGCATATGTCCTCTAAGCCATTCTGTTAGGCCCCTCACTTGAGTAGTTTAGTGAAGGCATTGCAACTCAGAAGCTTAAGGCACAGAATCTGATTCCTCCCGCTTAAAATGCACTATGTGAAATATGTGTTACTGTGTACACTGTTTGAGAAAGTGTGTGTACTTGTTTGAAGGAAATGCTTACGCATTCATGGACCATTTTTGTCATGAATTTAGAATTTGCTGACAATTTTATACTGTACCAAATGAAGATGTTAATGTTTAGTTTCCTGTTTTGCTGCCTTTATTTAAAGTGTACTTGAGTGTACTATATTGTACTTGAGCCACAAAGAAGAGATTTTGTAAGAGCTGCTAGTCACCTTAACAAAACCCAGTAAAATAGTCTTGTTGCTCTCTCCAACCGTGTGATGCTAAGTCACATCACACAATGCACAACAACATGGTTGCATTCCACAGTGTGAGTTGTAATAGGTGTGGCCCTAGTGAGAACTCTAGCCAAGGCTATTCAGGAGCCAAACTGTTCCATAGATGATAAAATACCAGGTGGACATAATGCTTTCTTTGACTACTTTCAGAATGAAGGCATTTTAATAAATACTAACTACTTACTTCTTTCCTCAGAAATCTATTGGAGTATTTAAACCAAAATCTGAAGAGCCTTATGGTCACCTAAACCCAAAATGGACCAAGTATTTTCACAAAATGTGTTGCCCTTGCTGTTTTGGCAGAGGCTGTCTTGTTCCTAATCAGGGATACCTCTCTGAAACTGGTGCCTATCTTGTGGACAGTAAATTGGGATTGGGAGTGGTGCCTAAAACAAAGGTAAGAAAGATTTGTACCAGGAGTTGACTCTGTAGAAATAAGACTTTGCAACCTAAACTGTGTAATTAGGGGGTGCAGGGAGGGTGGGGGGCACTGGGAGCCACAGCGCGGTGGGGGGGCACTTATCGTGTCCAAGCCACATGTCTCTTCTGGTAGTGATGTGGTGGCTCAGGAACCTGCAGGCTTCGTGCTGCCTGAAAAAGCAATGTGGGCCTGCAAGGCGTCAGAGCAAAATGGGGCTTGGGCACTGGGATTTGGTTCCTAGGAAGTGATGACCAAAGTCACCGTGGCACATATCTTAATGTCTAACCAGGACAGCTGCAACATTTTCTACACGGGCTGCTTTTGAAGCCTATCCCTATACTTAAGTTAGTTCAAACTGAGGCTGCCCATTTAATTACAGGATTAAGCTGAAGGAAGCACATTACACTTATGTTCAGAACATCTAAACTGGCTTCCTGTTGTTTCTGGATTAGACAAAGTGTTTTTAATCTTTGAAGTTCAAAATGGTTGAGGCCCAGTTATCTAAGCCAACACCTTATTCCTTAAATTAAGTGTCCACACTTATAGTCCCCAACGCTAAAGACTCTAAATCCTGTTTTATGTTGTTTGTTTTAAGGTTATCTGGATTGTTAGTGAGACCTTCAACTACAGTGCAATAGATCGTGCAAAATCAAGAGGCAAAAAATATGCTTTAGAAAAAGTGCCAAAAGTTGGCAAAAAATTTCATCGAATAGGACTACCTCCTAAGGTAAGCCCCTTGAAATGCTTTATTTCCATAGTGTTTCAAGGGATTTCCTCCCTTTCTGTTGGTCAGAATTCAAAAAACACTTATCTCCTCATACCAAATGCCCAATTCTGAAAAGTAGGGATTGTGTCTCAAGAAAAGTTAGAAAGAAAACCAAATACCTCACTGGGTATACCAACGCTCATGGTTATATTTTCGTTCCGAAATAATACTTTGTGGGTTTTGTACGTCTTTTCTTTGATCTTCTTTGTTTGTTGGCCTTATTAAGACTGTTATTACTATCTCCTTATTGCTGCCACTTCCCATTAACTCTTATTATCTTCAGATTTCTGTATAATCCCCGTTGCTCAAAAGAGTCCTACAAATGATACTGAGAAGATACCCAGGCTCTAGGAAAATATAGGCACAGCTGTCTGTTTAGCACAATTCAGAAGAAGTGCAGAAACAAGAATATGGCCAAGAAAATTGCTGAATAACATTTTCAGTTGTTACAGGCGGTGATGCAATTTCCTGCATAGTTCATGCCTCCCAGCATGATTAGCATAGTCAAAATAATACAAATCAAGAGATATATCTCAAACTTGCATTATTTTCACAGGTTTTCCAGGCTGTTCAAATTCAGAGTTCTAATGTGTCCGTAACAGGGAATGTCTTTAATAGTTCCACAACTGCCAGACTTATCTAGGGTTGCCATACGTCCAGAATTTTCTGGACATAGCCAGGATTCGGCTGTCAGAAACAGTGTCTGGGTGGAAATCGCTGAAATGTCCAAGGAAATCCGGATGTATGGCAACCCATCTCGGCAGTGTCATTTTGGCAATTATCCTTAAAAATAGCTCTTTTTTGCTCAATAAATTTTGTGTCCAGATTTTCGGTTACTGTATTGAAATATGGCAACCCCAGCCTTACCTATTGCTTCAGTTTTCTTTTCCCTAGCACATGCTTGAATATTTTTGGCTATTTTAACTCAAATTTAACAGCTCTCAGATCTCAACTTGAATCAGTTTCATGGGCTGAATCTATTCCAAGTCCAAAGTTTTGGAGGATAAGTCCATTAAAAGCTTCTGGTTATGATTATTATTATTTCTCCAATATGCCTCTGAATACCAGGTGCTAAGGATAAAAGTGGGTGCATGCTGCTTGTGGGTGCAACTTGTATCCTGGTTGTGGGCTTTCTGTAGGCCTCTGGTTGGCCACTGCGACAACAAGATGCTGGACTGGAAGGGCTACTAACCTGAACCAGCAGGCTCTTTGATGTTCTTATTTATGTCAGAATCAGCAGGGGTGCTCTTTTGTTCATATGCTACATTTGTTCTTGAGGTAGGACGCTAAATTAATAATGAATTTAAATTAATAAATTTAAAATAAGCAGTTGATATCATGCAAATTAAGAACAGAACACTACTTGGGTATTAGGTACTTTAAGAATCGATTTTGTTCCTTTTCTTAATGCAGGGTTTATTTTAAATTTCAGGTTGGCTCCTTTCAGCTATTTGTGGAAGGCTACAAAGAAGCTGACTATTGGCTCAGGAAATTTGAAACAGACCCTTTGCCCGAGAATACAAGGAAACAATTTCAGTCTCAGTTTGAAAGATTGGTAGTGCTTGATTACGTAATCAGAAACACTGGTATTTAATAGTTTGTTTGTTTTTTACTTCCATAGCTCATACTCATTTTTCTGGCATACCTGTTCAACAAATAATTAGGTGGGCTCCCAGTGGGAAATTTCCTAGGACAGCTAGTGGGGGTCCATGTTAGTGCTGATCCTTAAATTCTCATTTGTTCCTTTGTAGCCCTATCTGTACCTGCCCCACACAGGTGAAGTCAGGGCTGGGACAAGTGGTGGTGGTTTGTGGGGAACAGCCTCACAGATAAAATTGGGAGCCATGCCAGTATTCATTAGGTCCTTGGCTGGAGGTTTTCAAACCCTATTTGAGAGATTTGACACTGTTTGAATTAATATGCTTATACTGTGCTAGAGCAGGGATGGGGAATCTGTTTCAGCTTAAGGATCACATTCCCATCTGAGCAACCTTTTGGAGGCCGCATGGCAGTGGTAGGCTTGAGCAGACAATAGATGTGAATTTTAATTTTGTATAGTAGACTATCCCCAGCTGGGAAAACAAGAAGCATTATCAGAATCCAGGGTCATATTTCAGCTTTGCAAAACTACTGAAGGAGGGTGCAAAGCAGGGCTGGTGAGAAGAGTCTCAAGGGCCAGACAGAGGGCTGCATTTGGCCCCAGGGTCCTATCTCTGTGCCCCAAAAGGGCAATTGCTATGAATGTCCATTCTTTGATGTGATGTACTAATGATGTACTATGAATCAAGCAAGGCATTCCTCTCCATTTTAGAGGAAAGGCTTCTCATATTGTTACTTTGAGAAGGACTTCTGAGAGTTGTTGCCAGTCAAATGTTTGGGTTGGACTGATACTTGCATCTCTCTGTTCCTGAGATTATAAAAGGTAGCTCATGTATAAATAAACCCTTTCTAGAAGGGTAGCTGTGTTTGTCTCTTGCAGCAGCAGTATTCTTTTGTTGCTCGTAGGGGAGTAGAAATCTTTACCGTTTCATCATCATCAGGTTTTCAAACATCATCATCAGGTTTTCATATTTGTTCCTAGGAACAAATGAGAAAGTGTGGGCTAAACCAAACAGAAACTGTCACATCATAGTCAAGATGGTTGTGTTCAAGTGCTTCCTCATCAGTGTTCTCTCAGTAGTTTAGCTGGTGATCCTTTAAAGATGTGGGCAGCAAAATATCATAACTGGCCCATGTAACAGAATAGCTGTGGCTTTATCTACCATAGAACTTCCCAAACTGTGTGTCACAACACCGTTAGTGTATCGGCTGCAGTGTGTCGCGCAAGCGCTCCCCACACTCCTCCTGGAGTTGGAAAGGGGTTAGTGTAACCTCCAGTTTGCTAGTACAGTGGTACCTCGGGTTACATACGCTTCAGGTTACAGACTCCGCTAACCCAGAAATGGTGCTTCAGGTTAAGAACTTTGCTTCAGGATGAGAACAGAAATTGTGCTCCGGCGGTGCAGCGGCAGCAGGAGGCCCCATTAGCTAAAGTGGTGCTTCAGGTTAAGAACAGTTTAAGGTTACGTATGGACCTCCGGAACGAATTAAGTACTTAACCCGAGGTACCACTGTAAAACTGAATTACTTTGTTGTGGAATGATGCATGTCTGAAAAGCGTGCCACTGACATGAAAAGTTTGGAAAGCTCTGATCTACTGCCTCACTGTGAGATTTATCTATGGGACCATTAAAATGATATACACTGTAGCAACATAGTGTTATTTGCAGCAGTGGTTCTTCAGAGATGTTTGACCTTCACACTCAGCTGAAGATAGCTCAGTTGGTAGAACATGAGATTCTTATTAATCTCAGGGTCGTGGATTTGAGCTCCACGCTGGGCGAAAGGATCCTGCATTGCAGGGGGTTGGACTAGATGACCCTCGTGGTCCCTTCCAACTCTACAATCCTATGATTCTGTGACTCCCCAATGCTTACACTTGTGGATAGCTTTTTTAAGTTTCCCATTTGATCTCTCAGCAGCTACTTTGACATAGTCAGCGGGAAATGGCTCCTGTTAGAAAATGTCACTTCTAAAAGGCAACTGCAGCTGCAGAGGAGAATTAACTAGTGTTGGGTACCAGCTCCTGTTTCTTCTTTCTGATAGTCCCATATATTCTTAAGTCTCCAAAAACTGCCCCACCAGTTGTTCTGATAGGTAGAAGGAAGCTCCTTCCTCAAATGCCTATTTATTTTATCATTTAAAAAAACAACCCAGACATGCACATGATGCAGTTCGTAAGACAGTGTTATAATAGGACTAGGTTATATTGATATTGTCCTGGAATTTTTCATTCCAAAAGAAAATAAATAAAGACCATCGTTCTAAGAAACTTTGTTCATTGCTTGCTTTTCTGTAGTACATTAATTTTGTCATTAGTACAACATCCCAGATTCTCCACAGCCTTTCTGAAACTAATGGTCCCATCATGTTTTTACAAGCTTTTGACAATACATATTTTCAGAGCTGGGAGGTCATGTATTACTTCCAGATCCCCCTCCAGTACAGTATATTTCAGATAACATAATAGTAGTGTTTTAAGGTCATATGGTATTGGATCCACTATTATTTCTGTAATGAAATTACAAATTGTCCTCCAAATTTTTTGGATTATTGGACAGTGTCAAAATATGTGTACAGTATAAAATCTGAAAGAGATCCGTTGACTTTGCAGAAACAGTTTTGCACAGTTGGATATATGTGACTTGATCAGCATGGTGTTAGATTGGTATAGCTTTTAATAAACATTTTCCTTTAGCTTTATCAATATTTATCTTAGCTGAATCTTGGCCCATGTCCAACTTCATTCTGCTGTAGCTTCCTCAAATGTTTAGTGAGCAGAGGAGGAATTTGTTCTGTTTTTTCCTTTATAAGTAAAGGAGTATATAAGCAAAGGATTCTTACTGTTCTGAAAAAGGGACCCAGATATTTTTGTGAACTTCTGCCTCAGCACAAATAAAGTCCCCCTTGTAGTTAAACGGGCAGGGAGGACAAAAAAACCCCATATAATGCAATTCAGAATATGAATTATATCATGAGGATTGCATTTTCTGACTATTGCTGCTTCATGAAAAAACGTGGCATTGTAATTTAAATGCAATTTTTATTTATTTAACTATCCCAGTTCTCTAAAAATGATACATTTATGATAATTATATTGGAATTTTTCATTTCAAATATATGCTTTATTCTAATGCATTTCACTGATTCTGCCCCCCCTTATTTTATTTGAAGATAGAGGCAATGACAATTGGCTAGTCAGATATGAAAAGCAGAGTGATGAGAGTGAACTTTCTGATAAGGTAAGAAGACAAAAGATGCTTGTGCTATCATTAAATAATACAGATATCAGTAATAAGACAGTGTCTGCGTTCAGGCTTACAATCTAAATGCCATGAGACAAAAGGAAAAGGAAATGGGAGGGAGGAGGAAAATAGCAGGCGTAGGCAGTAGTTCTTAGTTCTTGTAACAACCAGAATAAATTGAAAGAGTTCCACAAGAGGAGGAGCCAAAGGTTGCTGATCTCTCAGCTCAGCCCTGAAGCCCCATATGCATGTGTGTGTCAGCTATAGCCTCATATAATGGCTGCTGATAAATGACAGTTGGAGAGAAATGAAATAACAGGCACACAGGTATGTTGCAGTGATGTTTCCTAAACCCTAAATTCAAATATGAAAGCTTTGTTGTTATGTAAGATATCATATTTGGAGTTTTTTTTATCCCCCCCACAGATTACACTTACTATGCTATACCACATGTTACATTCAAAATTATTAATGTTATGTGAATTACTGCAGGTAGAACAAATAGTTGATAACAACTATCATCCCGTTACATTAGGCCAAGAGCAACACAAGCGAGCACGCCCTCTCAGACTAATAAAAACACTAAGCTAGTGTTGCAATAAGGCAAGAGTTAAGCTCTATCCAGTGGTGGAATATATGTACAATGTGGAATTTTTGATATTGTTGGATCGAGCTTGTGATGTGATAATGAGCATGTTATAACCAGTAATTAATATATTTGATATTTTTTGAGTTGTTTTTCATCTATGTAGCATTATAAGTTTCTTTGTTTGTTGTATAATCCTGTTTCTGTGACTATTCAGAATAAAAATAATTTTAAAACTAAAAGTACTTTTCTTGCAGGATATTCAGTGGATTGATAAAAAAGAACCTATTATTAAAATTGCAGCAATTGATAATGGTTTAGCTTTTCCTTTCAAACATCCTGATGAATGGAGAGCATGTAAGTTAAAAAAAAACACAACAAGAAGACGTTGAATAAATGTATCTACTTTTCATATGTGTGACTATCTCTTTCTAAATAACTTTTTTGTCTAGTGGTTCATCATAGTGATTATGTATTTTGCTCATAGATGGTGTAAAATCTGAGAGCTATCACTGTCGCCTATGTGAACCTCCCTAAGCACTAAGGTCTGCTGGGAATGCAAGACTCTGCATCCTGTCTCTTGTAGTGGCAAAGGTGCATAGTGGGGCATTTTATATGGACGCGGGTGGCGCTGTGGTCTAAACCACTGAGCCTAGGGCTTGCCGATCGGAAGGTCGGCGGTTCGAATCCCTGCGACGGGGTGAGCTCCCGTTTCTCAGTCCCAGCTCCTGCCAACCTAGCAGTTCGAAAGCACATCAAAGTGCAAGTAGATAAATAGGTACCACTCCAGCAGGAAGGTAAATGGCGTTTCCGTGCGCTGCTCTGGTTTTGCCAGAAGCGGCTTAGTCATGCTGGCCACATGACCCTGAAAAACTGCGGACAAACGTCAGCTCCCTCAGCCAGTAAAGTGAGATGAGCACCGCAACTCCATAGTCGTTCACAACTGGACTTGACTGTCGGGAGTCCTTTACCTTTTTACCCATCCTTTTGAAAAACCCTTTCAAAGGAAGTTCACTATTCCCCCACTTTTTTGAGCTTTCATCATCTTAGCAGAATGTCATTATTTATAACTGCTTTTGAAAAGAAAGAGAACGATGTTATCTATTATTAACTTGTAGCTGGTTGTTTTATATTTATTATATTTTGTATTTATTGTGTTTTAAGCACTAAATTGGCATAAATTGCTCTTCTCAGCTGCATTTTTTTTTCAGTCTTTCAACTTGTCAGTTAACAGGTTAATTTTAGTTAATTTTTAGCACAAGGTTGTAAGCAGGATTGTGTATATCAAGTTGCATTTCCTGAAGTCAGCAAATGCATCTAAAAGCTTGACTATGTAAACCACCTTTTTTTCTTCCTATCTTCCGCTAGATCCATTTCATTGGGCTTGGCTTCCACAAGCAAAGGTCCCCTTTTCTCAAGAAACAATAGATTTGATTCTTCCTCGTATTTCTGACATGAACTTTGTACAGGATCTTTGTGAAGATCTTTATGAATTGTTTAAGGTAACTTCAAAAATATATTTGGTAGAACTAGTTAAAGTAGTGTGCGATACCTGGCAGGAAGTGTAAATGTTTTGAACTAGCGATAGCTGTGAAAGCAAAATGCTTGCAAAATATTTATGACAAATTTGGACCCCTGGCAAAATATGATTTATTATTTAAGGTAGCATGCTGTGTACTGCTATAAATCTCTGGTTGCATAGGGGATAAGTTTGGATTGAGTTAAGAAACTTTCTGAAACTTTACTTTTTCATTTTTTTCAATTAAGACTGACAAAGGTTTTGACAAGGCTACATTTGAAAAGCAAATGTCTGTGATGAGAGGACAGGTAAGAATGCTTTTCATTGTAACTGTTCCTTTAAAAATACACTTCTGCAATACATTTGTGCAGAAAACAATTATTCTTCAGTTGCTCCTTATTAAAGTCAAAGTCAGTAATCCTATTCAGACTTAATGGTACTTCTGATTAGAGGTATATAGCATTGTGCTATAAACAACATTGAATCTGGTTACGACTTAACCGGTAATATAAACTGATGGGCCACATAACCAATAACTTCTTATTCTTAAACAGCCTGGAAACTACTGGGTCAGTCTGTACAACAACCCCCCCTGTTCCACCAAATAGTTTCTTGACTTTTCTGATCATCTTGCAGTTGACCTAGTAAGGATCACCACACACTCCGACAGATATGGATATTGCCGTATTGCCCATTCTAATTTATTTGTATATTGCATTGTCTGCAAACACATTTGTATTCAGAGTGGTTAATAGAAAATGGAAGTCTAAATACAGTAGTCATACTGCATCACTATGATATAACATTGATCATGAAACAATTTTCATTTCAAATATATCAGAAATATAAGTTAGCCTAAAATTTAGCAGTAGGTCAGTTAAAAAAGATCCAATACCTTTGCATCCTAGGGTAGCCCCACAGCTGAGAACATTAGTTCCTAGCAACTGTCCCTCCTTCAAAAGTTTCTATACCTCTACTTGAAAGGTCAGAAAGTCAGCTCATAGTACTTCTGATACTTGGGGCCCCAGTACTGGATAAGATGGCAAGGAAACAGCCATCCCCTAATGCAAACCACCTGTCCCCTAAACTTCTTTTAGAAGTCCCCTCTAAACATGTTAAATTCTTATTTAGACAGTTCGCATCTTGCCCTTCATCTGAAGATCTCAGGGCAGGTAGTGGCAACATTCAATAAAATGCCATATACCTAAGATCATAAAATCACTGGAATTGCATAAATCACAGCAATTACCGTATTTTTCGCTCTATAGGACACACTTTCCCCCCTCCAAAAATTAAGGGGGAATGTGTGTGCGTCCTATGGAGTGAATGCAGAAGTACTATGAGCTGACTTTCTGACCGATAGCAACGCGAAGCCTCCAAAGCGCAGAGGGAGTGCTCCTTCCGTGCTCCGGAGGCTTCGCGTTGCTTTCGCTGAAGCCTGGAGAGCGAGAGGCGTTGGTGTGCACCGACCCCTCTCGCTCTCCAGGCTTCAGGGATAGCCACCTGAAGCCTTTGGAGCGCAGCAGCGAGTTCCCGCTGCACTCTGGAGGCTTCAGGTTTCTTTCGCTGAAGCCAGGAGAATCTTGCTCTCCCAGCTTCAGCAAAAGGAACCCAAAGCCTGTGGAGCGCAGCAGGAACTCGCACTGCGCTCTGAAGGCTTCAGGGATAGCCGCCTGAAGCCGGGAGAGCAAGACTCTCCTGGCTTCAGCAGAGAGGGAGAGCTGCAGTGCCCCTTCAGCCAAGCGGGAGGAGAAATGGAAGGGTTTCTGTTTCTCCTGCCGCTTCGCTGAAGGGGCACTGAGCAGAGAGGGGGGAGAATTTTTTTTTCTTGTTCTCCCCCTCTAAAACAAGGTGCATCCTATGGTCAGGTGCGTCCTATAGAGCGAAAAATACGGTACTACACACCAGTGACCATTCACAAAAGCCCAGGTTAAAAAGCCATGTTTTGAGCTGGTGCCTGAATGCTATCAAAGTGGGTGCCACCCAAATGTCATATTGCCAGGGTGCCACCACAAAGCAGTCCCATTCAAACATCAAATTTTACTTCGGGAAATGGAGCTTGTACTATACTGCTATCTTTATAGGCAGTTTGATGCCATATACTTTTGTGTCTACAGATACTTAATCTTATTCAGGCATTAAAGGATGGAAGAAGTCCTCTTCAGCTTGTTCAGATGCCTCGTGTGATTGTGGAAAGAAGTCATGGTGGAAGTCAAGGACGAATTGTTCACCTGAGCAATGCGTTTACACAGACTTTCCATAGCCGGAAGCCATTCTTTTCCTCTTGGTAGAGACACGTAAATGTCTTCAATTTAGCAAGACTTTCTGTTGTGTGAAAGTTTTAGAATAATGTAATTCTGCTGTACACAAAGTGCTGGACTGCCAAAACCTCAGAACTTTTTAAAGTTTTGTGTTTTGAATGTAATACGTTTACAGTTTAAAATTGTGAAATTTTACTTCAGGGAAATGCGCTTGTCCTATACTGTATTTTTATAGACAGTTTAATGTTTTCTGTATCTAACATTAAAAGGGAAAAGAAGTTTACAGATGCCAAAGACTACTTTTGCATAAATTGTAGGAAAGAACTGCTCTGTTGGATACAAATGTCAGAAATCAAAGTCTAATTTTCCTTGTTGGAAATGAAGCACAGCCTTCTCATTCCTCTACTGAAAGAAAGCTGCTTGAACTTTTGCAACAATTACCAAATATCTACATGGGTTTCTTACAGGTTTATATTCTCAAATATTACAGATTTATATTCTCAAATATTACAGAATTATATCTTGATCAGTTTACTGTGGAGATCTGGGACCAATACCATTACATCTTAATTTGGAGAATATATGACATGAAAGACCAAATTAATCCTGCAAATCCGAAGGAACCTTAATTATTTCATAGTTTTTTATGCTCTGGTGGTGTTTTTTTTTTAACAGAATACACAAACCCCCTAAATGGTGAGGCTTGTATCCCTCTTTCCTTCTGCATCAACACTTTGAGGGTGAAGATGGGAATGAGCCTCAATTTATGCCCCTCACATACTTAAATTATATTGTGCCATGTACATCCCACATGCAATGTGTGTGTAGATTTCACCCTGTTTTAAAAAAAAAAGTGAAATTGTTTAAATGGGTCCAGTTAATATATATGAAGCTCTCAGGTTATACGTTGGAAATAGATGAACAGGTGGAGGAGTGCTGATGAACTCCCCCATCTATAAACGGTACAGGTGGGGCTGTGTGAGAATATTCTCTAAATCACTCACAGGTAGTGTTCTCTCCCCTGCCCAGCAACAGTTGAACCAGCCGCAGACCACTTTCTTAATGCTTAAACAAATCCTTATAGGGAAAAGAAGATGAAGGCATGTTCAATGTCCTTTACTGATACTTCAGGGTCTCCCAAGGTGTATTTGTAGATTGAGTTCTGGATTTAGGGTGACACTACATTTTTAGGGATGCACATACTGCTTGTCTCTTTGCATAGCTATTGCCTTGTCTCGATTCTTTGTGGTTCACTTGTATAGATGGAGAATGGAAAAGGTTAATATATTGATCAATCACAATATTATATAGGGTTTCTTGAAACTGTTATCAATGCCCATTAAATCCATCAGCTGACGCCAAAGTGGAAACCTCCTGTTACTAATATATTAAGTGCCCGCTCCTTTGAATTGTTGGATAGCAGCTCAGTCCAAACCAGACTGTGAATCAGAAGTTTATTGTGGATTCCTGGCCATTTATAGTCATGAAATTCCTCAGCAACCCAGAGCTATTTTGTTGGATTTAACTTGGCATAAAACATCAGTTGCAGAGGTAATTTTACAGAAACTTGGAATTTAGTAATACCTGTTGTACATCCATTGTTCCGCTTGAATGTGAGGACCTTGAGTACCATCTGTAGGAAAGATTGCTTCTATGAAAAACGTTTTTTGAATTTTTAGCCATGCTGTTATCTCAAGCTGCTAAGCAATACTCCTGAACTCCCCAGATTGGCCTTTTTATTTTTTTATGTTTTGAGGGGGTTGATAAAATGTAGCATGTTAGAGCAATGCACTTAATATACTAAATAAAATGTCTAAGCCTTAAAATGTAAAGCATACTGTGGATTTAAAAAAAACAACAAACTGTCACATTTCTAAGTTTATTGTGGCTTCAGTTTTTATCAACCCTTGTAATTTTTTTATGAATGCGTAAGATCACCAGACTTTCCTGTCTTAAAACAATAAAAATGATGGTCTGAAATGTACTTCTTTTTTGTCTCATAATTATTACATCTGTATCCCACTTCTTAGCTTAAGACTGGTATGCATGGATCCAGTCCCCCCACCTTTTTGGTATTCTTATTATCCTTGCAACAGTTATGTGAATTAATTCAGGCTGCTGGAAGTGTGACCTGAGTTTACTCAGTTAATTTTATGACTGAATAGGATTCGAATCTCGGTGTCTGGCTTATGTCTTCCAACTGTGCTGGCTACATTCATTACGCAACCATGCATCGAAGATCAAAATCACTTGCTAGTCTTTATGCGTAGCATCCAAAGGGCATAACATGTGTATGTGCTGCATAGACAAATTTATTTTCATGGGCAACCTTCGTAGGAGAGGTCATCCAACCCTAAAAGTGTGAGAAACGATGGTGTACAGCAGGCACCCCCAAACTCAGCCCTCCAGATGTTTTGGGACTACAACTCCCATGATCCCTAGCTAACAGGACCAGTGGTCAGGGATGATGGGAATTGTAGTCCCCAAACATCTGGAGGGCCGGGTTTGGGGGTGCCTGGTGTAAAGTTTTCATATCTTAGAATCAAGGTATTGAAGTCTATGCTATACAGGCAGAATAATGGGGGTGGGAGGAGGAATGTTTATGGTAATATTTATTATTTTTATTTACCTTTCCACCAAGGAGCTCAAGGTGACATATATGGTTATCCCTCTTCTCATCCTTACAACAACCCTGTGAGGTAGACTAGGCTGAAAGATGGTAACTGGCCCTAGGCTGAATGTGGACTAGAAAGAAGCCTGGTCTCCCAGATCTTAGTCCAACACACTAACCACAACACCACACTGGTTTCATGATGAGTCATGAGCATAACTCAAATTAAGATCTTCAATGAAATGAGGAAGCTGTACACGTGGAAATGCTCGGTGCAAATCTCAGTTCCTCTCTTAACTCAGCAGTTGCTTGCAGGTAAACAAACATCTTAATTGGACTGCATGTGAGCATGGGAAAACTCAAGTTGTTAGATCTCAGGGGTCTGACCCAAATTTTCAGGGTTTCAGCTATTGCTGCCTTAGCATCCATGGGGGGTAAAGTCTCAGGGTGAGGAGCCAGAAGTTTCTCTACCTGCAATTATCAGGACCTCTGGGTATGGGGTGGCATATAAATTCAATGAATGAATGAATGACCTGGCTCCCTTCTTAACTATTATCATTTTGTTGTTGTTGTTTAGTCGTTTAGTTGTGTCCGACTCTTCGTGACCCCATGGACCAGACCACGGCAGGCACTCCTGTCTTCCACTGCCTCCCGCAGTTTGGTCAAACTCATGCTGGTAGCTTCGAGAACACTGTCCAACCATCTCGTCCTCTGTCGTCCCCTTCTCCTTGTGCCCTCCATCTTTCCCAACATCAGGGTCTTTTCCAGGGAGTCTTCTCTTCTCATTAGGTGGCCAAAGTATTGGAGTCTCAGCTTCAGGATCTGTCCTTCCAGTGAGCCCTCAGGGCTGATTTCCTTAAGAATGGAGAGGTTTGATCTTCTTGCAGTCCATGGGACTCTCAAGAGTCTCCTCCAGCACCATAATTCAAAAGCATCAATTCTTTGGCGATCAGCCTTCCATATGGTCCAGCTCTCACTTCCATACATCACTACCTGGAAAACCATAGCTTTAACTGTATGGACCTTTGTTGGCAAGGTGATGTCTCTGCTTTTTAAGATGCTGTCTAGGTTTGTCATTGCTTTTCTCCCAAGAAGCAAGCGTTTTTTAATTTCATGACTGCTGTCACCATCTGCAGTGATCATGGAACCGAAGAAAGTAAAATCTCTCACTGCCTCCGTTTCTTCCCCTTCTATTCGCCAGGAGGTGATGGGACCAGTGGCCATTATCTTCGTTTTTTTGATGTTGAGCTTCAGACCATATTTTGCGCTCTCCTCTTTCACCCTCATTAAAAGGTTCATAGCTGTCAACTTTCCCCTTTTCTTGTCAAGAATCCTATTCAGAATAAGGGAATTTCCCTTTAAAAAAGGGAAACGTTGACAGCTATGACTATTATAGCCTTCCTTAATGTGGAGCTACACTTGCTGCTTCACAAATGATTCATGAAGGTTCTTCACTGGTGAAAGTTGGTGGTGGTGTGCTTTTCCTCCTTCCATCGGTGAGCCTTCAGTCATTATGTACTTCCCATGCAGTTTTAGAAGCTTACAAGTTTCTGGAGCAGATTTGTGGGTGGGTGGGGGGAAGGTAATAGGGGGCTACAGGAATAGGAGGAAATGACAAAAATAAATAAATCACCACCCTGCCACTTTGCTCTGGTGCCCCGTGTAACTCCACTCAGTAAAAGTCTGGATCCAACCCAGTTTGAAAAATGCGAGGAGACAGCTGTGGTACTACTCAATGAAGCAGCACACTTTTTAGCATTCAATAAGGCAGGGGTGGCCAGCTCCCAAAAGACTGCAATCTACTCAGAGTTAAAAACTGGCAGTGATCTACGCCTTTTACGGGTTCAGGAAGGAGGAAGGCCCATGGGGGGGTTCGGGTCAAAGTTGTTGAGTTTTTTTCAGGGAGTGTGATAGGAATTTTGAGGTCTTAGATATATGGTAATGTTCATAAGCGTACCAACCAAGCACGTACATAGATCAGCACAGGAAGACCAACCTGGAACCATTTTGATTCCTAAACTGAGCAAATGTTTTCTCTGCAAGGTCAAAGTGGGAAACCTCCCCATTGTCTCTTTCCTCACAAATCCAGTCTTAAGGGCACATTTAAGATATGAATAAGGTGTGAGCCTGTGACCTGGCCCAGGAACTAAGTATTTATCATTACAAAAGACTGGCCAGGCTCCCCAGGCAATCCAATCAAGTAACCTGCCAGACAGGAGATAAACAAGGACAGGAGAAAAAAACATTCAAATTTCTGTTTTGTAGGTATGATGTATCTGAGGGGTGGTCTTAGGTTACACCCCTTCTGTGATGTATGTATGATGTTTCTGGGGGTGGTCTTGATCTACAGGGTGGCAATTTCAAAAGTCTTTAGAAGGCCTTGCGCGCCATTTTTCTGGGTTCCTCCTCTCTCCTGCGGGTGAGGGGAGCACCCTGTTGCAACAGATCAATAAAGATCAAGCTTACTAGCTGCTTTGCTTGTCAATATTCTCTGGTTGGCCTCTGTTATTTTCTCCTACCAATAGGGAACCTATGTAAGGACTCTATATGGGCTCTTGGATACCCCATAAGGGGAAAGGGCAATTTTTGTTTACAACAGGAGGAGTTAAAATTTTGAGCTTTTTTTTTTTTTTTAAGGGGAGCCACTGTTGTTCAGCTTGTTTGGGGGAGCCAATGATCTACCAGTGATCTACCGCAGACGTCCAGTGATCTACCGGCAGATCACAATCTACCTGTTGGACGTCCCTGCAATAAGGTATCACGCTGCATCCACCTGGAAGAAAGTACTAGTGACATGTTCACACCTGTTTAGTGACTGAGACTAAGGCGAGACGGTACCCCAGGAGCTGGCAAGCTTGTTTGGACAACTTTTCCCCAAAGCAACGGTCTCTTGGTTTGAGTGCCTATGTTTTAAATACAAGAGGACCTTTTGGTGTAAATGGAGGAGCCCAGGTCAACAAAATCGTTGATCACCTCTGGCTCCTGCTGGGTGTAAGCAGCCCACGGCCCACTTTCTGCTACAGAGTCTTCAAATCAGGCAGGAGCAGAAAATGGAATTGGCGGAAATGACTGGCAGAATCCGAGACCAGGGAGAAGAGTCGGTGGAAGAAGATTGGAAGAAATTCAAAGATTATCTACAGAAATATTGTAAAATTAATGAATGTTAGAATGATTTTCGATAAAAACTAAGTGGTTCTTAGCTGAAATGTTACAAGGGAAGATGAAAAAAGGGTTTACTATGTAATATGTAAAAATCTAAAAGTACAATATCTTTATGATTATTGATTAGGATATTTAAAAGAGGAGAGGGAACTGCTGAACAAAATATGTGAACTGGAATACAAAAAAGGGAGGTGCGAGGAGGTCGAGGAAACAAGTAAATGAAGGATAAGACATAGAAAGACTAATTTGTTTGTTTAACTGTTTTTATTTTGTATTCTGTATTTTTCTATTTTTACATCTTTTTTCTTTTTTTATCTGCTTTTCTTTTTCTTTTTTCGCTTATTTTTGTAATATGTTGAAATTTTAATAAATATCTTTTAAAAAAAGAGAAAAAAAAAGAAAATATTTCAGTTCAACAAGATAAGGTGGGGTGGGAGGGAGAGAGATGAAAAAGGAAACAAAAGGTGCATTTTTAAAAATCAGGCAGGAAACTAAGCGACAGAGCACGCACACACAAATCTAAACCAGGGTTTCCCAAACCTGGTTCTCTATTTTTTGGGGACTACAACTCCCATCGTCCTTAGCTAGCAGGACCAAGGGTCAGGGATGATGGGAATTGTGATCAGAAAAAAACACCTGTAGACCCTACATTTGGGAAAGTCTGCTTAGTTTGGAGATCTACTAATCTTTTCTTCTTATCCTCACCCACGCTTGGTTTCGCTGGGAAGCCAAAGACAGAGATGGGGGGGGGGATAGAGAGAGGAATAGATTCTAGAGGTAGGAAAAAGGTAGAGAGAGGAATAAATCCTAGAGATAAGAAAAATATAGAGGAATAAATTCTAGAGATTGGAAAATAAGATACAGAGGAATAGATCTAGAGATAGGAAAAATATAGAGAAAGGAATAAATTCTAGAGATAAGAAAAAATAGAGGAATAAATTATAGAGATTGGAAAATAAGATAGAGAGGAATAGATCCTAGAGATAGGAAAAATATAGAGAAAGGAATAAATCCTAGATAAGAAAAATTATAGAGGAATAAATTCTAGAGACTGGAAAATAAGATAGAGAGGAATAGATCTAGAGATAGGAAAATATAGACAGAGGAATAAACCCTAGAGATAGGAAAAAGATGGAGAGAAGAATAAATCCTAGCAATAGGGAGGAAAAGATAGAGAAAGGAATAAACCCTAGAGATAGGAAAAATATAGAGAGAAGAATAAATCCTAGAGCTAGGAAAAATAGAGAGAGCCTAACTATCGTTTCTGTTGCTTCCGAGGGAGCCGCCACCTCCGAGAGGCGGAGAGGCAGCGTGCGGCTCGGGCGCTAAAAAAAGGCGCTGAAGAACCAGGGCGCTCGGAGGGGCTTGAGTTCGAATCCTCCTCTCTTTCCCGCACAAAGAGTCCGCGCAGGGTTGTTCGTGTTTCGCGCGTAGGGGGTGCGAAATGGCGAGGCGTGGGGCGGGGATCGGGGAAGGCAAAAAAGGAAAACGCAGCAAAAAAGGGCGGAGTGAGGGATCAGCCGCTTGTCGGCCATTTGCATTTGGCTCCGCCTGCAATTGGGGAGAAGAAGGGAGGGAAGCCGCGATGGAAGACGGGCAGCGCCCCGGGGTGGCGGTGGTGCTGGATCGGGACCCCTCCAGCCCAGCTCCCCGCTGCCCTCACGGTGAGTCGCCCTTCCTCCCCATCTCTAACGATGGCTGCATGCTGCAAATCCCACTTTTCTTCCGCCACCTCCAATCTCGCATATCTATATAGTTGTCGCCTTTGCGCGCCGCCTTTCCTGCCCAGGAGCTCAAGGCGGCTCAACCTTCAGCTTTGCGCCTCCCCGTTTCCTCCTTGCAACAGCCCTAGACTAGAGCAGGCTTCCTGAAACTCGGCCCTCTGGATGATTTGAGACTACAATTCCCAGCATCCTTGACCACTGGTCCTGCTAGCTAGGGATCATGGGAGTTGTAGGCCAAAAAACATCTGGAGGGCCGAGGTTGAGGAAACCTGGGCTACAGGCTGAGAGTCACCCCCAGGGAGCTTCACAGCCAGTTGGGGTCTTGAACTTGGGTGCTTTCCCAGGTCCTCGTCAGTGTTTCTCAAAACTTGGGTCTCCATCTTTGCTGGAATACAATTCCCATCACCCCTGGCTAGCAGGAGATCAGGGGTGATGGGAGTTGTAGTCCAACAAACAGCTGGAGAACGCATGTTTGAGAAATACTGCAAGCATTATGTCACACTGGTGTAGTTTTACTACAATATGAGTCATCTTTTAAAGCATGGTAGGTGCAGTCTGGTCATACATAAACGCTTCCAAGGTGGCAATCCTAAACACGCTTAACTGGCGAGCGCAGCACAGGATTGCATTGCAAAAGAGTCTTCCACCCCCTCCTTTCATTTGGGACCCCAACTTGTATCAGTGTTTGAGGAAGCTTGTATCAGAGCTTGAGGAAGCTAGTTATCTCCCGCTTGGACTACTGCAACGCGCTCTACATGGGGCTACCTTTGAAGGTGACCCGGAAACTGCAACAAATCCAGAATGCGGCAGCTAGACTGGTGACTGGGAGTGGCTGCCAGGACCACATAACACCAGTCCTGAAAGATCTGCATTGGCTCCCAGTACGTTTCCGGGCACAATTCAAAGTGTTGGTGCTGACCTTGAAAGCCCTAAACGGCCTCGGTCCTGTATACCTGAAGGAGCGTCTCCACCCCCATCGTTCAGCCCGGACACCGAGGTCCAGCGCCGAGGGCCTTCTGGCGGTTCCCTCATTGCGAGAAGTGAGGTTACAGGGAACCAGACACGGGGCCTTCTCAGTAGTGGCGCCCGCCCTGTGCAACGCCCTCCCTTCAGATGTGAAGGAAATAAGCAGCTATCCTATCTTTAAAAGACATCTGAAGGCAGCCCTGTTCAGGGAAGTTTTTAATATTTAACGCTGTATTGTAACTTGATTGGGAGCCGCCCAGAGTGGCTGGGGAAACTCAGCCAGATGGGCGGGGTATAAATAATAAATTATATTATTATTATTATTTCTCCCCATCTTTAACGATGGCTGCATGCTGCAACCCACTTTTCTTCCGCTTTCTTCCCCCACCCCGGGCAAATCTCGCCTATCCATATAATTGTCGCCTTTGCACCCCGGGTGCCTTTCCTCCCCAGGAGCTCAAGGCGGCTTAACCTTCTTCTTTTTTTAATAATAATTTTTATTAATTTTAACATATAATTTATCATACATATCACAAAGCTTCATCATTTATACAATCCCTCAGCACCTCTGATGATCCACCGTTTTAACCACTTCTTATGCATTTCTTAAGTTCTTATTCCCTTTAATTATAACTAATCCTCCTCCCCCTTATCCATTTTTGCAATAATTCCCATAATACTCCTCACAAAACTTCTTGCAAACCTACAAACGTCGTCTGATCTTCACAAATACTTTTCAAATAATCTGTAAATTTACTCCAGTCTTCTGTGGATTTCTGGTCCTGCCGATTTCAAATCCTTCCTGTTAGTTTGTCCAACTCTGCATAGTCCATTAATTTCATCCTCCATTCTTCTTTCGTCGGTAATTCTTCTTGCTTCCATTTTTGGGCCAATAACGTTCTTGCTGCCGTTGTTGCATATAAGAACAGCTTACGTTCCTTTCTATTTATATCACTTCCTACAATGCCCAAAAAGAATGCTTCTGGTTTCTTTATAAATGTAGATTTCAACATATTTTTCATCTCATTATATATCATCTCCCAGAAGCTTTTCACCAAGGCGGCTTAACCTTCAGCTTTGCGCCTCCCCGTTTCCTCCTTACAACAGCCCTGCGAGGTAGGGTAGAGCAGGCTTCCTCAAACTCGGCCCTCTGGATGATTTGAGACTACAATTCCCAGCATCCTTGACCACTGGTCCTGCTAGCTAGGGATCATGGGAGTTGTAGGCCAAAAAACATCTGGAGGGCCGAGGTTGAGGAAACCTGGGCTACAGGCTGAGAGTCACCCCCAGGGAGCTTCACAGCCAGTTGGGGTCTTGAACTTGGGTGCTTTCCCAGGTCCTCGTCAGTGTTTCTCAAAACTTGGGTCTCCATCTTTTGCTGGAATACAATTCCCATCACCCCTGGCTAGCAGGAGATCAGGGGTGATGGGAGTTGTAGTCCAACAAACAGCTGGAGAACGCATGTTTGAGAAATACTGCAAGCATTATGTCACACTGGTGTAGTTTTACTACAATATGAGTCATCTTTTAAAGCATGGTAGGTGCAGTCTGGTCATACATAAACGCTTCCAAGGTCGCAATCCTAAACACGCTTAACTGGCGAGCGCAGCACAGGATTGCATTGCAAAAGAGTCTTCCACCCCCTCCTTTCATTTGGGACCCCAACTTGTATCAGTGTAATTGAGGTGCGTGGCTGCTTTTGTTTTTTGGTTCTGTTGTTTATTCCCCTGAAAGATTATTTAGGTGCGATCCAGCCATACAGAAGCGCTTCCAGGGTCACAATCCTAAACACACAACTAGGGAGCAAGGGGTGCAAGCAGAGCTTACTTCTGAGTAAGCACAGCACAGAATTGTGACGCAGATCCTACAAAGGGTCTTCCACAGTGTGCTTTCATCTTATCATCTAGTATCAATATAGTTTAGGTGTGTGACTGTTTGTTTTTGTTGGGCTGTTGTTGTATTTAGCTCTGAAAGATTTATTATTAAAAATCTGTTAAAATGATCCCGCCGTACAGAAGAGCTTCCAAGATTGTAATCCTAAACACACTTAACTAGGGAACAAGGGGAGAAATCAGGGCTTTCTTCCAAGTACCAGGCAGGGAACCAGGCAGAGGGCCTTCTTGGTAGTGGCACCCGCCCTGTGGAACGCCCTCCCGTCAGATGTTAAGGGAATATCCGACTTTTAGAAGACATCTGAAGGCAGCCCTGTTTAGGGAAGTTTTTAATGTTTGAAGTTTTATTCTGTTTTTAATGTTCTGTTGAAAGCCGCCCAGTGTGGCTGGGGAAACCCAGCCAGATGGGTGAGGTAGAAATAATAATAATAATAATAATAATAATAATAATAATAATTAGTAAGCACAGCACAGAATCACATTGCAAATCCTACAAATTCTGTTTATATTTAGGGGAAATATTAACAACACGGTACGCGGGTGGCGCTGTGGGTAAAACCTCAGTGCCTAGGACTTGCCGATCGTATGGTCGGCGGTTCGAATCCCCACGGCGGGGTGAGCTCCTGTCGTTCGGTCCCAGCTCCTGCCCACCTAGCAGTTCGAAAGAACATCAAAGTGCAAGTAGATAAATAGGTACCGCTTTATAGCGGGAAGGTAAACGGCGTTCCCGTGTGCTGCGCTGGTGCTGGCTCGCCAGAGCAGCTTCGTCACACTGGCCACGTGACCCGGAAGTGTCTCCGGACAGCGCTGGCCCCCGGTCTCAGTGGCGTAGCGTGGGGGGTGCAGGGGGGGCCAGTCGCACCGGGCGCAACATCTGGGGGGGGCGCTCGCACTCGCAGCTCTCTGCCCCTACCTGGCTCACTCACTCTCTCTCACTGCAGTGCTGGCTGTGCGAATCCGATCCGAGCCGCTGGGTCGCCGCCCACTGTGGAGGGTGGGTGCCAGGCGTGCGGTGCGGAGAGAGCGAGGGACTATCTGGGGGAGGGACAGTGCAGCGGCCACCCAGCACAGCGCTGAGCGCAGGAGAGAACCACACCAGACCAGACCAGGCAGCAGCAAGAAGAAGCTGGCAGCGGCGGCAGGTTAGGGGTTAGGGGGCGCAAATTACTTGCCTTGCCCCAGGTTAGGGGGCACAAATTACTTGCCTTGCCCCGGGTTAGGGGGCGCAAATTACTTGCCTTGCCCCAGGTGCTGACAACCCACGCTACGCCGCTGCCCGGTCTCTTAAGTGAGATGGGCGCACAACCCTAGAGTTGGACACGACTGGCCCGTACGGGCAGGGGTACCTTTACCTTTACCTTTATTAACAACACATTGCAACTTAACTTGTCTAGCTGAAGTAAGTTCCCTTGAATTAAGTGGGACAGGTTGCAGCAGTAAAAAAAGGTCCTTTCTCCCAGTGGGGCTTAAAAGTGCCTACCAGTTTTTCTAGGAGTTTATTTAGGATTTGGAGTGGTTTTTTTAACTTGTTTTTATTAGCTTCAGTGGGCAGTTTAGTGATGTGCTGTTGCCTTTCTGCTTAATCTACATACCGTATTTTTCGCTCTATAAGACGCACCAGACCACAAGACGCACCTAGTTTTGGGAGGAGGAAAACAAGAAAAAAAATATTCTGCATCTCAGAAGCCAGAACCGCAAGAGGATCGCTGCGCAGCGAAGCAGCGATCCCTCTTGCTGTTCTGGCTTCTGGGATAGCTGCGCAGCCTGCATTCGCTCCGTAAGACGCACACACATTTCCCCTTACTTTTTAGGAGGGGGAAAGTGAGTCTTATAGAGCAAAAAATACAGTAATGAGGTTGCAACATTTTTTCTGTAGTAGTGTCACGTTCCTCCAAGAAGAATTGGAAAATAAAATGTGACACATACTTAACGAAAGACAGAGCATCACAGAGGCAAAAACCAAACAAAATGGAAAATGGAAGCAAAAGCCGTCCAGTCAAATATAAAGTTGGAGGAGAGGGAACGCTCACAAGGCCACAGTTTCTGATGATAATGCTGGAGACAGTTCCAAGCAGCAAAGAATTAGGGCTGCAAGGCCTTGTTGGTCTTCCCTGAACCTAAGTTTCTCCACCACGATATGGTGTTAGTGTGTTTGCTCCAACCCTTTGTAATAATAATAATAATAAAAAAATTTATTTATACCCCACCCTCCCCAGCCAAGACCCGGCTCAGGGCGAATAACAACCAACAATAAAAACAAGTTGATTTAAATACAACTTAGAAAACAAGATTAAAATACAACATTAAAACATTAAGATGCAGCCTCTTCACAGGAGGAGAAAGGAAAAAAGAAAGAGGGGGAGGGAATCAAATTAATTCTAAGCCTAAGTCTTACAGGCCCTGCGGAAAGAAATCAGATCCTGCAGGGCCCTGGTCTCATGAGACAGAGCGTTCCACCAGGCCGGGGCCACTGTTGAAAAGGCCCTGGCTCTGGTTGAGGCTGATCTAACTTCCTTAGGGGCTCTAGGGTGTTGCTATTTATGGACCTTAAGGTCCTCTGTGGGGCATACCAGGAGAGGCGGTCCTGTAGGTACAAGGGTCCTAGGTCGTGAAGGGCTTTAATGGTCAAAACCAGCACCTTAAATCTTTGGGGTTCCTTTTACTGTAACAGCAGAGTTACCCAGAAAGTATTCCTGCTTTCTTCATAGCAGTAGTCCAGCTCTATCGGTGAATCCTCTGAAGGAATAAATGCCATTCAGTTCTTCTCACGGGCGGAGGAAGGGGGTGCGGTGGGGGCGGACCGTCCCGGGTGCCTTCGCTGAGGGGGGTGACATTTGGCGCGCTGCCCGCCCGCGACACCCAAGCCTACCCCGAGCTGTCAGGGGAAGGGGGGAGCTGCAGTGCTTTGCCGGGGGCATTCCCTCCCTTCCCCCTTTGTTTTGACAGCTGCGGGAGGCTTGGGAGTCGTGGGCGGGCAGCGCACCGGATGTCCCCCATTGGTGGCTTGCTCCGCCCCCGGTTGCAGGGCACGCGCGCCGCTCTGTGCACCCGAGCGGCTGTCCCGCGATGTGGGGTTTGCCCGTTTGTTTAGAGCCTGTCTGTACAGGGGGGGAAAGGTAGAGGGACACCTGACCGTTCGGTCCAGTCGTGACCAACTCTGGGGTTGCGGCGCTCATCTCGCTTTATTGGGCGAGGGAGCCGGTGTACAGCTTCCGGGTCATGTGGCCAGCATGACTGAGCCGTTTCTGGCGAACCAGGGAGCCGGTCCACTGTCCCTTAGACCTTGTGGGGGGCCGGACTATATTTTGGGGGGGAAAAGAAAGAACTAATTCCTATGCCCCACAAATAACCCAGATATGCATTCTAAATAAAAGCACACATTCTACTGATGTAAAAACACCAGGCAGGCCCCACAAATAACCCAGAGATGCATTTTAAATAAAAGGACACATTCTACACATGTAAAAACACACTGATTCCCGGACCATCCAAGGACCGGACTGAGAAGGCGATTGGGCCAGATCCGGCCCCCGGACCTTAGTTTGCCTACCCATGATTTAGATTCAGTCTCACACAGTCCCCATCCTACTGGCATGGCTGTGAGAAAGAAGTTGGAAGTTTTTTCTTCTCTTTCAGATAAAGCACTGGTTTTCTCCAAAGTTTTAATTTATATTACAAGTTGCAGAACTCTGTATCATTACTGGTCTACATAAAAAAAGGAAAAAGAACTATATAGAGAGATTTTAATCCTCTCTGTTCCCTGCAGCCATGTGGACAGAGAGACAGACTCTCTCCTCCCCCAGACATGCCCAGATAAAGAACCTGTTGCCGGGGAGAATTCTCATTGCTAAGCAAACTTGCTTCAAGGATCAGTTCAAGTTTATTTTTTGAATCCACCAACATATGGAACCTTTATTCCCACCCGCCTCAGTATTTTAGTGTAGGCCTTAAATTTGCGTGTTCAGACCCAGAAACCTCCCCCTAAATAAATTCACACTTTTTTTGGGGGGGGGGCATATTATTTTTAATTAGTTTTTTAACATATCATTTCCCACAATAATTAAACATACTTTTACATCTTATTCAAATTTTTTACTTCCATCAATCCTGTCTGAAAATTTTCCAATCTAATCTCTCAGTATGCATTTCTTATCTTCCCTATTACATTTCGAACTCATAACCAATACAGTGGTGCCTCGCAAGACGAAATTAATTCGTTCCGTGAATTTTTTCGTCTAGCGAATTTTTCATCTTGCGAAGCACGAAATCCCATAGGAATGCATTGAAAATCAATTAATGTGTTCCTATGGTCAAAAAAAAGTCCAAACAAAGCCAAATTTGGTACAACAAGAGTTTATTAAGTGCTCTTTAAAGTCACACATACTGTAAAGAGCATTTCAAAATTCAAACCCAGAATTTTTTTTAAAAAACAGCAGAGTTGCCCAATGGTCACAGAAAATCATAAAAATGCAGAAAAAAACACACAAGCTTCCAGATTCTTGCAAACCCCTCCCCAACTGTTCCCCCAGCCACCCAGCACACAGAAATTCAAATCCAGAATTTTTTTAAAAAAACAGCAGAGTTCCCCAATGGTCACAGAAAATCATAAAAATGCAGAAAAAAACACACAAGCTTCCAGATTCTTGCAAACCCCTCCCCAACTGTTCCCCCAGCCACCCAGCACACAGAAATTCAAATCCAGATTTTTTTTAAAAAAAACAGCAGAGTGCCCCAATGGTCACAGAAAATCATAAAAATGCAGAAAAAAAACACACAAGCTTCCAGATTCTTGCAAACCCCTCCCCAACACCAAGTCCTTGAATTCCAAACACCCCAACCCAAAATCCAAAATCCCCCAAAAAAGTTTTAAAAGCTTAACTTACGAAATGGCTGCAAAAGATGTTTTGGAAAAGCTTCAAAAATCACCAAAGTCTTAAAAAACCTCAAAAAAGGCTACTATGTACACTGCGTTCTATGAGTTGCTCCTCGAAGTCAAGTCGCAACTGTATTAACGGTGTTAAGAAAAAGGAAACAAACTTGCAAGACGTTTTCGTCTTGCGAAGCTAAGCCCATAGGGAAATTCGTCTTGTGAAGCAGCTCAAAAAACGGAAAACCCTTTCGTCTTGCGAGTTTTCCGTCTTGCGAGGCATTCGTCTTGCAGGGCACCACTGTATCTCTATCTTTTTCTACTTTGTAACACTTGGTATATTTCTCCTTACAAAACTTCTTGTAATCCTACTAGCGTAATTTGTTGATTACAGTTGCTCTTCAAATAATTCATATACTTCTTCTTTCAATCTTCTGTAAATCTCTGGTCCCGCAGATTTCGAATCCTTCCTGTCATTTTGTCCAATTCGGCATAGTCCATTAATTTCGTCTGCCATTCTTCTTTCGTCGGAATTTCTTCTTGTTTCCATTTCTGGGCTAACAACACTCTTGCCAAATAAATTCACACTTGACTCCAATTTTGGTTTTGGTTTTTGGCAGAATTTAGGCCACAACTTTATTGATTACAGAAAGGGACTGGTTGCATAGGCTTCTGGTTCGACTAGCTCCCTGCCATGCAGGTAGCGCTGACCCAGGGCACCAGCATAGGTCAGCCAAGGGTGAACACCTGGATAAGCGGAAAGCCGGGAGCAGGCTAACTCCGCCACCCAGATGTCCCCCTGGACTCAGGCATGGGCACAACCCCCTCACAGGGTTGACCAAACCATCGAGTCCCTGGATTTCTTTAATGGAATACCCTTCACATAGGGATGGCAAAAGCGTTCTCCCATCCCTATCACCTGAGCCAGAGCCTATCCGCAACCTTACAAGTTGTGATGATTTGCTAAGCAGCAGGCGGAACCCAAATGGCAACAGCCAATCAGCCAAGTGGGGAAAATTGCTGCCGTACCCCTGTCCCAACGACAGACAACACACGGTGGCATAGCAAGGTCAAGTGCAAAGCCCTAAAAGTAGGGAGAGGTGGGCAGGTGTTCCGAATGCACGTGCCGAAAGAGGAAGCTCTGGGTCACGTGCATGGGCATAAATAGGTCCCTCAAACAGTTTGGATTGTGTCCCATTGGCCAGATTGCACCCAGCTACGAGGGACGCGGGTGGCGCTGTTGGTTAAACTACTGAGCCTAGGGCTTGCCGATCAGAAGGTTGGTGGTTCAAATCCCCGCGACAGGGTGAGCTCCCGTTGCTCGGTCCCTGCTCCTGCCAACCTAGCAGTTCGAAAGCACGTCAAAGTGCAAGTAGATAAATAGGTACCACTCCGGCGGGAAGGTAAACGGCGTTTCCGTGCGCTGCTCTGGTTCGCCAGAAGCGGCTTAGTCATGCTGGCCGCATGACCTGGAAGCTGTACGCTGGCTCCCTCGGCCAATAAAGCGAGATGAGCGCCGCAACCCCAGGGTCGGCCACGACTGGACCTAATGGTCAGGGGTCCCTTTACCTTCACCTTTACGAGGGACCTACCAATCGGGTGTTGTGGCTGACCAATCGTACCCACCCACAACACAGGGTTTCAGTTTCCAGGTCTCACCACAATACGTGCCCTCTTTAAGGGAGGACCCGATTTCACCCAAGTTCAGTCAGTTTCTTCTACTTTCTCCCTTGCCAGTATCCCCCAAAGATTGCTGACAGGTCAAGTGAGACCTTGAAATTCTTCCTTTGATGGACTTAATCTTTTAAGAATAATGTACTGTTTTTTATTTATGAGCCTATATTTCAGTGACTTAAGTGGGAACGAGCTGTACCTGATTCATTGGGGCATCAACTTAAGTTCATTTTTGTTATCAATCTCAAACATTGACTATTGCTATTGCTTGTTGCAAGACTCTATTATTCCCGCCCCCAGAAAAAAATAATTCCAGTGTTTTCGGAATATAGATCTTTCAGTGCTTTTCTCTCTTAGGCCCCACCCTTCTGTTTGCAAAGATTGTTCGAGGAAAAGAAGAGGGAAGAAGATTTTACGCTTGCTCTGCTTGCAGAGAAAGAAGAGACTGTAACTTTTTTCAGTGGGAAGATGAAAAGGTATACAGAAAGAATAAAGGTTTTAACAGTACGGTTGATACATTTAATCCTCAAGAACATTGTCAAAACACCAAATCTGAACACTCTTAAATTGCATTGATTTTCGTTAGAGGATTAAGCACGCACAGTATTTAACTGTGGTTTGTATTCTCAGTTTGTAGAGTTCTGGTGAGCAAAGGGCTTGCTAAGGAGTGGAATCGTAGGGTTAGATCCAGATACAATCATACTTAGCCCCATTAAAATCAGGGTGGATTTGATTTAAAATAAATCAATTTAAAACACGATTTAAATCACTAGTCAGTAAGACTTGATTTAAATCATTTTTTTGCAGAAAGACTCATTCTTGATGGTATAATCTTAATATTTACAACCAGATGAAGGTTTCATTTTTGGAATAATAAATTTTCAGAGCAGTTTTTACAGTTATATCAAAAATTACTGATTTGGTTATACTATTAGAAATACACAGACAGATAATTATGAAATTATTGTGAGGTTTAATAAGTTAAGTGTTTTTAGTTGGAAAACTTTTCTGCTGTACTTTATTGGAAGGAGAAAAATAATCATTTCCTTAATAACAATTTAAACAATTTATTTAACCAAAACAATAACATTATAGCATATGTATCCATGTTTGTTAACTTATGTGGTTAATTTTATATTTTATTTTTAAACTTAGACTGAGTTTTAGCACACATGAAAAACTTAAAACAAATCCTTATTTCCTGATGAATAGCCTTTGGACTATAATGTAACTTAAATAGAAAACTATCTTTAGAAAGATTTTTCCTCCAAAAGCATTTTATTTTAAAAATCCAATTTAAATTTAAAAAAATCCATTTTTAAATTTTTTTTTTAAAGAAAATCATTGATTTTTAGTCACCCTGATTGAAATCAATGTGATTTAAGGTAGGCAGGACTGAGTCATCTCACTGATTTCAACAGGTCTTCTCAAAGCATTAAGAACAGCTCGATTTTAAATGGGATTAGGATTGCATCCTGGATCCAACTCATAAGAGACTTCCTCATAAATATTAAGGTGTGATATATAGCTGGTATCTTTATACATTGGTATCTACATATTGCTGGAATTTTGTTCACCAATACAGCTGGACAGTTAAGCATCTTGAAGAACCGCAGGAATTTATACTACAGTAGTGCACCCATATGAGAACTAGGTACTCTAAAGAATACTCAGTGGCAGTGCTTTTTTTCTTAAAAAACAGTTTAGGGGTACTCTCATTTTTCTACTCATATTGAAATACTGCCCCTCAATGAGGCCAAACTTAGATTCACAAAAGGTTCAGGGGTATGCGTACCCCCAGGAAAAAAGCACTGCTCAGTGGTGTGTTTTTTAAAGCTGTGTGTCATTGGCAGAGATGGACATAAAAGAAGGGGAGAAAATGGGGAAATTGGCTGAAGACTTTAGAAGAGAGAACCAGTGAATGTGCACATCTGAAGTCATGTTTCAGTCATTTAGCAAAAAATCCACAATTTGATTATTATTATTGTTATTATTATTAAATTAAATTTGTATACCACCCTATACCTGCAGGTATCAGGGCGGTTCACAGGATAAAATCAGAATATAAAACATCAAAATACATGATCAAAATAAAAGCAAAAACATCCCAGTAGTTCTTCTTCCCAAACGAAGCAAATACTTAAGTACAGTGGTGCCTCGCAAGACGAAATTAATTCGTTCTGCGAGTTTTTTCGTCTTGCGAATTTTTCGTCTTGCGAAGCACGGTTTCCCATAGGAATGCGGTTTTAAGAAAAAGGAAACAAACTTGCAAGACGTTTTCGTCTTGCGAAGCAAGCCCATTGGGAAATTCGTCTTGCGAAGCAACTCAAAAAACCAAAAACTCTTTCGTCTTGCGAGTTTTTCGTCTTGCGAGGTACCACTGTATGTAGAACTGAGGACTACTATGAAGCAAAATTTGGATTTTTAAAATTTCTGAGTGGGCCATAGATTCTGAGAGAAAAATTTGAAACTTGAGCCAGACTGAATTCTCAAAAACCGTATCTGTTTGTGATAAATATTGTATGTATTGTAAATATGTAAATATTGAATTTCTACGTATATTTCATACACGTTTTCCTCAGGTATCAGAAGCTAGACTTTCAGCACGGGAAATTTACAACCAACGCCATCAACCATTATTATCTCACAGAGACAATGTAGAGAGGTACCTATACAATTATTATTTTTATTTGAATGAATCAGTATTCCTTTTTTAAAAAAAACAAAAAACCAGGAGTAGTATTTGGTGTTCCTGTACTGCCTAGTGCAAGAGGTTTCTCCTTGCAGAAAGGAATTTCCCCCTCTTTGCTCCAGGGAATCTTTTGTTTATTTATTTGTACTTTTCAAGTTTATACATTTCACTAGTTTTACATCCATTTTGACATTTCAAAACTCGACTTCCATCCTCTTCTTTCTGCAGTTCCTTAAATTTATTTTCAATACCTTCTGCATGTCGAAATTAACTTAATTTGCTCGTTTATTCATCTTCTTTAAATACATGCTCTTATAAAGCTGCAGCTTGTTACAATAATCCTGACCATGTTTTTATCTGTTTATAATTTATCTGTAAATATTCAATAAACCGTTTCCATTCTTTTCTATATATATAAATGTTTTCTTGATTTCTTATTCTCCCGGTAAGTTTTGCCATTTTTGCATATTCCATAAGTTTTTGTATCCATTCTTCCTTTACTGGGACTTCTGCTTCTTTCCATTTTGAGGCAAGTAACATTCTGGCTGCTGTAGTAGCATGCATGAATAAGTTTCTATACATTTTAGGTAGTTCTGTCCCTATAATTCCCAAAAGAAAAGCTTCTGGGTTTTTTTACAAAGGTTATTTTAAACATCCTTTTCATTTCATTATATATCATTTCCCAGTAAGCTTTGACCTTACTATAAGGCCGTCACATGTGATAGAAAGAACCTTCTTTCTCATTACATTTCCAACTCTTATTTGATTTAGATTTATGCATTTTTGCCAGCTTCCTTGGTGTTAGATACCATTGATATATCATTTCCATATAATTTTATCTTAGACCAGGGACGTCCAACGGGTAGATCGTGATCTACCCAGCAGATCACTGAATGTCTGTGGTAGATCACTCGTAGATCACCGGCTCCCCGCAAAGAAGTTCAACAACTTTGGCATGCAGAAGCAGAGTTCATCTATATCAGGGGTCAGCAACCTTTTCCAGCCGTGGACCGTCCCTCAGACCATGTGGTGGGCCGGACTATATTTTTTGGGGGGGAATGAATGAATTCCTATGCCCCACAAATAACCCAGAGATGCATTTTAAATAAAAGCACACATTCTACTCATGTAAAAACACCAGGCAGGCCTCACAAATAACCCAGAGATGCATTTTAAATAAAAGGACACATTCTACTCATGTAAAAACAAGCTGATTCCTGGGCTGTCCACGGGCTGGATTGAGAAGGTGATTGGGCCGGATCCGGCCCACGGGCCTTAGTTTGCCTACCCCTGATCTAGATGGGCGGAGAGACACTCGTAGAGTAAGGAGTTGGAGGTGAGGACGAAGGCAATCAAATGCCATTACAGCTCTGTGACGGATTTCTAATTTGTGTTCATATATAAGGTACAAGGAGTATGTAGCGTTGCCACAGTCAGAAAGGAGGTTTTGCAGAGAATGCCAGCTGCTGCTGTTGCCATCAGAGTGGGGAAGACACCTGGACCATCAGGTCCTTAGTGACGTCTCTGTTGCCCATCTGAAAAGGCCCAGCCAGCTCCTCATCCCTCTGGAGAATAAGAAGACAAACGCACAATACCTGTTCACCGAGAGAAGCTGCCAGTTCCTGCTGGACCTTATCACTACGCTGGGTTTTAAAAGGGTGCTTTGTGTTGGCACCCCAAGGTAAGACAGTGAGTATATAGTGGTATCTCTGGATACGCACACCTCTGGTTGTGTATCCTTCAGGAGGCGAACATGGCAAACCCAGAAGTATTTTTCCAGGTTTCGCCGCTTGCTCATGTGCGCAAGCGCTCTACGCACCACGGTTGTGAATTCCTCAGGATCCGACCGGAGCTCTGGAATGGATCCCATGCACAACCGGAGGTACCACTGTATTTGGTCCCAGTGGGACCTGGAAATTGGTACCACTTTGGGTTCAAAACGGGATGCAGGTGGCACTGTGGGTTAAACCACAGAGCCTAGGACTTGCCGATCAGAAGGTCGCGGTTCGAATCACCGCGACGGGGTGAGCTCCCGTTGCTCGGTCCCTGCTCCTGCCAACCTAGCAGTTCGAAAGCACGTCCAAGTGCAAGTAGATAAATAGGTACCCCTCCGGTGGGAAGGTAAACAGCGTTTCTGTGTGCTGCTCTGGTTCGCCAGAAGCGGCTTAGTCATGCTGGCCACATGACCCGGAAGCTGTATCCCGGCTCCCTCGGCCAATAAAGCGAGATGGGCACCGCAACCCCAGAGTCGGTCACGGCTGGAACTTTTCCTTTACCTCTTCGGGTTCTAAAAGGCTTAGTCATGAGGCATTTGGCGTTGCTTAAACAGATAAGGGATTGTGACTTATTTCTAAAACAACTTCACTGAAGTAAATAGCACTTCCTTCTCTTGAGTAATGGAAAAGTGGCTTTGGATGCTTGCCAGAAGCATTAGCAAAGCCCATCCAACATTCAGTGTTGAATGCTAATGAAACAAAACCTTAAAATGATTGTACAGTCGTACCTCCGCTTACGTATCCCTCCAGTTACGTAAAGAATTGCTTGTACCCTGTTACTTATATAGTCATGGGATTCATGGCTTTATGGGGGGGGGGAATAGGTGGCTTCCTCGTATGTTTAAAAAGAACATTCTGCATCATTGTGTATTGTCTTGATATTCACGTATCTTACATTTAAATGGTTCATGTTAATCTTTCCAGGCTGCATGAATTCATCAAATTCCAAACATCGCAGGATCAGGAAATCGGCATTAAGAGCCTTTTGTTAGATATTGATTTCAGGTAAGCTTTTATTAAAAGTTATTTCCCCCCTCTGATAAAACCACCACAAAGCTTATTTAAAAGCTGTGCAAAAAAGGAATAAAATGGAACAGTTGTGCTAGCCGAAGCTTGTTGCGAAACAACGGATTCTTCTTGTGCAATCTGTCGAAAAACCAACTTTGATAATGTGCATTCTTTTGCTTTGCGCAGCAGTTGGCTACGGCTCAGTATAAATGATTATTCCCCTCTGCTGTGTAGATGTAGACTTGATCTATGAGATATGGGGAAATGGTCAGCTCTTTTAAGAATGTCACATGGACCCTAGGAACAGGAATAGACCTTGAGAAGTGAAGAGGTATCTGGAGGTCAGGGGAGGGGAGAAAAGAAGGGCAGAAAGTCCTAGTGATGCAGCAATAGAACCGCTAACACATCTGCAAAGCTAAGCAGGGTCTGGTGTGGTCTCAAATTGGATGGGAGACCATGTGTTGATATTCCTGGGCCCTTCCAGTTCTATAAACCTGTGATTCTATGACAAGTCACTAAGAAAGAGGAATCTGATGGAAATGTAGGTGGCAACTTTTAAGGCCAGAGAAGACAGGAAACTGAGGCCATTTCACATGCTGACTTGAGGCAACAAGTCGATTTTGGCAGACTTCTTTTCTTTTTTGAATATAATGGGAATACTTAATTTACAGGTACTCTCAGTTTTATACAGAGGAGGACTTCTGCCATTACAACATGTTTAACCACCATTTCTTTGCTGGAGAGGTAAGGCCTAGCCAAATACTGGGAATTCTTTATGAATACTACTTGTGGAACATAGCACTTCTCTCATTTCTTTGAATGAACATTAGGAGCTAAGCAGATATTTATTGTTATTTATTTATTTTATTTATTTAATTTGTATACCTCTCTATACCCGGGGGTCTCAGGGCGGTTCGCAGAATAAAATCAAGATATAAAACCACAAGATACCTAATAAAAATAAAACAACAGCCCAATAGCAACCCCCAAAAAAACACATTTTAAAAGGGCATAGGATGTAAATCGGTTCAGCCAAAGGACTGGTTGAAAAGGAACGTTTTTGCCTGGCACCTAAATGTGCATAATGAAGGCGCCAGGCAAACTTCCTTGGGGAGAGCATTCCACAGACGGGGAGCCACTGCAGAGAAGGCCCTGTTCTCGTGTTGCCACCCTCCGGACCTTTCGAGAAGGAGGCACACGAAGGAGGGCCTCGGAAGATGATCTCAGGGTCCGGGTAGGTTCATATTTGTGTGGGGATCTGCTCGTTGGGGATTCAAAGACTTGCGTAATCAATGCAATGGACATTTGTTTGTCCTTTCCATTTTTCTCCTGTCTCATCAAGGCGCAGCCCTGTACATGGCTACTCAGAAGGAAGCCCAGCTGAGTTCAGTGGGGCTTATTCCTAGGTTAGCATGTATAGAATTGCAGCTTAAATGTTTTAAGAAAAATACAGCGCAAGAATATCTCTCAAATAAAATGCGGGTGCAAAACAGATAAAATTATTCCACATGCTAGAGAGCCGTTACGTATGCTTACACATAAGACGGCAAAGGGACCCCTGACCATTAGGTCCAGTCGCGGATGACTCTGGGGTTGCTGCGCTCATCTTGCTCTATAGGCCGAGGGAGCCGGCGTTTGTCCACAGACACTTCTGGGTCATGTGGCCAGCATGACTAAGCCGCTTCTGGCAAACCAGAGCAGCGCACGGAAATGCCGTTTACCTTCCCGCCGGAGCGGTATCTATTTATCTACTTGCACTTTGACGTGCTTTTGAACTGCTAGGTTGGCAGGAGCTGGGACCAAGAAACGGGAGCTCACCCCATCGCAGGGATTCGAAACACCAACCTTCCGATCGGCAAGCCCTAGGCTCTGTGGTTTAGACCACAGTGCCACCCCTGTCCCTATTGTTGTTGTTGTTTAGTCGTGTCTGACTCTTCGTGACCCCATGGACCAGAGCACGCCAGGCACTCCTGTCCTCCACTGCCTCCCGCAGTTTGGTCAAACTCATGTTCGTAGCTTCGAGAACACTGTCCAACCATCTCGTCCTCTGTTGTCCCCTTCTCCTTGTGCCCTCCATCTTTCCCAACATCAGGGTCTTTTCCAGGGAGTCTTCTCTTCTCATGAGGTGGCCAAAGTATTGGAGCCTCAGCTTCAGGATCTGTCCTTCCAGTGAGCACTCAGGGCTGATTTCCTTAAGAATGGAGAGGTTTGATCGTCTTTCAGTCCATGGGACTCTCAAGAGTCTCCTCCAACACCATAATTCAAAAGCATCAATTCTTCGGCGATCAGCCATAATTGGATGTAAATAGAATGTATAGGGATATCATACTTTTAAATTCATGCCTTAGAAACCTTTTTCACTACTTCTGAGATTCCAAAGTGATGCCTATAGGTTAACTGACAGATCACCACTTAGTTTGAAATGGAAGTTGTCTCTGATCTCTTGCAGGCTGCTTATGAGATATGTGAGAAGTTCTTGCAGGAGGACAGTGGGAAAGACGTCATCATGGTGGCTGATCCTCCCTTTGGGGGCTTGGTCGAAGCTTTGGCGTTTAGTTTCAAAAAGCTGATTGCAATGTGGAGACAAACAAGTGGTGCAGGTAACTATTTCTGATTTCCAATCAATTTGATATTAGAAAAATGAAGGCAGCTTTTCTAATTCCAGATGGTATATATTTGCTGGACAAGTAGAATGCAACAATGCAGGCGCTATTTGCCATTTGCCTCGGGCTGCAAACTTTAATTGGCAGACTCATCCGTTAAAGCTTTATCTGAAGAACAAGGGACAACAGCCATTACAAAACTGTTTATAGGTTTATGTGCTTTCAGGCAGCGCTTGTAGATTTTTATTATCTGTTACTTTATGTGATGAAAAGTACATTTTTTATTCCCTTTGCTTTCCTAGATCCTGCTGACAACAACTTACCCATACTTTGGATATTTCCATACTTCTTTGAGTCACGTATTCTTGAATTTTTTCCAAATTTCAGTATGCTGGATTATCAGGTATGGGCCCAGAGAAGTGGTATTGTGAAGTTTTAAAAAAAGCATTCTTTTTTCTAAAGCTAGTCATTTCATGGTGGATATGGACTCTGGTAATTTATTTTGTGTTGGCTAGGATGAGATGAAACCCATTGTCAGAGCACTTTGAATTTCCTGCTCTGACTGATGCTTTTTGTGCTGCAACGGGAGACAATGTACCTCGGGTTAAGTACTTAATTCGTTCCGGAGGTCCGTTCTTAACCTGAAACTGTTCTTAACCTGAAGCACCACTTTAGCTAATGGGGCCTCCTGCTGCCGCCGTGCTACCGGCGCATGATTTCTGTTCTCTTCCTGAAGCAAAGTTCTTAACCCGAGGTACTATTTCTGGGTTAGTGGAGTCTGTAACCTGAAGCGTCTGTAACCTGAAGTGTCTGTAATCCGAGGTACCACTGTAGAGCATTGGTCTTTAAGAACCCACTATAAAAATGCATGTAATTTTTTTAAAAAACATTCGTCCCAACAACTATTTTGGGGTAAAGGTGGATCCAGCCTCTGAAAAGGCTGAAGACTACTGATATACAGAGTATTTCACTCTCTCCAAAGTCACACACGTTATCATTCTAGACAGGCTTTTCAGTGGAGCTACTGATGGACTGAAATTTGAAAATAGTGGCACCCTAATCTTGCTCTTTTCTTGTCTTTGGGGAACTGGACTTCTAAATATTATAAGCATAGGTAGAGAATAGATTGAAAATGTACACGAGGACTCTTTCCTGACTTGGAATTTAGCTGATAAAAGCTATTCAGTGTGTTTCAACTCTGTTGTCTTTTATTTTCTAGGTGGACTATGATAATCATGCCCTTTATAAGCACGGAAAAACAGGTCGTAAACAGTCTCCAGTTCGTATATTTACCGACATTTCACCACGTTTGATAGTGCTTCCTGTGGAAGAAGGATACAGGTATAGCTTTTGCTTAACCTGAGAGGAGCTAAAAGGTTTTTGAATTTTACTTTATAAAAAAATAGTGTTTACAAAGTGTTTGCGTGGCCTATTGAGAAATCTGTTTACTTAATTGTAGCGCTGTATCGTGAATATTCCTTACAGCAGACTAATAATTTTAATTGTTTTTTTCTGGGTCTGCCAGGTTTTGCTCCATCTGCCAGCGGTACGTTAGTTCAGACAACCAGCACTGTGAAATCTGTGATTCATGCACATCAAAAGTAAGTGTGTTTAGAAAGAGTTTTAGCAAGACTTGGTCTTCAACTTTAGTACTTATCTTGCAGAATAGCATTTTTGTGTGACTGCAGGAGGATACAGACTTGCCCACTTTGGATTAGCACATTTCTTTCTAACAATGTGGCCTGTAAGAGGAATATCAAGAAAGAAAATAAAATTTTGCTCTTTTAGTCAAGGAAGATATGCCATGTGTGCAAGGAAAAGGGGACATTAGTATTAAAACAGCGGGGGGGGGATTAACAACTGGAGCGCTAAATATTTCGATTTTTAAACTATATACAACTTTTATAATTTTTCAAATAGGATGGGAGACGTTGGACACATTGTTCCCTTTGCAAAAAATGTGTAAAACCCTGTAAGTATTACAAATGATCACTTTTTACCATAAAATTTGCAATAAAAAGATCAAGATCAAACTATTAAGAGTGTTAAGCAGCTATACTCAACAAGACACTCTAAACAAATAGCCTTAATCAATAAGGGACTTCGACAGGGGGTTGGACTAGATGACCCTGGGGTCCCTTCCAATTTTATGAGTCTACACACGAGTTTTCTTCTGTGTTGTGGAAGAACATGGCTCCTTTTGAATTGCCCATTCTTTCCTAGGCTGGCTAGAGACCTGAACAGGGTACAGTGGTACCTCGGGTTAAGTACTTAATTCGTTCCGGAGGTCCGTTCTTAACCTGAAACTGTTCTTAACCTGAAGCACCACTTTAGCTAATGGGGCCTCCTGCTGCTGCCGTGCTGCCAGTGCACGATTTCTGTTCTTATCCCGAAGCAAAGTTCTTAACCTGAAGCACTATTTCTGGGTTAGCGGAGTCTGTAGCCTGAAGCGTATGTAACCCGAGATACCACTGTATTCCCCTTAAGGGTTGCAGGAAATGATCCCAGTGGCTGGAATTCTCACAGAATTTAACAACTTACACATTTTCATTGTTACTTTTCCCACCCTTCACAGCTTGGATTCATTGCAGCGTTTGTGGTCGCTGTGCTCTGCCGAGTCACTCTTGTAAGAATACTGATGCTGGATCTGAGACGGGATGCTTCATTTGTGGAGCGACAGACCATAAACGTGCCACATGCCCTAATCTACATGTGGTTAGGAGAATACACCAGTAAGTTCATCCTACCATTATCTACTGTGTACTTACAGTGTCAACATCCATAAAGGTTCTGAATATATACCGTATTTTTCACCCTATAGGACGCACCGGCCCATAGGATGCACCTAGTTTTCAGGGGGGGAAATCAAGGAAAAAAATATGATCCCCCCCCCCGCAGCTCTGGGAGCAGCGGACAGGCTGCACGCAGCCTGTGCGCTACTCAAGACCTTCTCCCTGCTTTTGCGGGAGGTGGCGAATTCCCCACCTCCCGCAAAAGCCCACAGAGCCCGCGTGACTCCTGTGGGCTTTCGACCAGGCGGGCGAAGGGACGGCCACGGCCCGTCAGGCCCTTGTCCCTCCTCGAGGAAAAGCCCCCAAGAGCGGTGCGCTCTTTAAAGGGTGCGCGGCTCCTGCAGGCTTTTCTAGGAGGTGGGGGAATCCCCCCCCCCGGTAGAAAAGCCAGCAGAAGCCGCGGAGCCCCTTTTAAAGAGCACGAGGCTTTTGCGGGCTTTTGCGGGAGGTGGGGGAATTCCCCATCTCCCCCAAAGCCCGCAGGAGGGAGAAGGGACTGACTCGGCCAGTCAGTCCTTCTCCCTCCTTGAGAAAAGCCCCCAAGAGCCGCTTGCTCTTTAAAGGGTGTGCGGCTCCTGCGGGCTTTTCTAGGAGGTGGGGAATTCCCCACCTCCTAGAAAGCCGCTGAGCCCCTTAAAGCGCGCGGCTTTGCGGGAGGTGGGGAATTCCCCATCTCCCCCAAAAGCCCGCAGGAGGAGAAGGGACTGACTCGGCCAGTCAGTCCCTTCTCCCTCCTTGGGAAAAAGCCCCCAAGAGCCGCTTGCTCTTTAAAGGGTGTGCGGCTCCTGCGGGCTTTCTAGGAGGTGGGAATTCCCCACCTCCTAGAAAAGCCGCGGAGCCCCTTTAAAGCGCGCGCGGCTTTTGCGGGAGGTGGGGGAATTCCCCCATCTCCCGCAAAAGCCCAAAGGAGGGTTGGAGAGTAGCGGCAAGGCATCACGCGCCTTCCCGCTGCCCCCCATCCTCTGGGGCTGGCGATGGGGGAAGCGCTGCTTTCCCCCACCGCCAGCCTCAAGAGCAGACTCTCCTGGCTTCAGCAGAAGCAACGCGAAGCCTCCGGAGCGCAGGCTTCGGAGGCTTCGCGTTGCTATCGCTGAAGCCAAGGAGTCTGCATTCGCCCCATAAGACGCACACACATTTCCCCTTCATTTTTGGAGGGGAAAAAGTGCGTCTTATAGGGCGAAAAATACGGTCTATTTTTAAGGGGAGGGATTCCAAACATCCCTTCTTTATATCTTCCCTCCGGCAGCTATTTATTGCAGTTCACATTTCCAGTTTTATAGCTCTGAAAATGCAGCGCTCAAGATTATTTGCCTTGCTTTGCAGAGGCGGGAAAAAGTCAAGGCAAAAAAAGAAGAAGAAGAAGTTGGTGGATGTGAATGCTACGAAAATGACAAGTGGAAAGAAGATGAGAAGTGCAGTATAAATTATGGGATATGTTTGCACGAGTCCTTCATTCAGTGTTCTCCAAATATTAATCTGGATACTGAATATGACTGAATCGGAGGCTATATTTTGCAACTCTGCAAATATCACCAAAACACCAACTTTTGCTGATGTGCTAAATGTGTGGAAACATATATATATATCTCAATATTACAGTCTTTTTAGCACACTGTGTATATACACTTTCAACAATGCACAACAATGTAACTGAGTTAATATTTTATAAATATTAATATATTTTTGCAAAACGAAACTTTGTCTTTGTTTCCTTACCTTTCCGGAGACTTCAACGACTGTGCTCATGTCTTACTAAAAAGTATATTTCAAAGCAGCTAGCAAGGCAGTAGGACGCACATCAAGAATTGCAAGAGGTAAAGGGTAAAGGACCCCTGGACGGTTAAGTCCAGTCAAAGGCGACTATGGGATTTGAGGCGCTCATCTCGCTTTCAGGCCGAGGGAGCCGGCGTTTGTCCACAGAGAGCTTTACGGGTCGTGGCCAGCATGACAAAACGGATTCTGGCGCAACGGGATACTGTGACAGAAACCAAAGTGCATGGGAACACCATTTACCTTCCCACCACAGCAGTACCTATTTATCTACTTGCATAGAATAAAAAATATATATAAATTAGTTTGGAGATGGTATTTAACACCAGTCAGATTAAATCAAATAAACAAAGAATATTTGGTGTTATGTTGGAGGAAACCGGGAATTATGTTCACATATGGTGGGGGTGTAAATATGTGCCATTTTTTGGCAAAGGGTGTTTAATGAGATAACAGCGATCACTGGTTTAAAGCTGACCAAAAGTCCAGAGGTAGCTTTATTATCCATTTACGATGAGGTGGAAGGTTCACAGGCTATGAAGGACTTGCTCACAAATTTACTGACAGCTGCACACATTATGATAGCTAGGAATTGGAAGGGGCAAGCAGAATACAAAATGGAAGAATGATATAAAGAGGTGTGGGATATGGCTATTAAGGATAAATTAACATGTGCCATTAAGGTAAGATGGGGAATATGCAGGAGAAATGATTTTGAGGAGATACGGAGGGTATTTGTAGAATTTGTACTGTTAAAACGGAAAGGGGTCAAACTATCGCAAGAGGTATTGAAATTTTGTGAGGTTGGGTAGTTACAACGGAATGGTCTTGGTGGTGGGGTGCACATTTTTATTCGTATTTATGATTATTACTTTGTCAAAATAAAATATTTTTTAAAAACAAACATAATTGCTTAAGCAAGGAATTCCATCGCCCCATTCAAGTATTCATGGATATGGAACTTGGTGCCTCCAATCAACCAGAGATAACAGAACACTAAAACTCTCCTAAGGATTATTCATTTAAAATAGAAAGTTTTATAGTCAGAATGGCTCCAGAACTAATTTCCCGCGATTGTATGAACATGGTAAGCTAGTCAACTTTCAGTCTTGTTAACAAGATAGCAGCACTTTACAAGACTGGACAAATGCAGATCTGAAATGGTCTATTCACACAGCATATTTACATGGATAAAGTCAAACATGGAATAAGGAACCATTTAGGGAAGGCGTTCCTCTCTTCTGGTAAAGGTAAAGATAAAGGGACCTCTGACCATTAGGTCCAGTCGTGACCGACTGGGGTTGCGGCGCTCATCTCGCTTTATTGGCCAAGGGAGCCAGCGTACAGCTGCTCTGTCATGTGGCCAGCATGACTAAGCCGCTTCTGGCGAACCAGAGCAGCACACGGAAACGCCGTTTACCTTCCCGCCGGAGCGGTACCTATTTATCTACTTGCACTGGTGTGCTTTCGAACTGCTAGGTTGGCAGGAGCTGGGACAGAGCAATGGGAGCTCACCCCGTTGCGGGGATTCGAACTGCCGACCTTCCGATCGGCAAGCCACCCGCGTCTGTTGCATTTCCTTCGTTTGTTGCCCTCCACTTGCCTTTACCTCTAAGATCCACGTTGTTAGATGTGTTTTAGGCTGGTTCCTTACAGATTTACCCTGTTTACCACTGCACCCTTCTTGCAGTGGGAAGCGCGGGTGTCGCTGTAGTCTCAACCACTGAGCCTCTTGGGCTTGCTGATAAGAAGGTTGGTGGTTCAAATCCCTGTGATGGAGTGAGCTCCCCTTGCTCTGTCCCAGCTCCTGCCAACATAGCAGTTCGAAAGCACGCCAATGCAAGTAGATAAATAGGTACCACTGTGGCGGGAAGGTAAACGGTGTTTCAATGTGCCCTGGTTTCCGTCACGGTGTCTCATTGCGCCAGAAGCGGTTTAGTCCTGCTGGCCACATGACCCGGAAAGCTGTCTGTGGACAAATGTTGGCTCCCTCAGTCTGAAAGCAAGATGAGCGCCACAACCCCATAGTCGCCTTTGACTGGACTTCACCGTCCGGGGTCCTTTACCTTTACCTATGGGGATAAAAAACAGCAAGTCAGTGATACAGTGGTACCTCGGGTTAAGTACTTAATTTGTTCTGGATGTCCGTACTTAACCTGAAACTGTTCTTAACCTGAAGCACCACTTTAGCTAATGGGGCCTCCCGCTGCCGCCGCATCACCAGAGCACAATTTCTGTTCTCATCCTGAAGCAAAGTTCTTAACCTGAAACACTATTTCTGGGTTAGTGGAGTCTATAACCTGAAGCGTATGTAACCCGAGGTACCACTGTAGCTCAATGGGAGCAGAGGTACTTAGTGGCTGCTCTGACAACTTCCTAGAGAAGTTCAGCTGATTCCCTTCTTGCTGTTCTGCCCACAGGTAAACAACCTTCTTGCCTAGTGTTGTGCTGTTTCTGTGGTAACTGGATGTTTTCAATAGTTTCTAGATATATACAGTGGACGCTTGGGTTGCGAACGTGATCCGTGCGGGATGCACGTCCACAACCCGCAGCATTCGCAACCTGCAGCGGCGCATCTGCGCATGCGCAAAGTGCGATTTAGCACTTCGGCGCATGCGTGACCGCCGAAACCCGGAAGTAACCTGTTCTGGTACTTCCGGGTTTTGGCGATCCGCAACCCGAGAAAACACAACCTGAAGCATCTGTAACCCGCGGTATGACTGTACATAGAATATCAATCCTATTAATGTTTAACTGCTTTTCAAGCCATTGTTTCCCACCCTATGCTTTTAGCAGTTAATAGTAATAATATTATATTATTATATACCCCACCCACCTGACTAATAATAATAATGATAATTTATTTGTACCCTGCCCATCTGGCTGCCTTGCCCCAGCCACTCTAGTCGGCTTCCAGCATATACAAAAACCTAATAAAACATGCACTATTTTATCAGCTGAATCCGTCAGTTGCCCTGCTGTTTTTGTTGTGTTTTAAATAGTTCTGATTCCATTAATGTTTAATAGTTGCTTTTTGTTGTGTTTTAAATAGTTTTGATTCTATTAATGTTTAATAGTTGCTTTTTGTTGTGTTTTAAATAGTTTTGATTCCATTAATGTTTAATAGTTGCTTTTTAAAAAAGGATTCCTCCAGTTCGTCCATTGCGTTTCCAGCTGTTCTTTTCATCTGTAAGCTGCCCTGGTCAGGGGGAAAAGGCGAGGTACACATAAAACTAGTCATCATAATGATCATCACAATCTGTAATACTAATAGAATAATAATGATATATAATGATAATAAAGGGGGGAGGTCTGTAAAAAGATCCCCCCTCCCCCCCCGCGCCTTTTCCGAAGCGGCGCAGCCAAGCAGAAGCGCGCGCCCAGCCTGGTGGGCGGTTTTGGAGAGCGCGCAATGCCCGCCTCCCGCTCCGGAGTCACTCCCCTTTCCTTCCCCCCCGGAGGAGAAGCGACGCCGCTTCCGGAGGTTGGGCCTTTTCTGCCGGCGCAGGGTGCGCGGGAGAAACGGAGCTCTTGGGTTTTGGAGGACTGGATCTCCGAGGGACGGGATCTCCGGGCGCCGGGTGCGTCCTAGCGATGGCAAAGGGAGCAGCTGCTGGCTTTGGGTAAACCGGATCGACCGAGGCGCAGGAGAGCGGCCCAAACCTCCAAGAGCACCCCTTGCGATTGCAAAAAAAGGAGAGGAGTGGCATCACCAGGTATAGAGTTTACATCTCTCTCTCTCTCTCTCTCTATATTTATATATGACTTCCCTTCTTCTCTTTCCATGGTTCATTTTGCATAACATTAATCCCTGCATATTCTATATAAATGCAACCATTCAGTATTCCATTGTTACATCCATCAAAACTTATCCACACTGTTGAATTTATCTTAATGCTGCCAACGTTTTCAAACGTAAACAATTCCCTCCCCCCATATAGTCAATAGAGGTTTTCCGATCGTTAAACTATGTTCTTCTTGTTCACTTATTCTAGAAGTTAGGTCCGCGAGTTGTGCATAGTCTGTCAACTTAAGTTGCCATTCTTCTTTGGTTGGGACCTCGCTCGTTTTCCATTTTTGGACTAACAAAACACGGGCTGCAGCAAAGGGACCCCTGACCATTAGGTACAGTCGTGGCCGACTCTGGGGTTGCAGCGCTCATCTTGCTTTACTGGTCGAGGGAGCTGGCGTACATGTGGCCAGCATGACTAAGCCGCTTCTGGCAAACCAGAGCAGTGCACGAAAACGCCGTTTACCTTCCCGCCAGAGCGGTACCTATTTATCTGCTTGCACATGACGTGCTTTCGAACTGCTAGGTGGGCAGGAGCAGGGACTGAGCAACGGGAGCTCACTCTGTCGCGGGGATTCAAACTGCCGACCTTCCGATCGGCAAGCCCTAGGCTCTGTGGTTTACACCACCGTGCCACCCGCGTCCCTTTTACGGGCTGCAGTAGTGGCATACATAAATAGCCTTTTTTGACACCTGGGAATTTCAGTCTGAATTATCCCCAACAGAAAGGACTCTGGGTTTTTGTGGGGGTTTTTTTTTTTTTGGAAAAGTACTTTAAACATTTTTTTCAGTTCATTATAAATTATTTCCCAATACTCTCCTACCCTTTTACAAGTCCACCACATATGATAGAATGTACTTCAGTCTCATTGTGTCTCCAGTCTCCATTATTACTTCCATCAAAACTTATTTACACTGTTGAATTTATCTTAATGCTGCCAACGTTGTCAAATGTACACAATCCCCCCATATATTCAATAAGGGTTTTCCAATCTTTTTTAAACATATGTTCTTCTTGTTCTCTTATTCTATAACTTAGGTCTGCATATTCCATCAGTTGTAAGTTGTCATTCTTCTTTAGCTGGGACCTCGCTCATTTTCCATTATAAATTATTTCCCAATACTCT